CGTTCCAGCATGTCCCAGCCACAAGGGGGATTCCCCAGGACTCCCTGTCCCGTCGGCCGCCCGCTCCCGACGATTCGGACGAATCAGATGGTGAGAAGCACCTCGACGAGTTCTTCGGTCGTGCGGTTGCCCTCTTAAACCCGCCGGCGGCTGTAGCGCCTCGCCCCCGGTGCCCGTCCTCTGCCCGCTCAGTGCCCTCCCTTCGCCCCGCCGTCGTCTCCGCAGTCGTGTCATCCGGGACAGTCCACTCAATCCTCACGAGTCTCCGCACTATGGCTCAAGTACCGGCCGCTGACCTTCTCTGCCGACGCTCCAGCTGGGGCTACGACGCCTTCAACCCTTCCGTCGGTCTTACCTTTGGGGGCTCTCACACACTGCGCCCGTTCACTTGAGTCAATTCTCTGTTTACACCGACGGCTGGAGCTCCACTTCCCCCTCGTCATCCATGTTGTCCTCCGCGTCGACGGCGCCCTTCTTCAACGACTGGCGCATCCGCGCAGTGCCTTCACAACCGGCGGAGTGCGAATGTGACCTCGGTGGCGAAGCGTGTGTCTTCCCAATCACCATCTACAGACCCATGCTCCGCGAGCCGCGACACTCTCTGCCCTCTGGCTTCTCCGCGCGCTCCTACTTCCCGCCAGCGGACTTGGACGGCCCCCACCATGCTCCGCAACAATTCGGCGACGAGATCCCGACGTTCCCCACGTCGCTACAGGCGAAGACGGTTCCCGCTCCCACGACAACTGTCTCTCCGGGTGACACCCTCCACGAGGCACATCTTGGCGACCGCGAACCTCCATGGGCCGCTTTCTGGCGCGCGGAAGTCGAGAACATCGAGCCCACCGACCCCGCCTTGAGGGCGCGGGTGGCCCGCATGCGTCGCTGCTACATCGTGGGGCATAGGCGCATCTGGCGCGTTCGCGCCGACCGGCACCCTCTCCTCGTGGTCACGGACACTCTCGCGCGAAAGCGAATCATAGCTGCGGCGCACAACACCACTGGCCATCGCGGCGCTGCGGCAACGTTCGCCTTGCTCCGCGAGCGCTACTTCTTCCCCAATCTTTATGCAGCTTGTGTCTGGTTCGTTCGCTCTTGTTTCAACTGCCAGTTCCGATCCCAGCACCGCGAGCTAGCGCCGCTGTCGTCCAAGACCAAGATCACCCCTTGCGTCCTCCGGCGTTTTCACATCGACACCATCTTCATGAACGGCAGCTTCCGTTACCTCCTCCACGCTGTCTGCGCCACTAGCCACTGGGAAGAGGCGAAGGCTGTCAAAGCGAACACGGCTGAAGCCTGGGCTGCCTTCTTGTGGGAGAATATTATCTGCCGCTTCGGATGCATCCCGGTCATCGTCTGCGACAACGGCCCCGAGTTCGACGGCGCTTGCGCCATCCTTCTACGTCGCCATGGTGTGACGGTGATCCGTACATCTCCGTACAACCCGAAGGCCAACGGGATCGCGGAGCGCTCTGGGCGTACTCTTCAACAAGCCATCTGGCGTGCTTGCGACCTCACGAAGCGCGACCGTTTCAGCTGGTACCGCTTTCTGAACTCCGCCCTGCTCTCCGTCCGCACTACGACTAGCCGCGCGACTGGGTACACGCCTTACTACCTCGTCTACGGTCAAGAATGCATGTTCCCTTTCGACCTCGAAGATGCCACCTGGTTCGCGCTCGACTGGGCTGAAGCTACCGACGACGTGTCCCTTCTCGCGACACGTCTATTGCAGATCTCCCGCCACAAGTCCGTGTTGGACGACGCCGTACAAAAGCTGACCAAGAACCGCCGGAAGGCGATCGACGACTTCCACCGCCGGTACGAGTCCCTCATCAACAAGGAAGGTTTCCAGCCCGGGTTCTGGGTCCTGCTGCTCGAGTCTTGGCTCGATACTCAGATGGGCATGAAGGGTGCTCTCCGCTGGGCCGGCCCCTACATCGTTGATGAACGCCTCACCTCGGGTTCCTACAAGCTGCGCGAGATCTGCGGCACGCCAATGCGTCATACCGCGCCAGGTGCGCGCTTGAAGCTCTTCTACTATCGCGACGACTACCAGGCCGTGAAAACGACGTTCCCTATCGCGCCTCGCTCCACTGCGGCTTCCAGCTACGTGAGCGCCTTCGCCGCGCCCATCGAAGTCCTCTCCCTCAGTAACCGCTTGCACCGCCCGCCGCGTTCCGAGCCCATCACCTACTCTTGCAACCCAGTCCAACATGCCTTCGGCGACGGTCGCGCGTCCGTAACCTGTGACGGCGCATGCCTCGCGGCGCCTGAGATGGAACCTTACCTCCTTGATAGCGACGATGGTTCGGGCATCAATGTCGACCTGCGCCTGTCTTTCCCGCCAACGCTCTACACCACTACGTTCGACCCCGCAGTCGACCCTCTCGGCGCGACGCCCTGGCTCACTGTCAATTCCCCCTCCAACTTGATCGCTCTGGGTCGGCTCGCAAAGTCCTTCGTCGCGTGGCCCTACGCCGGTCCGTCCTTCGGCCCTCGACCGCCGACTCCGCCGCCACGTGCGCCCCGCCCCCAGGTCCGTGCTGTCTACGACGCAACTTCCGGTCGCTTCACTCCCGATGGCGACACTCGCGAGGCTACCGCGATGGACGGGTCTCCTTGATGGTTGTCAGGATCTCGGGGTCGAGATCTCAAGGGCCCCCCGGTTGTAGGAGTCCCGCGCGCGCGGGCACTCTGAAGCACGCGCATGCGCGACAGAACACGGTCACGTGTCGTCCGAGCGGCCAGAAGTCACCGAGCACACTTGGTGAAGAAGTAGTACCTGCACATGTATAAAAGTAGCACGCACACACGAAGAATGTCAGTTCCTTTCCCCCACACTCACTCGGTTTCTGTCGTGTCCGCTGCCCGTTCTCCCCTGCGCATCCGTCTTATCCGTGCCCGTGTAACCGTCGTATCCGTCGTATCCGTCTTTCCGTTTATCCGTCGTATCAGCCAACGCGCGTCCGTCGCGCTCAGTCTAGTCGCGTTCAACGCGAACATTTCTACAGGGTCTGAAGACTACGCGAAGGGATCCCCACAACGTCGACGAAAGTCGGAGTTGGCTTCTTGCGCTGATAGCAAGGTGACTGCTTCGGCCGCGACTCGGCGGACGTGAGAGAGAGCGAAGGAGTGGAACGAAGAAGAGAGTCTATGTGATGTTATGACTAAGACCCATCGGATCCAAGCGTACAAGTTACTCACCGTCTCAAGTTCCTTGTATGCTGTGGGACGAGGCGCATACTGTGGTAGTGCGATGTACGCGTGACACGATCGGTCGGGAACACTGTATGAACACTACTGTTTGGTCAGCGAGGGTCGTCGGGCGTCGTTCGATATGCAAATTTACGCCGTTTCCCGCGGATGTGCCGCATGCCTCACTCCGCTAGCCCCGTCGTTCTCCATTCGTTCCAGCCCATTGACGATCCTGGAGGGGCTGCCGAGAAGAATCTCATAGCGGGTCGGCTGAGGATGTACTCAGCAGCCAGCCTAAGCAGAGCAGATCGAAACCACAACGAACCTTGATTGCGCCCGATTCGAGCAGTTTCGACAGCGGATCTAGCAGCGATGCGTCGACACCGTGATTTACCCGTTGGCCGTATATACGCACCTTCTCCCCCATCAAATCGTCCCTCCCTGGTACGAGCTCAAAATTGAGCAAAATGATGAAGTCGCCGTCGGGAGCGGTCAAGGCGTGACTGTCAGCGAGCATGGCATCGTAGACAACGTCGACGAGGGTTCCACAGCAATTTCATAAGTTGACACTATAAGCGTCTCTTGTGGTACCCTGCGATTCGGTACGTGCGTCGCGCCGAGGGATTTTAAATGATCTGCGTGGCGGCCCGAGAGACGAAGTGGCGAGGATGAAAAAACAAAAAGGCGCACAAGTTGAGTGGCTGGACCGTAAAGCGGTGGACGGTGAGCCTGTGGTTTAGGACAGCTGGGCCTATGCCTGTAGATGGACTTACCATATTGCCCAACGGACGACGAGCTTTCAAAAAGGAAGGACGGATTGCCCGCATGCGGCTGTGACCAAAGGGGCTGTCAGCTTGACTGAGGCTGGAGCGTCTGGGTTGTGACACGGAAAAGGTCGCGAGGCCGCTTGGGACCGTGGTCACGGCTTCCCTACGGGATCTGTGAGCATCGAAGCTGCGTCAGCCAAATTCTGAGCCAAAAACCTGCGCAACATGCCTTGCACCACACTGCGAGCAAAGTATTAGTCACGAACACTCAGACGATTCGCGAGACGTACGCCCTGTCTTCCACCGGCAACGCGGTGAAAGCTTCACAAAGTGCAGCCATCCCGTCCGCGTCATGAGCCCCGCCCCCGACACCCGCCCGCCGTCGTCTTGCGCAACCGCAAGCACCACCGCCTGGTCCCCATCCCGCTCCCGCAGTGCGCTCCGTACCGTCCTCCGCCCACCACCCACTCATACCCTGCCACGAGGCTCCTCACCACATCCACCTTCGTCACCACGTCCCATCGTCCCCTCCGCGAAGGCGACTCACCATCCGCACGAGCTCCCCGACGTCGATCTCGTTCCACTAGCGCCTCGACACTCCGACCTGGGCTCGTGCTAGGCTGGTCACCGAGCCTGCTGGTCACCGAGCCCGAGAAGCTCAGCAAACCACCAGCACTTTCGGGGGCGAGCGAGCGAGTCGACGCCGACGCCGACGCACATCTGCTGGAACCCGTGGCGGAAGGAAAGCTCGGCGCGGATGCGGTCGCGGTGGGTGGCGGCATAGTGAGTGAGGGCAGCGCGGAACTGAGCGAGCTGGACGTGGAGAACTTGTTATAAATCGTGCTGGCAGTCGAAGGCGGCGGCGACGACGAGGTACATGCCAGTTACATGGGAGGTGGCAGAAGAGCAAAGTCTGCTAGGATAAGATTAGATCTTCCGCCCTGCTTTTGTAAGCACTCGCTACGGGAGTTCCGCAACACGCTTTATCCACCATGGGCTGCCTCTACCCCACCAGTGCTCGCCGCATTTGATCCAAGCCCCATGTCTTCGACCGCACCATCTGAAGGGGATCCTGTAGCGCAAATAATCTTGTCGTCTGCATTACTGGCGCAGTTCCGTTATGTTCTCGCAGCGTCACAAAGTTCCCAACATCACAGCCAACGCGGATATGAAGACCCCTCCATAAAGCCTTGGAACGCTCTCTCTTTTCTCATCGCGACAGGGGCCGTTAGCGACGAGACGGCTAGCAAGGTCGTTGCGGTGTCTGGCGTCATCACTTCCGGACGGATTACTGGGTTTCTCGTTTCCCGCAACGCGGTTCCAGGTCAGCCGTCGCCCCCCGCCAGGGTCTTCGCACCTAGCAACATCATGTTTCCGCAGCCCTCGTTCTTCCGCTGCAGAAGTATATGTTTTACATCATTTACTAGACCCTTCTCACGGATTATCACAACAGGGTCATCAATCCCCTCCAGCATATCGGCGATGTAGTCAATGTCGCGCAGTTCTTCGCGACCACCCCCAAAGGTCACAGGCCCAAACAGGCGGACTTTTGTCTTTTCCTCTTCTGTGTATCTCGCTGCCTTCCGAAGCTCACTTCCCGCTTCGAACACGGCGATCTTATCTGGGACGGTCCCAGCTCAGATACCCAGGTGCGTACCAAGGCGTCGGATGGAGACAACTCGCGTCACCCCACGACGGCAATCTACAACATGCTGCGCACCACACCGCCGAAGCGCATTGGACCCAACGCGCTCATATATTTGTCGAGGGGTTTCCGGATCTACTTCAAGAAGGCGAAGATCCCTCTGTCCCCTCACTCCGACACCCACGACGCCTACCCGATCACGAATGAAAACGCGGTCGATTGGGCTCAACTGCTCATGGACTCCTTCCAGAAGATGAGGACATATTTCTGCGATCTCCGCTCGAAGTGGCGCGTCCTCGAGGGTGACACCGCCTCTTTCTCGCTACAGGCCGAGGAGTCCTCGGATGCTTTCGAGACCATGAAGCTTTTCAGAGCCCTTCTGGATGCCGGCGTCATCAAGCATCTTATCACCCCGGATGTTGAAGCGGAGCTGCAGGAGATGCGCCAGCGCAGTGAGGAATCGAAGTCGTGCCCAGTGGAAAGTAAGTACCCTCGTCATTTGGGATCGTCGTTGCATTCTCACATCTGGCTAGACTTGGTGAACTGGGCGAAGAAATCCGCTCTATCGACTAGAGGATGCGAGTCTACTTACTCATTTCTGCTTACGCAGATGGGAGCTACGAGTGTGCCCGAACAGAACACTTACGAAGAGGATGCGCCTGACGAGGACGTGTTGGAAGCCGCGGACGATGACGATGAGGAAGGTTCGAACAACTCATAGGATCGCTGGACGAGATAGTACTGACAGGCAAACCATTCCAGTGGCGGACGCCAGAACGGATCCAAACGACTCGGTGGAACACCACCTCGTCCTCCGGCATCTGAGAACCGTGACGCTACCCCTTGACATCATTGCCACGTTCACCGATCTCCCCATGTCTCAAGGTGCTGGCAACGCTCCGGCTGTGCAAGCCGTCTATGTAGACCACCCACCTGCTCAGCCTGTATTTCGTCCAGACAACTTCGCCGACATCGAGAAGAAGATAGAACCGTTCTTGCCGGCGAAACAGACAGCCGGCTCCCTCCCCGATCCCGGAGATGGTCCATTTGCCAGCGTCATCTTCCCGGCAATCGCGAAGTGGCCGAATAAGTTGGGGAATCAGGTGATGCAGAAAGTAAATGGCGCAAGTGTGCATGCCGAGGCGGCGCTCATGGCTCGCGCATGGCTATCGCAAAACGGCGACGGCTCAGCAGCGTCATCGGAGGGCGAGAAACTGATACAGGATGTGCTCTTGGTGCGTCGTATCTTGTATGTCCCCTCAATTCCACGCTCACATGGTATCGTTTCGCAGCGCGAGCGCATCCCCGTCGGAGTGAGCAAAAAGTGTTGTTTTTGCTGCGACTACCTTGCACAACTGCTCGCCGAACCCTCGGAGGACGGGCGGCCCGGTGTGAAGTTTGTCCTCTCGGGCACGCATTCGACGGTTTTCCCTTGGGTTCCACCCTCAGGTCTACCTCGTGCGGTTTTGGTCAAGCTGGCGAAGAGGCTGACCGACACGCTGGATGAGGCCATTAAAACCTCTTCCAAAGATGTCGGATCGACGCAGACCACACCGCTCCACGCTTCGGCGCCCCTCCCCGCCTGTGCGGGTGAAGATGAAGATGAGTTTGCTAGGGAGGTGAGGGAGCGGATTGAGTTGGTGTTGGAACCCGACGTGGAGTAGTGTAGTGGGGTTGCGGCCGGGTCTATCTTGATTCGATGGTTCCTCTCGTTGAGACATATTTGTACTTGTACTTTACCACTATGAACGACGGCAAGTAGCACCAATGCACCCTTGCCACTAGCCCGGCCTCCGACGCCCGTCCGCCGCCCGCCGCAACCGCAAGCGTCCCCGCCTGGTCCACATCCCTGCAGTTCCCGCAGCGCGCTCTGCACAGTCCTTCTCTCACCGCCCACCTCGACCGCCTCGCACCCAGCGCCCCGCAGCCGTAGCGTCTGCATGCTCCGCACCACATCATGCTCCGTCACGACGGTCGGCTCACCAAGATTTGCACAATGCACCCCGAGCTCGTGCCGCCAGCCGCTGAGCCTATGGAGCTCTGTCCACCAGCTGCCCACACAGGGACCTTCGGGAAGGTGGACGCCGACGCCGGCGCATATCTGCCAGCACGCGTGGCGGAAGGGCTCAGCGCGGGCGCGGTCGCAGTGGGTGGCAGCGTAGTGGGTGAGGGCGGCACGGAACCGCGTGGAGGGGGTTGACCTTGGCTTGCAGGAGAGCTCGGTGAAGGAGCACAGGGGCTCGCGCTGGTTTTGGAAGACGGCGATGTATGGTGGCTATGAGCGGGGAAGGGACTTGACCAGCCAGCCTCGTCGTGGCAGTCACGTCGGACTTGTTTGCCGTTGAGATAAGATAAGATTGCTCAGCCGCCGCCATCACGACAAGAGGTCGTCATCCATCTGGCCTCCAAAGACATGTCGACTCTACTCTCCTTGAACCACGATGTCTTCTCAGTCATCCTCTCCTGCATCACCGCCAATGACGCTCTCCATCTCGCCTTCACCTGTACCGCCGCATACCCCCTCGCCATGGCACGCGCTCTCGAAAATACTGTCTTGGGCAAGGACAAAGAATTGACGACACGTCGCATCTCCCGCTTCCGAAGGTACATGGTCGAACGAGATCCGCGTATGTCTATGCCTCCTCGCGCCGAATATCTTCAAACCCTCGCCGTACGTCGCATCGGGAACCGCGAGAGAGCCATCGATCACGTCGCCGAAGTCCTGCACCTCACGCGGAGGCTCCAAACGCTCACACTCTCGCACTCCAACGTAACTCTCCCTCGACCACACCTCGTCCAGGCTCTCCGTTCCATGGAGCGCCTGACAGCGGTCTCTCTCGATGGCTTTACTTTCGCCACTCTCCCGGCTCTATTGGCGCTCCCAGAGACGGTGGAGTGTCTCTCATTGAACTTCTCCGATCACTTCACCGACCGGGACGCACTTCCAACCTTCCGATCTCGCGCTCTAGTCGACGCGCTCGTTCCCTTCACTCGCCTCAAAACCCTTCGCGTCTCAAACGCCAGCAGGTACACGGTGGGACGTCTGGACACGCAAGAGGTGTACTACAGTGCGGTCCCTTTCACAGACTGGCCGGAGAGCACCCTACCTTCCGTTCGGCGCCTGGAACTCCGTCGTGCCGAAGGCTACGTGCTCGAAACTCTCGTGGCCGCATGTCCCCGCGTTACCGACATCTCCTTCGTCATGTTCAACTGGATATACTCTTCGGACCTCAGCACCATCGGCCCGCAATGGCCTCCCCTTCGCTCATTCCACTTCAATGGGCTTTTCCATTGGGACCCCTCTACCATACAGCGCGTCAGCCGGATAAGACGTCTCTTCCTCAGCAATATCCTCTGGGAGTTCTACACAGCTACGCTCCAGACGACAAGGCCCGTTGCCCGATGTTTCCCGGAGCTGCTCCGCCAAGCGCGCCCCGTCGCACTCACGCTCGACATGCCCCTCCTATACCACACCGTCTGCGCGGTTCAGGAGGCCGAATCGATATGGCAGTTCATCGCGCGAGACGCGCCGATGCTGCGCTCGCTCGAGCTGAAGATGCGCAGGTGGTACGGCGAAGACGAGCAGCCGGACGACGACCATGAGGGGTTCCTCTTTCTCCTCCCGGAGACGCTCGCGGCGCTGCCCATCGTCCACCTCGGCATCCGCGTGTGCGGCTCGGAGCCGAAGGATCGTCCAAGGGACCCCGCGCTCCTGCTGGAGTACTGCGAGTCGGTCAGGAAGGCCCGCGCGAGCGAGGCGCGGCGGGAGCGGACCCTGGAGGAGGTCGTGAGACGACTTCCGGACGCGCTGCCGCATTTGCGCCTCATCATGGTCGCGCACGAACATCCTGCCAAGGTTCCGTCCTTGGACGAGGGTGGAGACACAGCAAATGAGGAACAAATCGACTCCACGACGGGCGGTCGTATGCGGAAGATGAAGGAGACGGAGAAGTGGAGGGCGCGGTGGTGGTGGGTGAGGCGCGAGGGGGATGCGAACTCGATGGTGGAAATTTGGGACGTGCATGGGGAGCAAGCGAAGGGGCTGGTCTGGGGCGAGGAGTACGAGCCAGAGACCACTCTTAATGGTGAGTGACTCTTCATGAATTCATTCATGAAGCCATGAACTCAAGTTTCTTGTAGATTTCTTTGCCCCCTTCCGACGTCAATACGCCATACAGGAGTGATGAAGCAGACAGAAATAATAATTCGTGTGTATGCGTTACTTGACCCCAGAAATCGAGTCGCCATTCCGTGCTTCGAGCCGGCTCGAACGCGTTGGCCGGCCATTGGGAACCTCCAGCCCGGCCATCTTCTTCATCTTGGCCGCGGTAATGACCGTCCACTTGGCGCTCTCCGGAGGAGGGAGGAGGGACATAGTCGGCGCGAGTCACGGTGCGGGAGAGGCGGACGTGCGTGGCGTCGGTGCCGATCACGACGTCGTATGTGATGGTGGTCCCGTTGTCGAAGGTGACCGGGGACGGCGTCGAGCAATATCTGCAGAAGCGCGCGGCAAGCGATTCCTGGGGAGAGGAGTCACGAGTCAGCCGAGTGATGAGTAAGTTAGAACAACTGCGCACACACATATATACTTGTCATGTACTGTCTGTCCCATGCCAATCATCAGTCAATGCTGCCTCGGAGCTGAGGTGGAGACTAGCTAGACCCAGATGAAATGAGAATGGAATGGTTTCAGTCATCCAATCGTGATTGACTCGCCTTTCTGCTCCCGAGATTCCGACCGGATCCCCCTCTAGCCTCTGCCTCGCCACTCATTGCAGCTAGTCCCTGTCCAATCGGGAGCCATGCTGATACATAGATCGTTGCATATAATTCACTCAAGTGGGTCACTTCGTCAGTATATAAAGCCCCGCACTTCGACAGCCAGCTAACACCCACTGTCACTCCAAACCACAGAAAAATGGCCGTCCCTGCTGCTCAGAAAGCCCTCCTCATTCCCGCAAAGTTTGCGCCCTTTGTCGTCGACACCATCGCTGTCCCTCAACCGAAGCTCGGCGAGCTGCTCGTGAGAATCGACGCCACCGCATTAAACCCCATCGACTGGAAGACTCGAGTACTTGGTGTGCTCGCCGAAACCTTCCCAACCGTGACAGGCTATGATGCTGCTGGTGTCGTGGTCGCACTCGGCGAAGGTGTCACTTCGTTTGCCGTAGGAGATAGGGTGTGCGTCTCATGGACTGACTACTTCTTGTGACTCACTCACATCTTCCGCCAGCATGGTACAAGGATGGCATGACGCTGAGAGCAAGTCGGTGCACGGGACATTCATGCAGTACTTCGACCTGCCAGCACGTCTAGCTGTTAAGGTCGGATGATCATTGACCGTGACACATCAATTCCTGATCAATGTGTCTGTAGATCCCAGAGAGCCTCTCTGTCGAGGCCGCGGCCACAGTCCTCAGCGGGATGGCGACTGCTGCGTTTCCTTTGTACCACCCCGACGCGCCAGCTTCAGCGCAGTTGAAGGCGCCGTGGACTGCGGAGGGCGCAGGGGCGTATTCCGGCAAGCCCTTCTTCGTTCTCGGAGGATCGTCGTGCGTGGGGCAATTCGGTGCGCCCCCTGATTTCTCGTTCTCTGGCTCCTAAACCATCGACTCACAATCCTCTGCCGCGTCCAGTGATCCAGTTGGCACGCCTCTCTGGCTTCGCTCCCATCATCACCACCTCGTCCCTCCACCACACGGATTACCTCCAGTCCCTCGGCGCGACGCACGTCCTGGATCGGAGGCTCCCGCACGAGACGCTCATCGCCTCCGCCGTGAAATCGCCGGCGGGAAGCCCTTCGATGTTGTCTACGACGCCATCTCCGTCACAGACACGCTTGCCCTCGGGTATGCGCTGACCGCGCCAGGCGGGGACTTCGTCGTCGTGCTCAACTTCGAGCCTGTGCCGGGAAGGGACGATGCGACGGGGAAGAAGGTGCACATGGCGCATGGGTTGTTCATGACACCGGTGAACCACGGCGTCGGCGCATCGCTTCTGGATGCGCTGCCGAAGCTGCTCGAATCGGGCGCAATCAGGGTTCGTTGTCGTCTTTATCTGTGGATCCACGCAGGACTGACCGTATTTTCAGCCGAACCGTCATGAGGTCCTCCCTGGCGGTCTGGCTGGGATCGTCGATGGGCTGAAACGAATGGAGAACGACGAGATTAGCGGAGTGAAGCTTGTGGTGCGGCCGCAGGAAACAGTGTAAACCTTTGTCCGGGTGGTGTGTACATCGTCACTGCGGCACGGCGATGGTCGAAGGCAAGCTCAGCCCTGAGTTGTTTTGTTGGGGTGCAAAACGGCACAGGTACAACTCAATCTTCGCCCATGGCACACTACGACTGTGTCGGTAGAACTTCATCAGACTGACACGCGGCTAGTATGCGGGATACATACATCCAGCCTCCATTGAGAGCAAATTTCTACAGACTCCCCTTTCCAAGCTTGTACGCCTCTGGCCCGGCCATCTTCTCCATGCTGAAAGCGGTGATGGCCGTCCACTTCGCGCTCTCCACAAAAAGTTTCTCCTCTGCCTTCTTGACCGCCGCCTCCTCATTGCTTGCCCCTGCGTTCACCGGCGCCTCCGCGATCGCCAACCCCAACTCCAGCCCATCCAACATCGACACGTTCGCCCCCATCCCGGCAAGGGAGCATGTGCAGCGGCCGGTGGTAGATCGCGTCGTCCGCGCCGTGTGTGATGATCTGAACTTCTCCAGGACCACCGCTCGCGCCTCTGCCGCGTCCGACGGGAGCGGCCGGTCCGCTGAGCAGTGGAACCAGGCGGCCATCGCTGAGCCCGTCCTTGCAGAGCGCGAGTTGGCCGTGCTTCCAGTGCAGATCGAGGATGCCATCGCGGGGGGCGCGGGCGAACGGGCTTGCTCCGCGCTCGTAGAAGGTGGAAGACGCACCGCGTTCGGGGGTGAGGTGGAGGATGGGGCTAGAGGGTCCAGCATCACCGATGATGGCGATGCGGGGTACGTTTGTTTAGGCGTGAGATGAAGTCGAAGACGTCTGCTGCTGCTATTGCCTAGAAACGGATGTCCCGCCCACTGCAATCACCCAGTCAGCACACCCGTGGGCTCGCAAGCGGGGTGCTCACCATTCAACGTCCAGTCTTGTCAACGGTCGACCTCAGCGACTTGCATGTAATCCCGGGCCGAACGATGTATTGTAGTCGGGCCCTGGTACGGATGCGGCTGCGGCTCGACGAAGAAAGGAGACAAGGACCTGAATTAGTGCGTTCTGTATGTCTAGAACCCAAGGATCTGAGGTGAACTGTCAAGGATGACGAGCTGTAGACGTTGACCCCTGGAACGTACCCCGTTTGGCAGCAATGAGGAGGAGGAAGAGAGCAGAGTAGGAGGGATGGTGGTGGCATTGGTTGACCTTGCACTCCCAATGCAGCATCTCGTCCTCTATTCACCATCGCCTAAAAGTACATTGCGGTAATAAGGAAATCTATCGTGACTTCTGAGCAAATGTCGCGAGAGTCCGAGCCATAGCAAAGACTCGCCTAGATCCGCACATCCATCACTCATCCCACCGCATCGCAGAGGGCACCCAGTACGACACCCCGTACTCTTCGTCCTGCTCGTCCAGCCAGCAAAGCCCGTCCCGCAACAGCATGTTCTCCAACGCAGCCCGCGCCCGCTCTGTCGTCCACCCCTTCCGCGCCACGAGCCCCGCCTCCGACACCCGCCCCCCGGCCTCCTGCGCAACCGCGAGGACGACCGCCTGGTCCGCGTCCAGCTCCCGCGGCACGCTCCGCACCATCCTCCGCCCCCCGCCCACCTCGATCACCTCGTAGCCCGCGCCGAGTGGCCGGAGCGTCCGGATGCTCCGCACCACGTCCTCCTCCGTCACGACGTCCTTCCCGCCCCGGAGGCGGCTCACGATCCGCACGAGCTCGCCGACGTCGATCAGCCCCCCGTTCCGCTCGCGCGTCGAGACGCAGACGTCGACGATCTGCACCCCGAGCTCGTGCTGCCAGTCGCCGAGGCCGAGGAGCTCCGCCCACCAGCCGCCGGTGCGGGGGCCGGCGAGCGGGTCGACGCCGACGCCGGCGCACATCTGCTGGAACGCGTGGCGGAAGGAGGGCTCGGCGCGGATGCGGTCGCGGTGCGTCGCGGCGTAGTGGGCGAGCGCGGCGCGGAACTGGGCGAGCTGGGCGTGGAGGAGGTCGACCTGGGCTTGGGAGAGCTCGGAGGAGAGCTCGGCGAAGGAGCGCTGGGACTCGCGCTGGCGGTCGAAGGCGGCGAGGCCGGCACCTCCCAGTCGATGCATGGCGGTGGAGAGGAAGGGGATGAGGGAGAGAGAGGGATGGTGGTTGTACAGATTAAACCTGCACTCGCGGTCCAGTATGAAGGCAGCATCCCTCGTTGAGATAAGATTAGATCAGATGATTCCGAGTCCGATACACATGAGATAAGAGTAGATTAGATGGCACCGCTCGGCCAGCGAGCCACAACGGAGCCGGTTTACACCAACACATAATAGTACAACAATATTCTAAGCATCTTCATGCTCCTCCAACTCCTCTTCCAACAACCCAGCCGCCAGCGGCCCTGCTCCGATCTCTAGCGCGCGAGCTCTATCGTAGCTGTTGCTAATGTCGTAAGTCGTATGAGCTTCTATCAACGCCGTGCCTCCTGTCCAAGCAGTCCCGTGGCTAAGGGGCGCGCCCATATCGCCCGCCAGACCCGAGGCAATCTGGATCGACGAGAACTGCGACAGCGCGACGGTGGTCGTCCCTTCGTCCATCTCCTGCGCAGTTTGACGCAGATTCAGCATGAACCGGGAGATCAGGATGCATGTGACTCTGGTGGCTGCCGTCAGTGACGTCCGGTGAGCACGAAAGCACTTGGAGTAGATACGTACGCCTCGATAAACGGTGGCAGTGGGTTGTACAGCTGACACAACTGGGTCAGGGAGCTTCTGAGACTCTAGGGAAAACACGTACCGATTCGTTGGAGTTCAGTATAATATCTATAACGTTGAGGATAAGGAGGATCCTGCATTTTCAAATGTCAGTACTACCCGACAGCGCGGCACAACACAACATACCCGAAGTAGAGCGTGCCTGGCAATCCGTCAGCACAATGTCATGACCACGAGCTTAGAGGGAAAAGAAAGCTCACCGTCCCGAAGCAGCAACGTTGACAGGGATGTTTTGAAGTGAAGCCGATATGAGAGGCGCCTGATCTCATATGTCTTTAACCACGTGAGGACGACGACCAGCAGATCCGTGGCGATTGCAAAACCATGCGTAATCATGGAGACTGCAGACGAGCATGAGAATGCGACACGATATAAGGGACGGAAGGAACACACGCTGCTCGAACTGCTCGTCGCTGAGATCAACGTTCTCCCCGCAGCCATTCAATGGAGGTCCGCCGGCAACAGGTGTCGAACGAATATAATGATACTGAAGGGCCGCTCGTCAGTACGTAGGGCGGCGTGATTTTACATATGCACACTTACCATGTTTGTGACCGGAACCGCCATGGCTAATAGCAAGACGAGGACTAATAGCCTCCAGTTCTTGTCCCACACAGCATATATCCGCAGCGCGGAGAACACTGTCTGCGAATTGAGCGGCTGGTGATGAGTGAGCTATGGTAATAATAGCTCACCTGCAGCGATCCAGTAAGCGACGACTGTCAGCACTATCACGAGGATAATGGGGGCAGCGCATCTGAGGAAAGAAAAATTAAACCTGCACAAGACTGAATCTATTGAGAACACGCACGTCTATAGCACCGTTAGTGAATCTCACATTAAATCGGTCAGCAACGTCAGTCGTACCTCGTCCGTTTGATTTGGCCAGTACATAGTACTGATAGGAAGGACCACCTTGCCAGCCAGATTGACATATCTGTTGAGCGCGAAGACGACTGTCGCACCAGAGAACCTCCGACCCCAGACGAATTGAAGCTCCCCCGAGAACGTGAGGAAATGATCATATGCGATCAGGGCTGAACGCCGGACGAGCAGGTCAGTTCATCATCAGGGTATGTCGGTATGAGGAACACGTACTCAATGCAGCGACTTCGCTGTAGTTAGCAATTCGACTAATCATGGGAGTCGTTGATTCTATTAGCTTGGCTGGATGACGCAAGGGAAGAGGGAGCGGGGAACTCACAAGAGACCGGTAGCGGTCACCAGCTGCTGGATCTCGTCGCTGTCGGACATAGTGGGGGGAAAAGGTGGCACGACGAATAGGCCCCAGACTCATCTATGTATGTTTCCGGAGGCGCTGGAAATGCACGGGCTTCCTCGCGCGCTGGCTCGCATTGCGTCGCCCAAGGTTCTGTCCGTGCCAGTTGATGCCACCCTCGTCGGATGATAGGGCTTGCAATATACCCTCTCAGGATGATCCAGCGTCAAACTCTCGAAAAGTAGACCATGTTTCAAGATTTCACGGGTGCGATACCCACAGAACGATTACACTCTGGCTCTGGCGCCGTGCGACCCTGGAAAAGCATGATGAGGCTGAGTGACTCACGTCAGCGATCAATGCAGAGTTCGAAACGCACCGCTGGCGGGGCTCGATAAGCCTCTGCATCACCTTCTGGTGCCTGTTGTCAACCCGGTCGCGGGAAGGCGCAAGGAGCGGTGCAGGTGGTGGAAGATTGCTGTCGAGCACTTATAGACCTGCGTCCGCGTTAGGCAGCGGCGATCTTGCCGCAGAATGACAGGCAAACCGCGGCCGATACGATAGAGTTCGTTGGGAGATGGGCGGTGTGCGACGCCGGCGGCACGACCAAGCTGTCGTGTTGCGACTCGGGATGCGGTCCAGTCATGGATGGGATCAAGAAAGGATTCGTGACGACGTAGTGGAAGTTCGTGGGGCTTGACACGTGCTTTGTTGGAATCTTATCTTAGCGCTAGTGATAAGTACACTCTGCGCCCCCAGTCATTCACCAGCTCACCAGCACCATCGATCCATCCCACGTAATCGTGCACGGAGATTCTGGAGGCTCGCCCTCCACGCGCGATCCGCGCGCGACCGCACCTTCGACTTCCCGCGAGTTCCGGCCACCAAAACCCGCGGATCGTACGTAAGGATGACCTGCCCCCAGGCTCCAACGAAGCCCTCCCACAGATGACGTCCGGGCGGAACTGCCGCGCGAGAAGGGGGCGGGGACGTATGCATTACGCAGAGCGATGTACTGTTACAGGCGGAGAAGTACAGAAGGTGGTACAGGAGTCTATGTGGGCCGGGGGCATTCGATGCGGGGGTTCTGTGTCGTCGGTGTTCGGAGGCGGCGGTCGTGAGGGTGGATCGTGAGGGTGGAGAGCAAGGAGTGTGAGGTGGCGTGCGAGGGGACCGAAAGGCTGGGCAAGAGGAAGAGTCGGACCACGGGGACAAACAGGCGAAAACAACGAAAGCAGCCACGGAAAAGGGGAGGGGGAGCCAAACAGGGAGTGTGGGTGGTGTAAAGCGGTACACTGTCAAGTCACGCGCGGAAAGACCAAGAAACCAAAGGACCAGAAAAGAACGGGGACGGGGAACCTGGGGACGGGTAAGGAGATGGTGGAGGAGACGGGGAAGGAGATGGGGGAGGAGACGGGGAAGGAGATGGGGGAGGAGACGGGGAAGGAGACGGGGAACCGTGATCGAGATGGGATGTGGGGTTGTTGCGTTTTAGACAAGACGAGCCTGGTCCGATGCAAACGAGACGATGGCAGGATCACAAAAAGGCGAAACGGAGCGCAAACGCTCCTCATGAGAGCGCGGCCGGAGTCTGTGCAAGCCGTCAGCGGACCGCCCCCACCCCAACCCCACGTACACGAGGCACGCACCAGCTTCTCCGCGCCGCGCTCGACCATGCCCGACGCGGCGCGCCGCGCGCACGTCGTCCAACGCAAGACCGCGGCCCTCACGACCGCCAGGGCACCGGGATCCGACCGCGCTCCCGCTCATCGCGCGCTGGCCGAGGGAGGCAAGTGATGAGCACTCGCATACGGGCCCGCGCCCGGCGGCCGGCGAACGAGACGCTTACCCTGACCGCTCGAGCCGCGCGACTCCAGCGAGCCCGAGCCCGAGTTGCGGAAGAAGAGCCGCTGGAAGAACGGCCGCTTCGCGGAGCTCGCGGAGGACGTGGGCGACGTGGGCGAGACCCGCCCCGAGCGCGGCGGGGGGCGCGACTTTGGCGGCGACGGCGTGCTCGCGTATATCGACGCCGCGTTCGGTACCTGTGGCCGCAGAGGCGTCAGTGCGGGAGTTCGATAGCGGCGCGGAAGGGGGGCGTGCGTGGAGGGTGCGTGGCCAGGGGGCGCAATCTCCGCGCGTGGGATCGCACCCCGCGCGCACAATGAAAAGCGCGAGGCGGGGCGATCGGCCGCGATGGGCAATGCAAACTGCGAGCACCGCGATCGCGCAGCGCGCAAGAGCCGGGGGGATCGAGATGGGTGTGTACTCACGATGATCTGCACTTTCTGGCCGGGGGACGGGAGGACGTAGTACGTGCTCCCCGAGTCGTCGCTCGAGGTCTCGCTCTCGCTCAGCGCGGGAGTCGTGTCGCGCGTCCGCGAGCGGTCGCGGCCGGGCGTGTAGCTGCGTCCGCGCGGGGGCTCGCGTTCCCGCCCCATCGTTGCGCCCATGGACTGATGGCGCTGGCGCTGGGACGACCCGTGCGCGGACGGATATGGCGCATGGCCCGCGGAAGCCTCTGGAGAGTATCCGTACGGGTTCGGCTGCGGAGTGGGGTCGGAGCGGCTGTAAGCCATTCCGGGCGCGCGACGATGGGCGTGCGAAGAAGGCGAGTAGACAATAGCGGGAGGCTGGTAATTCGACCGGTGCTTCCGTCCGGACGGGGCGTAGACGATCGCAGGGGGCGCGTACGTGTACGGGAGGCCTGGCTGGGGCGCGTGCGGGGTGTGGGTCGCGGCGATGCTGGGAGCCTCGTAGAAGCGCGAGCCGCTGCTGTGCGGTACCGACTGGGAGTGGGGGTGCATGGAGGGCGGGGAGGCGGGGATGGGGATGGGCTGGGGATGGGCGCGCGAGCGGGACGAGGGCGCGTGGGCGTGCGGGTGCACCGCACGATTCGAGGGGTGGAAGGGATCTGCGAGGGCGGGAACTCTATCGTGCACCGAGGGCTGGTGCGGTGGGAAGGCACCCTGCGGCGATGTGCTTGACGCCCGCGCTCGGCGGGGGTCTTCGGGCGCCCGTGACGCAGAGGGCAGAATGCGGATGTTTTCTGGTGTCGCCTGCAGGTGCGTCTCCGCGGCGGCAGCGTAGCGGGAGCCAGAGGCGTAGGAGAGAGACTGGGCGTGGTGGGGCGGCATGCGCTGGTCGGCGGGTGAGGTGGGAGAAAGAGAACCAGACCGAGACCGCGAGTGGCGAGAGGGTCCGCTTCTGCCACGGCTTCCGCTCGCTGAGTCGTTGGAGATGGGGATGTCTGGCCGGCCGTCGTTGTAGCGGAGGAGCATGCGGGGCGGGACAGAGTGGCTGGAGGCTTCGGAGTCGGAGGGCCCATAGCTTGGTGCATCTTCGTCGCTGTACATCGACGGCGGCGCAGAGGGTGTGACAAACTGGAGTCCAGTTGAGTGGACGGTCACCCAGTTCGCGGTGCGGTTGCGCGCATGAACGAACTCCTGGATCGTCTCTGGGTCAGTGGCATACTCCGTCATGGCGGGCAGGGAGGAGGAGGAGGATGAGGAGGGACAAAGCACGGGCTGCGATGGCACGGCAGCGGCAGATAGAACAAAAGGGCGATCGGGAGAGGGGGATATAGGTCTTATACTGCCCGAGGCGGTGGGACCCTCGGACCACGGCTGCGGGGGGCGGACGCTCGAAAACCCTCTGGCGCGGGGATTACTGACCTCATCCGCAGAATAAGCCAATGTGAACTATCCGCCTTCCCCACTTGGGTTATCCATCTGGAACGTGTTTGCGGTGAGGCCAGAAGATTATCGAGAACCGGCTAGATCAGGCTCGTGCTCGGCGCGTTTCGAGCTCCGCTTGTATCCTGGCGGTCATTGGCTGTGACCGCTGTGCCATACGTCTCCGCCCCTCACTCCGCTTTAATGATGCCGTGGCACTGCGGCCTCTGTCAGTGTCAGACTGCGTTGTCGCTTTTCCCTGCTCTAGTCCTGCTCCGTCAAGCAACATGTCTGGTTCCCCAGGACTAGGGCTCATCGTGTTGCGATGCACGTAGCCCCCGACGTCCACCGGTGTTCCTGGCCCGCCACACCAGCAGTCCCACCATGTCCGCACAGTCGCCCGGGGGCCATTGCATTCAAGGCGCCCTCGTATGCTTCTAGGCGTCCCGGTTTCTCATGATCGGAGAATCCGCATCGCATGATCACCCACACCCAACTCCCCCAAGTGGCACCCTCTCAAGCTCGACAGCGCATCTGTACGCCACGAAGCACGCCACTCGCCCCGAACCAGTCGGCGGAGAACTTGGGGGGATGAGACGCAGAGGAGGACGAAGAGCCTAACCGCCCGTTCTCCAGGAAACTCGGAGCGCAGCGCGCGAAGGCGTTCATTTCGCTGGGAGAACATCTGACTCACATCACCTGCAGGCCTCCACCGTCCGCGCATGGCCGCCACGACCTGCGCGCGCCCTCCCCAGCCCCTCTCCCCCGCTCGCCGCTCCCTGGGACGGCGCGGCGAGGCGGCGAGGCACACGCGCCCCTGCGCAGGTAGGTAGGGCGACGTCCGCCTTCGACGTCGCGGCGTGCCTCGTGTTCGCTGACGCCGCTTCGCCGTCCCGCGCGCGAGGGAATGGCACGGGGCACGCCATCCCGCTGGCGTATCCCGTGCGTATATGACCGTGTGAAGCTCGGGGAGATAGCTTACCGCTCCGATTCTTTTCTCGAGGGAACACAGCGAAAATAGCGTCAACGTCAAGCTGTGCGTCGGCTTCCATGTCTGCAGAAGGTCCTCGCCATCCGCATCCCCCATGACGCTGCGAGGCTTGACCCGACTACGAAGCCTGTATTTCGGTGTTGATTGTACAGCGTTCGGTACCGCCGCCACGAAGAGCACTGCAAACCCCGACAAAGGCCACTGCAGCATGTGTGAGAACCTCCTAGCCTCGCTCGACCTCACATCGGTCTTCGGGACAGATCCGCCGTCCTATGGCGGAGAAAACCAGCGCACCCAGCATCACGCGCCACATCGCGTGTGCGCACGAACGGGCGAGAACGGATCCAGTACCCCGCTCGGGGTCGGTCGTGATCCAGAACAGGATGCGAGCACCGCGGCCGGCATCGTCGCGCGCGATGACCAAACACTCGCCCGCGAGACGCGGAGCCACGTCCGCGGCGATGCGACCGCTCGCGGAGGTTCGTAGCGCACCCACCAACAGCGATGGGCGCCGTACTTCACCCTGGTGCGTCGGACGCTCCGTATTTCCCGTCCCCCAACCAAGCCTGTCTTCTTTGTCTTTCTCCCGCGCGCCGGCCCGCCATCGATCCTGCTGCCCCGCCCAGGCCGCCCCAGCCAGCCGACCACGGCGCACGTCGGCGCGTCCAGAAGCTTTCATCAGCGACCTCGCCGGCCCTGCGCGCGAGCCTCGTTCCTCGACGTTCGCGGGAAACCTTGCCGGAGAAGGCGAAGAACTCGGCCACACGTGTTCTGCGTCGTCTCGCCCGTGCCACCCGTCGCCGCCACTCCTGGCCGTCCGACGCGTCGTCGACAGCCCAGAGCGCGACCCCGGTCCCCGACGGACATCGTCCCTTCACACCGCTCGATGTCCGCCGAGGTGCTCGTGAGGCGTTTGCTCTCCAGCGGTCGACCGGTCGAGCCGGCGGAGGGGGCAGCGCGCCAGATTACGCGCCGGACAAGCGTTCTTTTGGCGCGCGCGTGGTCATCTGGCCGCGGGGACCTGCCCGAACGGTCGGCGTGGCCCTGGATCCCAAGCTGCAGGTGCGCCGAGCCGAGTCTATCGATTTGTAGGCTGCTGCCGCCGCTGGAGAACGACGCGGACATGGGGGACGTGAGCGCAGGAGGTGCCACTGCGCGCGGAGACGGAGAGCGTGGCGGCGGCCGTCCACATACGCCTACGACGGGACGCTCCGTTCGCAGGCGGCGGTCGCCGGGCTCGCGTAGAACTGATCCGTGCGCCCACATACTAGGAATGCGGTTGGACGGGGCTCGTGTTCTGTGGTTAGGGATGTGGGACACTGCTTCTTCGGACGAGTATCTCCTTTGATGCGGACAATCCACACTGCACATCAGAGGGAATTTTCCTGCAGAGAATGGGCAGAATACGTCAGATATTCGGGATATATTCAGAGGATATTCGTGCAGAAAATGGGCCGATAATGGACAGAATACGGTTTTTTTTCATGTCCTTTTCGGCCCATATTCGGCGCTTTCTCTGGCTGAATAGCCGCAGATCACGTAGCATGGATCACTGGCGCTTCTGCCCCCACCGGGCTCCCTGCACGTTCGCTGGGCTCGCGCACAATGTACAAGTTCGAAAAGAGCTGCAATAAACGGCGAACACAGTGCTAACATATGTATACTACAGTCTACAAGTGATATGTCTCTCCCGGCAGGCACACTTGACGGTAGAGTCCCAGCTTGAGACAGTATCGACTATGGGCAATGAATTAATGAAGAGAGCGAACAGGAAAGGCAGACACGCACCATCTCAGACGAGCCTGAGTACAGAAAAGTTCCCAGTGATGATCACGACGAACGCGAAGAGGAAAACCGCATTGATGAACCCGGACTCGAGCCTGATGCGCACCACCCGCCAGAGCCCGCCGGCGCGTGTCGTGCCTGCCGCGAGCGCGTTCGCTCTGCTCCAGTCCACGTACCAGATGCGCGACGCGAGCTACGCCGCTAGCGGAGCAACGTCAGTGGCAGCGCGCGAGGAAAGCGGGACGGGGACGGGGACGCACAGGTGAAGAGCACGTTCGAGACGAGACTGGGAGGGAAGTAGATCTTGAGCGGCTCCGTCTGCTCGAAGATCGTCTGGTCGTGGGGGTGTGTGCGCGTACGCGTAGAGCGCATAGCAGCCCGAGACTGTCGCGCGCTGTCAGCAAGGCGCACACGCGGGCGGCGTGAGGGATGGCTCACTAGTGCTTGTCAGGGAGAGAAGGAGTGGTATGATCGGGATCCACCACTTGCGCCCCCACATGAACCTGCACCTTTAGTTCTGTGTGTGCATGCCTGTGTCAGCATCCATGTGCTAGCTGATCCTCAGGTAGATGGACAGTTTCGACGCACCATGAAGTCCCCCACAAAGAGCGTCGTGAGCAGCGACGCGTGCTTCACAATGAAGTTCTGGTTTGTAGCGTTATTCATGAAGGCCAGTCGTGCCACACAACCGTCATGGTTGATGAACCCAGTGTAGACGTATATGGTGTCAAGAAAAAATTGGGCCATGGCGAAGATAAGTAACGCTACACCCACGACGACCATGATAGACGCACCGCGCAACAGGAGGTCGTGTGTGCACACCGCGAAGAGGCACAACCCTGGAGGTGTTCGCGCTTGCGCTCGCGGACATGACGGCGGCGGACACGCGCGCGCTGGAGGCACACCCCCACCCCTGCACCAGGAGCAGCAGCTGCGGGCGGTCGACCTTGAAGATGATGGACGTATCCTCAAGCGGGGCCGTGTGCGTGCTCGCGGTCACCTGCTGCCAGGCGTCGATGAGCGTGCGCTCGCTGACGACATACCTGCAAAAAACGGTGGAAAGGGCGCCGCTGCCGTCCGCTGGTAGAACCTCAACGTGGAGAAGAACAACGAGATCGTCCCAGGGGCGAACACGGCCGTAGAGCGCATATGCGTGCCAGGCTTGTGCATACCGTGCGGGAGTCTGTGCATGTGTGGGGAGGAGGGAGGACGACCGGGGAGAAGCAGAGGCGAGACAGTGAAGGGGGAGGAAGGGAGGGGGGTCAGAGCATGCGTGGGGGTGAGGAAAGGAGAGCAGACGGACTACCTCACCAGTGACGAAGATGTCGGTAATCCCGAAACACATCCGCTCAGTGTCCATGTCGGGCTCGCTCGAGACCGTGCCAATGAGCTCGTCGATGTCCATCAAAAGACCCAAAGACGCGAAGAGTACTCGCCGTGCCACTCTCCGTCGCCATCCGGCTCAGCGCCGTCTGAAAAATAAACATCTTGCGCATACACTCAGTCAAAAAGCTCACTGTTGTCGTGTGGAGTGGCTTACTAGCCACGAGATGCTCGTTGATTGTGGCCTTCGTCTGGGTGCGATCCGGGCGGCGCTGCCAACAAGTTCTACGGGGGTATGTTTTGCGTCGTTGTTGAGCTTTTGGAGGCATCGCGCAGAGCGGAGGAGGGTTGAGACGGTGGTGGACCAGTAGACTAATGGGCATGCAAGGCATTTAAAGCGTCGCACGAGACGCCGGCAGCGCGCGACATGTGTCGCGCGAGAGCTCACGTGAACGCCAACTCGAGCTTGCGTCATCGAAAACGGCCAAGATATCCGCCCCCCAGGAAACCCTCTGAATAATTAGTGAATATCCGGTGTATTCTGTACATTCTCTCCGGAAAAATTCCCTCTGATGTGCAGTGCCAGTGCCACTCTCCACATACCCGAGAAGCCTAGGATAAATGGATGCTGTGTGACGGACATCGAATGCTGTGGAACTGCATGCCACAGAGTCATTGAGGAAGGTGCGCAGTCGGTCTTCTTCCTTGTACACCATCATCGCTCTCTTGATGCCTGGTGCTCACATTGGCCAGGTACCGGGCATTGCAGCCGTCGGTGTACTTGGACGCTGCGAACGCACTGCCGGGACAGCGCCACGACGCTGTCGGAGAGAGAACAAGCTGTCGCCGCGCGGTCGGCGGTGTCGGCGGTGTTTGTCCTCTCAACTCAGCTTCTATCTCACCGGCGTGGACACGCGCATTGAAGCGTGGAACTGACATCCATCCACGGCTGCACCCACAGTGGTGAAGTGGAGTATGTGCGCAGCTGAGCTTGGGCCCGGCTTTTCGATCCACGTTCGACACCACTCACGCATCCCCTCAGACCCGTGAACTCAGCGCTGGAGAGGCTCGGGCGACCACGGACGCCCGGAACGCGTGGTCGGTCCCAGTAATTGTCCAACAAATATTAAATTTTCCCTCAGAGCGCACTCCAAATTGTCGCACTGTCGCACTTTGACCGCGTTGGATCCACGCGCACGACCAGCACGCGATGATATACACCCGCGGCGCGCCCGGTCCGACACTCGACAAGCAGCCGCCCGGCAACTCAGCGGCACGCCAGATCAGCCGCCGGCACGAGGCGCGCTGCATCACCACGCCCCCGCGCGGTCTCGGAGTCCGGATGTCCGTCCGCGCAACCCTCGGCCCTCACGCTGCCCCCAGCAGTGTGCACGATGTGCTGTGACGGGGCGGGCTCAAGAGATACGCTTTTGGCTTCGCCCCCAGCAAGGCACCCGTCCGGAGAACTGGCCAACTATTGCCGACGGCCCACCCCGGAAGTGGGGCGCAGTCGTTGAGATATTGAAGGCCGCGCGCCGAACGCAACGTGCAGACACACGCCCGCAAGGTCGACCCTCGACATGACGGGGGTGCCATGGAGACCGGGCCTCGTGAATGTGCGACGGACGCGCGTCGCGCGCGACGCCACGGCGTTCGAAAGCTTCCAGCGACGACGTGATGCGCGCGCTGCTCATTATGACGTTCAACGTTCAGCGGTCGACGGCATATGTAGGCGGGCGTAGCCTTCCAGGCGTGGCAGGGTATGTACGTGCCTATCGGGCGAGAGGCGCGTCGGACCGACGCGGGACGCTCCACGTAACCTCGGGCGTGCTGAGTGCCCGGTGTGCCGTCAGATCTAGAGCCTCGGCGGAGATGGTATTGTAGAAGCTGAGATTAGCCACAAGCGACTGCACGAATACGATACGCTTGTGTGAGGCTGAAGTACTCCGGAATGCGCGGGCGTTGTGCTGCTGTAGTTGTTGTGTTGAGCGAGAGGTTGGTGGAAGGGTATATCACAATCCGTCGAGCGATGTTCGTCTGAAGGGCCTCCTCCCCTGCAAGCGCTGAAATGGGCGCCGCCGTCGGCGTTAGTCGGTGGTCCCCCAGATAGAAAGCGCGACGTCTCTAACGAGCGCCAGCTTCGCCACCATATCCTTCCAAAAGTACTGTCAAAACGACGCACAGACGGGAACGAAACCAGCGACTCACATCATGTGCCATGAAGGAAACCTTGGAGTTCGACGAGAATCCGCACTGAGGGCTCAGCGAAAGTCTGCCGACATACGGTCCGTGATGAATTGAAACTCCATGAGGCGGTAAAAAAAACGACCGCACTGTGCCAACGCCTCTTGGCGCGTCTTGTACACGCCCCCACGCGTGACAGCGTCCGCCGCCTCCTCGATGCGCTCACGTAGCGCATGCGCGTCTTCCAGCTTCGGCGTCTTGCTTGACACGAGCCCCAGCACCACGGACCTGCCGCGAGGGAGGTGCCGCAGGGGCCCGAATCCTCCCGAGCGCATGTCGTCGTACTCGAGCTGGTTCGGGGCCAGACGACGTGAAGAACCGCGCCCGCCAGATCTGGGGGACGACACTCACGTAGAACACGTCCGCGTCCACTTTCTCGAACATCGCCTGCGCGATGAAGTCGTACGGGCCCACGGCGAAGCCGGACCTGTCCGGCTGGTGTCGCGGGGGTAGGTACGTGAGCACGCGAGATAGGGGGACATAAATTTAGGGCGCACCTTGACGTTTCCGCGACACACGTGCAGGCCCGCGATCATGCCCTTTGGGCGATCGCGGAGGCAGTCGTTGATGACTCCGAGGTACATGTCCAGCAAGCGGGCGGGGTCGACGCCCGCCTCACGCATGCGCCGGTGAATGTCCTCGTCGCAGAAGCAGCCCATCACCGGGTCGTCGATCTGGACCCTGCCTGGAGTGAGGGTTCAGTCCGAGCGGCTCGTTTGCGACGAGAGCAGGGAGTACGCACGGCAGCCGCGCGCGTACAGGTCCTTGATCTCCTCGCGGTACATTCGCGCGACGTCCGCAAAGTATTGCCCTGTGTAGCCATGAAAAGTGCGGTCAGCCTGGATGTGTCGGGGAACGCGAGGGTGGAGCGTACCGTCGTTCGCGTACACCCCTGGTTCGTACGTGTACTTTCCGTGGCGGAAGTGGAACCACTCTGGGGCGCCCATGGTGACCTTGAGCTTGTGCACGTTCTGTGGAGGCATCTCAGCTACTTCTGAACGCGCCCTGTCCAGGGAATGGTCGCCCACCTCGGGGCCGGCTATCCGCTTCAGCGAGTCGAACGCATCGCCATACAGCGGGACGTCGCGCCGTAGATTGCCCTGCTATGGCGTAAGTAATCGGGCGCAACGGCACGAGGCGTGCGGGGGCAAAGCGGACTGACGACGCATATGCGCGTGACCGGCCAGGCTTGGACGAAGTTGAATGTCTACAAACGTTCAGAGGCTGCGTGCGCTCCGATACGGGTTCGCGAACCTAACCTGAAACATATGTGGCGGGGCTGAAAATTTGTTAGCTCTACACGGACGCTATACGAGGCCGGATCATGAGACGAGGCGACGCTCACCGTTTGGGACGTCCTTGAGCCCAGACAGCTTGTCGAAGACGCCTTCATAGAAGATGGCTCTGTACCAGAGATAAGAGTATGTACTGGCCGTTGGAAAAGGCGGATCGACTTACCTTCGCAGCTCTCCATCGGTGATCGTGGGCAGGCCGAGATCGAGCTGCATCCGGACGGCTTCCGAGATGGCCTGGTCCTCGCATGCCTTGAGCTCTTCTGCGCTACACCGGCCCTGGTCGAACGCCGCGCGGACCTGGACGAGGTGCTGGGGACGCAGAAACGAGCCAATGTGCTCGACGCGGGGGACGTGCAGCGTCGAACCCATCGTCACGATCCTCGGATTGCCTGCAAAGTTGCGTCGCCGGGGCAACGGAGAATCCGGGGCTGATCGGGCGCGATTGAGAGAGAAGGCGAAGGAGCGAGGGAGAAGAAGAGTCGGGGAGAGGAGAAGAGGAGACAGGGGCCTTAAAGCGTCGCGCGGCGCTCGGGCTCCGGGACGGGGGGCAGGCCAGAGAGCTTGAGAGACCGGTAGATGGCCGGAGCCCGATGCCGCGTTATGTCGCCGGGACCCGGGCGGATCGTCGATGCCGCCGCCCCAGCGAGTCGCCGTCGTCGCCGTCCGGTGCCCCGCGGCCGCTAGTGCGATCGCGTGCCCCGAGCTGGACCTGGAGAGGGACCGATGGGCGGGCGCCGTGCGGGATTACAGGGGGCGCGTTGCCGGAGCGGAGGCCGGACGCACCAGATTGTGGCGCTCTCAGCTGTCCTGGAAGCACCATAGTATTGGTCACCGCGCGCGCAACTATGCACGGAGGCGTGCTGGTTCCCGGTGTACGCGTGACCTGAACCTGCTGGGAGTATTAGAGCAGCACGACGAGTGCCGCGGTGAGCAGAGTCGAGGACCAGAGGCCGATGCAGCGGGAGCGCGCAGTGGGATGTGGCCAGGAACAAGGGAGCTTGCGCGGTGTGGGCGGACGTGGCTTCGCTGCTGACGTCGCTCCCGATGCCGTATCGGACAGCGCGAACCGGAAGAGGCAGGTTCCACGCCTTGGCCCGGTTCCATCCACGCAACTGGATATGTCGCCGCGACCGCTCGGGCGGGCCTTCCTGCGCCGGCCGCTATCGATGCGCATTTGGGTCTTTCGTCTGTGAACAGGGCCCCTGCTATCCGAGTTCCCATTTGGTCATATTGCGGGGCCATGGGGTGTTTGAGCGACCGCAACAGGCTGGGACGAAGACTATCATCTGAGCATCGGGACGGTGGTATTCCGTAAGCCAGGTGACATCGTGCATGGCCGGAAGTTGATGACACTCACCGAAGCTTTCTTATACAAACGACCTTGAAAGACTTACATGGCCAGGTTGGAGTGTGTCCTTGAGGCAAGCTATTGAGAAAGAAAGTTAACACGGAGCTGCTTGTATGCGCCCAAAAACGGGAAATTACACTAAAACCGCCTCCGAGTCTCACAGAATCCAGCTTACCACCGCATGCAACGAAAGTAAGGGGTAAATTCAAGTCAGAAAGAGTGAGTAAGTCGAGTCGTCATGATGCTGGCGTTCAAGAGGGTCTATCTTATCAATAAGCGAGCTGCGGTAATCTTATCTTGCCCCCCAAAGGCGCCTCCGCTGGGTGGCAGGCCTAAAAGCCTTGCCCGCCAGACAAGACACCTTGGTTACGATCCCTCATGTCCACCGAGTTGAAGCGTCCCCGAGGGCCGTCTTGTTGAGCGTACTCCCCCTCGTCTTCCACTTCGCCACTTCCAACGTCTCTTTTGGCTCGTTTGGTTATCGCTTTCCTCGTGTTCAAGCTCTTCCTTTCAAGGTTCACTCTCCTCAACTCCCACCTTCCAAACCCCCCGCCCCTCGCCCTCCATGCCCACTGCCCACGCCCCGCGCAAGAAGGCGTGCCAGGCCCTTCAAGCGGACCTACACACGCCATGCAGCAAGACATTCCGCGGCTGGGGCCGGTTCTGCCCACCCCATCTTGAGGAGCACGCGCGGCTGAGCGGCGCATACAAGGACGCCGCGGCGCGCGCAGAGCGCCTCCGCCGCCACGGCGAGCTGGGCGAGAAGCAACTCCGCGCGCTGCTCGGCGCCCCCGCCGTCGACCGCGCTCTGCAGAAGGCCCGCCAGTACGCGGCGGCACTCGACGAGGAGGCCGCCACCCGCGCAGCGCACGCCGCACGCTTCCCCACCACGTCCCCTGGCACGGGCGTGCCCCCGACGGCCATGCGCAGGTCGGGGAGCACGGGGAGCGGGGTCACTCTGGGGGGTCGGGCGGGATCGCCTACGGCCATGCACGTGGATGAGGACAAGCACGAAGACCGAATGCGGGAGATCAGGGAGAAGAAGGAGGCTTGCGACGCGCTCGTTGTGCAACTGCAGAAGAAGCGAGAGGAGGTCCTTTCGGAGGCTCAGCAGAGGCGGGAGAGGTACGGAGGCCGAGACGATGATCCCGAACGGCAACCTCTGCTGGAGAGGCGGCGGGCGGCAGCCCGGGCGCGCACGCGGCAGTGGGTGTGTATCGCGTTCTTCGTGGTCCTGGTGAGTGCATCCGTTCTGCCGCGAGCGTTCACGCCCTGGCGAGCGTTCGGCGAGGACGTGGCTGATGGTCGGCCGTAGCTTGTGGTGGTGTCCATGATTATCGCATGTCTTCTGATAACGCAACTTGACACGACTCCAGTGAGTGGCTTCGAGATGTATTGTGCGCTCTCACTGATTGTTCTGCGCAGCGCGCCCACGTTTGAGTCGACTCTCTTGGACTGTAACGTGAATCATGGTCTCCCTCACACGGACTTTGGCATACTCGCTCTGTATCGATGCATCCCCCTCTTGTACCCTGTTTGGCTCTGGATGAATGTACGCGTATCCCACTTCTATTCCCTCTCTGCAGTGTCACCGAGACTCAGTCTTCGATTAATGCCCCGCCCGTTCGAGGTCATCCCGTGTGAGGTCGGTCCGGCTGGGGCCGAGCGGTAGCAACGATGGCCCGCAGACGATGCTTCTTCACTTGACATATTCCAGGCTAGTGACAAGCGCTCCAACCGTCCACAGCCAGCGCCCCATCGTCCTTGGGACAGCTTCACTCTCGACCACCACCATCCCCCCTCCCAATGGGCCCTGCCCTGCCCTCCCCCGCCGTCCTCCCCGCCCCCGCCTAAACGCCAGGACTCCGATTCCACACCCGTCCAGATCAAGCCCCGTCCGCCATGGTCCTCTCTTCTCCCGAGCCGTCCCCGCCCCCCGGCGTTCCACCCCCGCGCGCGGGGCCCACCATCTGCGAGGCCCTCACCGACGAACTGATCCCCTGCTCGCGCGAGCTGCGCCGCCACTCGACCGCGCGCTTCTGCCAGAGCCACGGGCGGGAGTACCGGGAGCTCACGCAGGCGTACAAGCTCGTCTCGAAGGAGGTCGAGGAGCTCAAGGAGCTCGCGCGGCTCCCGCGCGGGCGGGGCGTGGCCTCGCTCGCCACGGTCGCAGACGCGGAACGTGCGGCGCAGCGGATGGACGCGTGGCGGAGCGCGATCCGCCGCGAGATCGAGGCGCGGCGGACGCAGCACCGGCGGTTCTTCCCGTCTTCTGGTGCGTGCGCTTGTGTCGTGTGCGCTCGCGGCGTGTGCTGATGGGTGTATGCGCCGACCGGCGCACGACAGAAGACAGGGGCCACCAGAAATGGCTCGAGTCGCTCGAGGCGGACCTCGTCCGCGCCACCCAGATGATCACGCTTCTGCGTAATCGGCGGGACGTGCTCGTGGCCCAGTCGGAAGAAGCGCTGCGGAGGATCGAAGACAGGCGTCGTGCGCTGCAGAACTATCGTACTCGCCGGGACACGCAGATCGCCGCCGAAGCGCGGGACGTGCAGCGCAGGCGGAACGAGATGCTCGAGCGCGCACAAATCGTCGGTCGCCCGAGCCCGGCCCCACCGTCCTACGTGCCGTCCGCACCAAGAGTCATCCCAAGCGCTCCCGTCTCTCCGGAGTACTGGCAATGGCAGGCGTCAGCAGGTGCTCACGCTCCCAGACCCAACTACGGCGCAGCGGCGGACATTGAGAACCAGAGGAGACATTCAGAGGCTCCCGAAGACGACGGTCAGGGCTCGGCCTCGACCATTGGCATTATACTTGTGAGTTTCTTATTTTCATCCGCATACGTGGTACTCATCGTTCTTTTTCTGCAGGGAGTGTTCATGCTGGCAGTGTACTGGTGGATCAAGGGGTAAACCTCATGTATCTCGGATGTGAGTACTTCCATGTTCAATCGGCCTGCCTACTCTTACCGATCCCTTCAGCACCGACGCTAGCGTTCTGTGCATTCTGTGTGTTTTCATTTCTTGTGTATCATCAGATCAGGCGCACACGGTGCGCAACAATACTTGCTGGTCATTGTCATCAGTATGGACACGGTTACGCCGTCTTTCGTGGAATCACGGTGTATTCTTCTGCTCTGACCCTTGCTTTCGGTCGCTCTCGGGTATGATTACCGGTTCGTCTTTTGTCGCATGTACTCTATGGTCGTGGATAGCTAGCGTGATGTATGTCTTTAATCGCGGTATGCCGGATATTTCGACGGGAGACGAGTCCTGCGACAAGGTTGGCCAAGTCGGGCCCTCCCCCTCTTGCCCTCAGCTCTCGTCCTCCTGCTCATCGCCGCCATACATCGCCGTCTTCAACCACCAGCACGAGCCTCTGGGTTCCTTCACCGGGCTCTCCTCCGAGCTCTCCCAAGCCCAAGTCGACCTTCGACCCCCGCCCAGCCCGCCGACTCGTTCCAGCAAACGTGCGCCGGGTCGGCGTGTCCCCCGTAAGCGCGGCTGGTGGGGCACGTGAGAGGCGACTGGCAGCACGAGCTCGATCGTCGATGTGTGCGTGTCGCCGCGCGAGCGAGATGGGGGCGCTACCTCGGACGCCGGAGGGCTCGTGCGAATGGTGGGCCGCCTGATACGCGGAGGAAACGATGGGATGTGGTGACGCCGGAGGAGGATGTGGTGAAGAGCATCATCCGGACGCTGCGACCGGTCGAGGCTGGGTCACATCAGTGGCTAGTTGGCGAAGGATGGTGCGGAGCGCACTGCGGGAGGGGGACGGGGACCAGGCGGTGGTGCTCGCGGTCGCGCAGGAATACGGCGGGCGGGGGGTCGAAGGCAGGGCGCGGGATGGGCGATGGAGCGGCGGGCGCGGGCTGCGTTGGAGAACGGGCTGTTGCGGGACGGGCTAATTCTCTGGAAGAGCAGTATGGCCAGATGTCGTACTCGGAGTCATTCGCCGCAATTTATTCCGTGCTGACATTTCAAAGGGTATTCTAACGCAGCGATGTAGTTCATGGACAACACTATGGTGGAAACACACACATGCTGTCGTTTGCCGTGGTAACAGTACTAGTAGTACAACCGGCTATGTCTTCTGAGAGAAACGCCCGTCTGCAGCATCACTGCGCTACTTCGCGCCTTGCAGCATATACATCAAGCTAAGCTCCTCCAATCGCTTCGACTCCCTGTCGAACTCTTCACCCGCGGCGGCGGGGAGGGGCGCCGAAGCGTGTAGCGGTGTGGTCTGCGTCGATCCGACATCTTTGGAGGAGGCTTTGATGGCCTCATCCAGCGCGTCGATCAGCCTCTTCGCCAACTTCTTGAGAACTGGGTGGGGTAGGCCTGAGGGTGGAACCCAAGGGAAGACCGTCGAATGCGTGCCCGAGAGGACAAACTCCACACCGGGTTGTCCATCCTCCGAGGGTTCGCCGAGCAGCTGTGCAAGATACTCGCAGCACACGCAGCACTTTTTGCTCACTCCGACGGGGATGCGCTCATGCTCCGAAAAAAACACCGAGTGAGTGTGGAGCGGAAGAGACATACAAGAGAAAACACACCGAGAACACGTCCTGTATCAGCGCCTCGCCTTCCGATGACGCTGCTGAGTCGCCGCCATGTCGTGATAGCCATGCGCGAGCCATGAGCGCGGCCTCGGCATGCACACATGCGCCATTAACTTTCTGCATAACCTGATTCCCCAACTTCTTTGGCCACTTCGCGATTGCCGGGAAGATGACGTCAGCAAATGGACCATCTCCGGGCTCAGGGAGGGAACCAGCTGTTTGGTGTTTCGGCAAGAATGATTTCATCTTCGTCTCGATGACGGAGAAGTTGTCTTGATGGGCGATGGGCCAGGCGGGTGGGTGGTCCACATAGACGGCTTGTACAGCCGGAGCGCCGCCACCAACTTGAGACGAAGAGAGACTGATGAACATGCTAACGATATCAAGGGGGAGCGTAACGGTTCTCAGATGACGGACGAGGTGATGTTCCACCGGTTCGTCTGGATCCGCGCTGGCGTCCGCCACTGTAATAGTTTACCTGTCAGCACTCTATGTCGTTCAGCGACCAAAGGAGTCGTTCGAACCTTCCTCATCGTCATCGTCCGCAGCTTCCAACGTGGCCTCGTCAGGTACATCCTCTTGGGAACTGGGCGATACATCCTCCTGCGCAGTCTGCGGTACATCTGAGAAGACCGGGGAGCGGGTCACTGGTTGTACATCATCGGCAGTCGACGGAGCTTCTTCGTGAGCAACCTGTTCGGGCACACTAGTCGATGCTACAATGATCGCCCGTGAGGATCCCATTTGCACAGACAAAGGTAAGCAAGAAGACTCACATCCTCTAGTCGATGGAGCTTTCCTCGCGTTGAAATTCTTCACCAACTCTAGCCAGACGTGAGAACGCAATGACCCCAAGAGACGAAAACTAAATGTACTCACTTTCCACTGGAGACGACTTCGATTCCTCACTGCGCCGGCGCATCCCCTGCAGCTCCGTTTCAACATTCTGGGTGATAAGATGCTTGATGACACCGGCATCCAGCAGGGCTCTGAAAAGCTTCATGGTTTCGAATGCATTCGTGGACTCCCTTATCTGTAGTGGGAAAGAGGCACCCTCGAGGACGCGCCACTTCGAGCGAAGATCGCAGAAATACGTCCTCATCGTCTGGAAGGAGTCCATGACCAGCTGGGCCCAATCAACCGCGTTTTCATTCGTGATCGGGTAGGCGTCGTGGGTGTCGGAGTGAGGAGACAGAGGGATCTCCGCCTTCTTGAGGTAGATATGGAGGTCCTTTGACAAATGTATGAAGGTGTTAGGTCTGATGTGTGTCGGCGGTGTGGTACGCAGCGCGGTGTAGATGGCGTTGGTGGGGTGGCGTGAGTTGTCGCCATCCGGCGCCTTGGTACGTGAATCGGAGCCACTCCAGATGCGATCGCCATTTTCGATGCGTGAAGTGAGCTTCGGAAGGCAGCGAGATACACAGAAGAGGAAAAGAAAGAATTCCGCAGCCCTGCGATCTTTGGGCGTAGTTGCAAAGAAGTGGGCGATATTGACTACATCGTCGATATGCTGGACAGGATCGACGACCCTGTTATGATAATCTATGAGGGGGGTCTAGTAGACGGCATAAAATACGTACTTCTGCACGTGGAAGAACGAGAGTTGGGGAAACACGACGTTGCTAGGGAGGAACAGTCTTGTAGATGGCGACGGCTGACCTGGAACCGCGTTGCGCGAAACGAGAAACACGGTGATCTGTCCGGAAGTGATGCTTCCTGATACTGCTATCACTCTGCTTGCCATCTCGTCCTTGATGTCTCCGGTCGCGATGAGAAAAGAGAGAACGTTCCAAGGCTTCAGGGAGGGGTCTTCGGGTTCGTGCTTGCTGCGATTTTGGGTACCTTCAGGCGCTTTGGGAACATAACGGAATTGCGACAGCAGTGCAGAGGACAAGATAATCTGCGCAACGGGATCCGCCCCAGACGGTACGCTCGAAGCCATGATAGAAACGCGGCGAGCAGAGATCGTGGTAGAGAGTGGATGAACGTTGAAACGTTGAATTCTCACGGGCGTTTCGGCGTTTCGGCGCTTCAGCGGGCATCGCCGCGAGTTCCGGCGTTCCTTCGCCAGTGCTCGCCCACTATGTACGCCGCCACCCATCGCGATCGCATCCGCGCCGAGCGCTCCTTCCGCCATGCGTTCTGTGTCGCCGCTGCCGTCGACCCGTCGGGCTCGGCGACTGGCAGCGGGGGTGCAGACCGTCGATGTGTGATCAATGTGCGAGCGATACAGGAACTTGATCGACGTCGGCCTGCGGGGCAGGAAGGATGTGGGTACGGAGGACTCGGGCGTGGATTCGGACGCTCACCCGCTGGGCGTGAGGTACAAGGTGAGATCGGCGGGGCGGCGGATGGTGTGGAGCGTGCTGCGGGAGGTGGATGCGGTGCTCCTCGCAGTTGCACATGTGGGTGTCGGAGGCAGGCATCGTGGTACGGAAGGAGTGGACGTCAGAGCGGGCGCAGGCTGCGTTGGAGGATATGCCGTTGCGAGATGAGTTGTGCTAGATGGAGTGACGGACTAGAACGTATTGGTGGGTCTTTGCCATAATGACTCTCGCGGCATTTGCTCATAGGCTTGGCTCACGACAGATTCCCCGCAATTTTGGCCTTTAGGCAATGTGATGTGTATCGGCTGCACCTCTCGCCCGCTTACTGTCGATGTTGGTCGCGCTCGAGTGTCTGGGTAAGGAGCGGTCGAGTTGCGGAATGCAAAGGAGGAGGGTGGGCGCGTGTAGAATTGAGTTGTGCGATGCGTGGTGTATGAAATGCGTCGAACACCTGCAGGTCATCGCGCGTGCGCGTTCCATATGCCACTATTTTTTGCATCCGGTCGTAGCATGACCTGACGGCTCTCGAGGCCGCGGTCAGCGGGTTCGAACTGGTTCGAGGAACGGGGTAGGGACTCGCTCTCTGTATCGTAGCACATGCACACGAAATATTATATCCGACTACTTCATCACTACTGTATGGTGTATTGACGTCGGAAGGACGCAAAGAAGCCTGCAACGAGAAACGTGAGTTGATTGCTTGATACCATTCATTCATGAAGAGTCACTCACCATCAAGAGTGGTCTTCGACTCGTACTCCTCGCCCCAAACAAGCTCCTTCGCTTGCTCCCCATGCACGTCCCAAATTTCCACCATCGAACTCGCATCCCCCTCGCGCCTCACCCACCACCATCGCGCCCTCGTCTGCTTCATCTTCCGCATACGACCGCCCGTCGCGGAGTCGATGTCTTCCTCGTTTTCCGGGCCTCGACCCTCTTCCAAGGACGGAACGTCAAGATGATCGTGTGCGACCATGACGAGGCGCAAATGCGGCAGCGCGTCCGGAAGTCGTCTCACGACCTCCTCAAGGGTCTGCACCCGCCGCGCCTCCCTCGCGCGGGCCCTCCTAACCGACTCGCAGTACTCCGGCAGGAGCGCGGGGTCGCTTGGACGATCCTTCGGCTCCGAGGCGAACACGCGGATGCCGAGGTGGACGATGGGCAACGCCGCGAGCGTCTCGGGGAGGAGAAAGAGGAACCCCTGGTCGTCGTCCGGCTGCTCGTCTTCGCCGTACCACCCGCGCATCTTCAGCTCGAGCGAGTGCAGCATCGGCGCGTCTCGCGCAATGAGCTTCCATATCGACTCGGGCTCCTGAACGTAGAGGGTGTTGTACCGGAGGGGCATGCCGAGCGTGAGTGAGACGGGGCGTGCTTGGCGGAGCAGTTCCGGTAAACATCGGGTAACGGGCCCCATGATCTGGAGCGTAGCTGTGTAGAACTCCCAGAAGACACTGCTGAGGGTGAGGTGTTTTATCCGGCTGAGGCGCTGTATGGTGTCGGGGTCCCATTGGATAAGGCCATCGAAGTGGAATGAACGAAGGGGAGGCCATTGTGGGCCGATTGTGCTGAGACTGGAAGAGTATATCCAGTTGAACATGACGAAGGAAACGTCGGTGACGTGGGTGCATGCGGCGACGAGAGTTTCGAGCACGTAGCCTTCGACGAGACGGAGTTCCAGGCACCGAACGGAAGGGAGTGTGCTCTCCGGCCAGTCTGTGAAAGGGACCGCACTGTAGAAGTCCTCCTCCGTGTCCAAACATCCCACCGTGTACCTGCTGGCGTTTGAGACGCGAAGGGTTTTGAGGCGAATGAAGGGGACGAGCGCGTCGACTAGAGCGCGAGATCGGAAGGTTGGAAGTGCGTCTCGGTCGGTGAAGTGATCGGAGAAGTCCAATGAGAGACACTCCACCGTCTCTGGGAGCGCCGATAGAGCTGGGAGAGTGGCGAAAGTAAAACCGTTGAGAGAGACCGTTGTCAGGCGCTCCATGGAACGGAGAGCCTGGGCGAGGTGTGGCCGAGGAAGAGTTACGTTGGAGTGCGAGAGTGTGAGTGTTTGCAGCCTCCGCGTGAGGTGCAGGACTTCGGCGACGTGATCGATGGCTCTCTCGCGGTTCCCGATGCGACGGACGACGAGGGTTTGAAGATATTCGGCGCGAGGAGGCATAGACATACGTGGATCTCGTTCGACCATGTACCTTCGGAAGCGGGAGATGCGACGTGTCGTCAATTCTTTGTCCTTGCCCAAGACAGTATTTTCGAGGGCGCGTGCCATGGCGAGGGGGTATGCGGCGGTACAGGTGAAAGCGAGATGGAGAGCGTCGTCGGCAGTGATGTAGGAGAGGATGACGGAGAAGACATCGGGGTTCAAGGAGAGGAGAGTTGACATGTCTTGGGAGACTAGATTGGGGTATTATGATGGGCCTTGGGGTAGAGAGCACGCTTTATGATTGCTGTCGGTTGGCAGTGGAAAGCGATGCGTCGCGGTGGGTTGACCGACAGAGAGTTCACACCGCACAGGCGGTGCGTCGGATGTGTGGAGACCTGGAAGGCGAGATGAAGGGAACCGCGGTGTCCGAGTCGCACCCCCACGACCTCGCGGCGATTTCTGTTTAAAGCCCACGCATCAGCATGAAGATGTCCATGGATTTCGAGCATACGTAGGTGTCGGTCCAGCATTGGTAGAGGTGCCGAGTCTTGGTAGGGCATAGTTTACGGAGTGTGAAATGTGACTCACCACGCTCAGCGAAAGACTGGTTCAAGAGCGCAAATGAACACGCGCCCGATGGATTGCTCCAAGCAGGTCCCATGCCCAGGTGATTGATCCGTCCCGCGTCTTTCAGCAAGCCGCGATCTCAAAGGAACCGCCTTGGGACCGCAGATTGGTGGAGGAGACTTCCCGAGGGGGTGTTCAAGAAGACCATCGATGGAGGATAGCCGCGTTTGAGGTACACAGGTTCGTATGGCCCGGTAAAGCAAGGACGGTGAAAGGTAGCATGAGGGAAGAGGAGAAAAGGTTACGGTAAACGCAGTCACTGCAGCGCTGCCACTGCAAGCGAGGGCAAGCGCGCTGGTCGCTGGGTGGCGACCCACATCGACTCTTTCCGCTCTTCAACATTCAACGTTCCCGCGGTGCACATATCATAGTATGTAGATAGCAAGATAACCCGAAGTATAGATACAGGGTTTTTGACCGATGCCTCTGAAGCCAGATCGTTTGTTTCGTAGAGATTTCGTATTTCATACTCAAACATACTACTGCTTAGGTGCCGCTCGAAAATCCTTCAAACTGTACCAGTCTGATGCGCTTGCACGCAACTTTGTGGCGCGGCCAATCCGCTTTCTGGCAGGAAGCACTGCATCAGAGACACAGCGATGAGCATAGAGTAGATACTAGCAAAAGGTAAGTGATTGAGCCCTACCCGCAATATCTGCAAACGCGCCCACTCAGTATCCCAACAATGGTATCCCACAATCACTCACCTCGTCATCTTGCAACCCCCACACTTCTTCATGTCGCCCCGCGCACTGGCGTCAGTCTTGCAGTTGGCACAGCTCGCGGCGAGCGGGTACACTTCCCCAGGAGGTTTTGACATCGGTGGTGGATGGGGTCCCATCAGGCCGAAATGCTCTTCGTTGATGCGATCGTGGGCTGCTTTGAGCGCCGCCTGACACGACGGCTTGTCCATGTCGCATACATGGTGCATCTACGACACGGATTCCAAGGCCATCAGCGACTGCCGAAACGTTCGGCGAAGGCGACAGGAATAGAGAGTGGCGCAGCAGACGCAGAAAAGAAAGAGACATACGTAAATGGGCAGTCGGCAGATGGGGAACCAGACATAAGGCACAGATTGAAGCTGTGTTTCGCGCGAGGGCTCGCCTACGTCCCACATGGATGAGTTGGCGAAATCGGCTGGGAATAACACGCCGGGCGTACCGCAGAATTCGCACAACCAAGGCTTCGTGTGCTTGAAGTCAAAGCACATCAGCATCCCAGCCAACCGGGCATTCTCGAAGTTCGCGTCCTTGGGAAGGTGGAGACGGGCATATGCGTGCTGCCCTTGCCTACGAGCAGATGAACGCCGATAACGCACCCGGTTCAGCGTCGGATAGCAGGAAAACGCTGGCGAGTCCAATTTGTACACTCACCAGCCATAAACGTTGATCTCGACGTTCATTTTCTCCTGGTCCTCCCAATCTCTCAACGGCACTTGACCAGGCATGTCTCCTCGTTCGATGTGCTCCATGGCCCTGCCGATTGTCGGATACCCAGGTCTGAGAACGTTATCCATTGAGAGCGGTCGCTGTTGGTTTTTCGCTTGAAGACTGTGCCCCAGGAAGAGACAAATATTGGAGGAAGATAATCGCAGGCATGGCGACTCGACGAAGGCTGTGGGCGCTAGCGTACATCGCGCCGCGTGACGGAAATCACATGACATGTGACCGCTCGCGTTTGCAGCCTCCATGGTATATATGACATAGTGCATAGAGAGATGGCACCACACTTTGTATATGGTGAGTGATTAAAATATATTTATTAGTAAACTGCTCTACAGCGGGGCTAGCAAGTAATACTACAGCCCCGCGACAACGCAGAGGCAGAGGGTGACGCGGAGGGCCGGGACGCGGCAGTGAAGGAAGTGCAGGGCGACGTGGGCGGATGCGGGTGACGTGGAGGAGGGCCGCGCAGAGGAGGACGAGGCAGAGGGCCGCCGCGGAGGGGGTGACGCGGAGGGTCCGGGAGGAGATGGAGGAGGAGGGCGACGTGAACGTGGGTGAGGCGGACGCGGACGACACAAACATGGGCGACGCAGAGGGCTCGCGGGGGGACGCAGGGGGCTACAACGCCGCGGAGGGGGTGGGCGACGCCGAGGGGAGGGGTGGAGCCGGTTACGTGGGTTGGGACGACGTGTAGGGGGAGGTGGTGATGGTGGGCAAGGCGGCGGCGGAGATGGTCAATGCGGGGGGAGGTGAGGCGGAGGAGGCGGCGCGGATGCGGGCGCGCAGAGGAGGGCGCGCAGAGGAGGACGATGCAGAGGTGGAGGGAGTTTGGAGGGCCGGGAGGAGGAGTAGGACGTCCGGGCTGACGTCCTTGGCCTGTCGTAGTTGTCGACAAGGCGGCAGGAGGCATGGGTGGGCGTTGGGAGTGCAGAGGGCGGAGCGGAGGACTCACCAAAACAACGGCCGCGGTACATCGCCGCGGTCCCCACACTCCAATATCCATACTGAGGACGTCGATTTGGACGTCTTCGTGTGGTGGGTTTGTTGTGAGCGCGGCCGCGAAGGGGAGGGACGCGTGGTGTGCATCACAGCCACGCGTCGATGCACGCCACGCGGCCCACCGGAGCCCACCAAGGCGCGTCTCCACGGGCGCGCATCACGGACCACCGGATGCATCCGTATCTGGTGGTGGGCCACGGAAGCTCCCGGCGACAATCGAACGGCTGGAACCGAGACTCTATGCAAACCATCACTGCCAGTGGGAAACGCGGCGAAGTCTAACCGGACTGCGTGTGCCTGCGTGTGTAACGAATTCGAATTCACGTCTCAATCGGCCTCGTCTAATTCAGTACTGCGAGCCGTGACCCACGCCTGCGTCCGCGATGTGGCCGGCCAAGACCATACATAGCATTACGAAGATACTTAGTTTGGTATCATCATCGGCCAGCCAAGACCAGGCAACACCACATCGGGCAGCACTCGCGAGTCCAACTGACTCGTGAGGACTCCACATTGCATCCTATCCGGGACTCGATGGGAATGCTGACTGAATGATCGATATTCGCTGATCTTGCTAGAAGTCCTGAAACATTCCCTCTTTCGCTCTCTCCGCCTTCACCTCACAGCATATATGACGCAGCGCAAGAAAGCGTCCAACAGCAGCAGTCAGTCTCCGCACCATGGCTACTACAACCTCTCCACCTCGCGTCGCCATCATCGGCGCCGGACCTGCTGGTCTCGTCCTCCACCTCACCCTCATCAAGCGCGGTGTTCCCTCCATCCTCTACGAGCGCGAAGCAAGCCCGAACGCCCGAATTCACCTCGGTGGCACTCTCGACCTCCGCTGGGCGTACGGCCAACGCGCACTCTACGAGAACGGCCTCGAGGCCGCCTTCAAGGCCGTTTCCCGCCCCGATGGCGACGAGACGCGCATGTGCGGCAAGGACGCGCGCGTCCTCCTCGAAATCATCGCCGACGGTGACACGCGCCCCGAAGACATCAGCCCCGAAATTGACCGCCCCGCGCTGCGGCAGATCATCCTCGACGCCGTCCCCGCCGACTCCGTCAAGTGGGGCCACGCGCTCACCTCCGTCACCCCGCACGGCGACGGCACCCACACCCTCTCCTTCGCGAATGGCCACACCACAACCGTCGACCTCCTCGTCGGTGCAGATGGCGGCGCGTCGCGGATCCGCCCGCTCGTCTCCCCCGCGCAACGCTTGTACGCCGGGCTCACCGGCGCGGAGATCGTCATCGAGCGGGACGTCGTGGACCGCGCCGACATGGCGGACGCGCGCGCCCTGATCGGGAACGGCTCGACGTTCGCGATGGAGGGCGGCAAAGTCCTCGCCGCCCAGCGCAACAGCGACGGGCGCGTGCTGACGTACGCGTGGTTCCGCGGCCCGGAGGACTGGCCGCTCCCATCGGACGCGGCGGAGGCGCGGGTCTCTCTCCTCCAGAAGTTCGAGGGGTGGGCGCCGGTGCTCCGCAAGTTCATTGAGCACGGTGCGGACGACGGGATCTACCACCGTCCTCTGTACATGCTTCAACCGGGACTGCGGTGGGAGCACGTCGACGGGGTGACGATCATCGGGGACGCAGCGCACGTCATGACGCCGTTTGCTGGGATGGGGGCGAACGTGTCGATGCTGGATGGGCTGGAGATGGGGTTGGCGATCGCGGAGGCGGTGAACGCAGGGGCGAGCAAGGAGGGGCGGGAGGCGGCCATCAAGAAGGCGGAGGAGAAGCTTTTTGAGGAGAGCGCGAAGTGGACGGGCATCACCGCTTTCAACATGGAGAAGATGACCGGGCCAGATGCTCCCCAGTCCGCGGTCGACGCGTACAAGCTTGGGAAGGGGAGTCTGTAGAAAGTTGTCCCACGTATACGCACTAGCCGTGTTTCACAGTCTCAGGATGAAGTACTATCGACAAAGTCGTAGTATGCCATGAGCGATGATTGAGTTGTACCTTTGCCGTTTTGCAAGTTTATTCTGTGTGCTACAGAGGGACAGTGCGCTCGTTTACAGGTGAGCCTGATATAGTAAATGAGAAGTTCATCCCAACAAACAGCTCAGGCTCACCTCACCTCCGGCCCGGCCGGCCATAGCCGAGCCGCAGAACGTCTAGGATCCGCCTCGCATATAGCGTAGGCGACTTTAGACTCGCAAACCAGTCGGTCGGGATTCTCCTCACCTTTCTCCCGATCGGGGGGATATCTATGTGGCGTGATGGGAACAGCGGAGTTCGAAAGGCAAGGAGAATCCCATACCGACTGGTCAAACTGGTCGCCCGTTTGGCAGGACCGCTCAAAAAGGAAGTCGTACCTGAAGGACTTAGAAAAATCGCGCTTTCAGCACTCTGCAGACATCTTGGTGCGCGGGCGCCTCCCCGTAACTCACCCGCGCGCCATGTCCGCACGCTCTGGTTACTCCTGCGCGCTGCACTGGCATTCACAATCTGTGTAGGTGAGTTGATGCACATGTATATAGGGTGCTAATAGTGCTCCTCAATGTTCACAGACTGTGACGGAAGGCTCTTCCTTGTTGGCAAACGTGACGTCTCTTGCTGCAGCAACGGCGATGACAGTAGTAGATCCACGCTCCCCATTGCTGTCGTTCAAGTACGCACTATCGTCGTGGGTGTTGCGTGAGAACGCGCTTGCGCTGCAGCTCTTCGTACACACCCACGATCTCCCGGTGCTCATCCGACCCTACCTTGTACTCCGTCACCTCCGCGACGACCTTCAAAGCCCCACTGTCCTTCAGGCGCCGCTGCAGCTCCTTGCTCTGCTCGTCCTCCGACATGTCGTACAGGAACGCAGCCGCGATCCCCGTCGCGAGGTTCTCCGTCGGGAGCCCGTACCCACGCGCCATCTCGTACGGGCCCAAGAGCCTGTCCGCGCGCGCGAGCTTCCCGAGCGGCTCGCGCCCGACATGCGCAACTTCGTCATCCCGCACGGGCGCGTTGGCGAAGCGGCCGAAGACACGCTCGACGTACGTGGGGTGCTCGCGCGGGTCGAACCCGTGCTTGCGGACGAGCGCCGCGCTGGCCTCGCGCTTGAGCGCGCCCCGCACGGGCGCGTCCGCGTCCGCGACGGTGGTGTCGATCGTCGCGAGGAGCTTGAGCGCGCCGAGGTGGGCGGCGAGCGCGTGCCCGCGGTTGGGCGTGAAGAGCTGCGCGCAGGACGCACACAAGTCGTCGCGCGGACCTCAGTGGCTCTCATTGACGTGACCAAGAGGCCGCACCCCACTCAAGATCAGCATACCCGCATACTGCGATGACTTTCCTCGGCGGCACCTCGTCATCCTGTCATCCCCATGGCTGGACATCCCCATGGTGCTTATACCCTCAGCCCTCCAGGCGGACACCCGCTCGAATCCAACACTCCACGCACGCCATGTACCATAGCAATGATTTCACTACGATGTACATTGACTGTCCCGAGATTTTCATGCTCAATCCCCACCCGATTCTGCACCCCTTGCCTCCTCCACCCCTTCAAGCAGCCGCCACCAGCGCGTTAGCACCCGGCTCTGACATCGAAAACGGTGATGCAGACCCGCAATTTACTCACAGCTGGTTTAGAATGTACAATTACAACTAGTTACAACAACCTGCACACCGGAGGGAGTGGACTGGAAGGATGTGTACAGGGGAGCTACCGCATCTCCAGAGGCCAAAACGCGCGATTTTTCTAAGTCCTTCAGGTACGACTTCCTTTTTGAGCGGTCCTGCCAAACGGGCGACCAGTTTGACCAGCCGGTCGGTGAACCGACCGCCGAAGGCGTGGCGGAGTTTGAACCGACCGGCTGGATGATCGAGCCTAAGGCGACTTATACATATCTCTCCCTCTCTCTCCCTCTCCCTCTCTCTCTCTCGCTGCAACATTTCCTCCTACCAACCATGCGACTGCTTGCCTCCATAGTATACTCTCCACATTCCTGGGCTGCGGCCAAACCTATCCCCCGAACTCGCCTTCCTCAACCGTTCCGACAAAGTTCGTCTTCCACCCGCTACCTCCTCCGAACACCCGCCGCGTCTGCACACAGAGAAGTCCCAACTCCCATCGTCTTCGTGTCATCTAGCACCTGGGATCCACCTTCGGCGAAAGGGTCAGTACATCCTCTCTGAAGACTGTCGGACAGAAGGCTGACCCGCAGGAATGGCAGGATGAGCACCGCAAGTAGTTGGTTCTCGCAGCGCGGGTTCACCTGTCTCGAACTCGACCTTGCGCGTCCCTCGGGAAACGTTTCGTCGCAAGAGCTGATGAAACACTATGAGAGTGGTGAGTTGTAGTTCGCGTCGCGTCCATTCATACCCCATACTATGCCATTGCTGTCTTCGGGGTGCAGGCAATGCCGTCTCTTCTCAGCGGTTTTCCGTCCCGCTCGAGGCTAACGTATGTCTTGTTCGCAGAGGTGGCCTCGCATATCCGCCTTTTATCCATTCCATTCGCCCCCGTCATCATCGCGCGCCGCGCCGGAGCCCTCATCGCTCAGTCCTACATCTCCTCATATCCCGCCACGGCCCTCCTTCTCATTTCGCCTCCGCCTGCCGACGCCGTGTTGCCCAGGACGCTTCTGCCCACGCCCCTGCCGGAGTTCAACTTCGAGACCAAGTTCCCTTGTGCCGTCATGTGCACCAAACATGAACGACCCGCGCTCGAAGCGGCGAACAGGTTGTGGAAGGACCCCGGCGTGGACAAGATAGTAGTGAAAGACGATGAGGCAGTCATGGGGCACGAAGGGTTGATGGAAATCGAGCAATGGATGGACGAGCTGGGGATATGAAGGACGCGTTCAGTATGTCCTGTGAGTTTCTCCGCCTTTTCCCCTCCTCCTCCTCCTCCTCCTCCTCCTCCTCCTCATATGCCCCTTCACGCTGCCTAATTCGACGACGTAGCGTTTGCTCCAAGGTCCACGAGTCATTTGACATCCTTGCCCTCGACGACGGCTGAAGATAGCCCATTTCCGGAAGATTTACAAGCCATCCATTCTATAACAACGCTCCATCTATTCTTCGTCTATGCTCCGTTGGATGTCATGATCTTTCACTTCCGACGTTTCGCCGCCGATACCACAGACTGCCCGTAAAACTTAGGTGGGTCAATGCTCCGCATACTTTCACCACAGGCTCTCATGATATGCTTCCCGCTATCTCCTGTTCACATCCGGGCGCATCCAGGCGCAACCCCGATGGCGTGAAGCGAACCAGAGAAGACGCTATATGCGCTTTCTCGTCCTCAAGGACGCCGTCCCAACGTCGTGCGACAGGCATACGGGACTGAAAATTGGCCCGAAGGTTCCACGCGGGGCGTGCGACTTGGTTGAGAACGAGGTCCGGGAGCGAAGGCATTCGGTGGTGAATGTCCGGGCTCGCGGACGCCGCGCCGCAGCTGCGCTCCCTGTCTCTCAACGTACGCGCGGCCTGCGACGACTTCCACAGCATGCTTGTGAGTACCCTCCCCCTTGGCTAGTCGTGCTCCTGTGCCCCGTGCTCACTGCCCCCCGCCGTTAGCCGCTGCCGCAGACCGAGCTCCCCGCCGCACTCCCCCCGCTCCCCCTGGTGCACCCCACCGTCACCGTCAGGCGCGTGGAGAAGTGGGGGGAGCAGCCCCAGTACATGAGCTACTGCGCTCGCCTCGGCGCCCCCCGTCCCAGAACACGGACCCCCTGCGAATGGCTCGTGGACGCAGAGGCGGCCACGGAGGTCAGCCGCGTTCATACGCTCCACGCGCTCCCGCGGCTGCTCGTCGACGCGATCCCTACGTTGCGCGTTCTCGCTGCTGGGCCGTACATGCCCACCGTGCAAGTCGAGGATGACGGGGTACCTGAGGATCGACAGGAGGCCGTGGAGATGATCAAGAAGATGCGGGCGGCAGCGACGCGGGAGATGCGGTGGGGGTCATTGACGGGGAGAGGGGGCGCAGGCGGATGGTCGAAGTGGAAGGAGGACGGGGAGAGGGCGCGCGACGTCGTGGACGATGAGGGCTTCGATGGGGAGACAGGCCTCAATGGTAAGTCCTGTCTCAAGCACATCGAGGTGAACCAGTCTGACTCCGCTGCTTTGCTCAAGCGTTCTTCTCCGAGCGATATCGGTACGACCCGTAACGACCCTCTTCTGAACCGGCCCGTCCCCAGGATGGAGGTTTAATTCCAATCTCGCGGCCTCGCGGAGGTTAATGAGGAGTAATGGCGTGAAGGGGAGGACGTCCGATATCATGGACACAGACGGTGGGAAGGATGTCAAAACCTTTTTGGCTGGCATCTGTCCATGAATACGCGGCCGTAGTGCAACCGTTCATTCAATCTACGTGTCATACATGAAGGCCTCACCAATGCCATGCTTCCCACCTGAGATGCGCCGCTCTCCTCCCATCGCCCATCCCAACCTATTCTCCGCACTCCCCGAGCCCCGCCTTCCAGACAAGAGGTAGCGCGAGCTCTGCGAGTACTCGCGCTCGGAGGTGACGGACACGCGTTCCCGATTGGGCGACGCGGCACGGTGATGGTGGAGACGGGTGCCAGGTGGGTATCGCAAGATGTGTACTCAGACATTCGGCCGGCTGCCGGGTGTTAACTCCGGACCGGAACCGCGTGGTGCAGGAGCGCATTCTATGCAACGCCTGGATAGCTCAGCTGGGAGAGCGACAGACTGAAGTTCTGCAGGTCGTGCGTTCAAATCGCGCTCCGGGCATGGCGAATCTATTTGTGTGCCATTTTTATACCTCTTCATCTGATCTCAGGTAGTACCTGTGCCATTTTGCACATTTCTTCAGCTCAGGGCTTAGCTCGCCTTCGACCGTCGCCGTGCCGCAGTAACTATGTACATACCACCCAGACAAAGGCTTACACCGTTTCCTGCGGCCGCACCACAAGCTTCACTCCGCTAACCTCGTCGTTCTCCATCCGCCTCAGCCCATCGATGATCCCAGCCAGGCCCCCAGGGAGGATCTCATGACGACTCGGCTGAATATATGGTTAGTCGTGCGTGGATCCACGAATGGAGACGACAACGAACCTTGATCGCGCCCGATTCGAGCAGCTTCGGCAGCGCATCCAGAAGCGATGCGCCGACTCCGTGGTTCACCGGTGTCATGAACAACCCATGGGCCATGTGCACCTTCTTCCCCGTCGCATCATCCCTTCCCGGTACAGGCTCAAGGTCGAGCACGATGACGAAGTCTCCGCCTGGCGCGGTCAGCGCATACCCGAGGGCAAGTGTGTCTGTGACGGAGATGGCGTCGTAGACGACATCGAAGGGCTTCCCGCCGGCGATCTCACGGGCGGAGGCGATGAGCGTCTCGTGCGGGAGCCTCCGATCCAGGACGTGCGTCGCGCCGAGGGACTGGAGGTAATCCGTGTGGTGGAGGGACGAGGTGGTGATGATGGGAGCGAAGCCAGAGAGGCGTGCCAACTGGATCACTGCACGCAGAGGATTGTGAGTCGATGGTTTAGGAGCCAGAGAACGAGAAATCAGGGGGCGCACCGAATTGCCCCACGCACGACGATCCTCCGAGAACGAAGAAGGGCTTGCCGGAATACGCCCCTGCGCCCTCCGCGGTCCACGGCGCCTTCAACTTGGCTGAAGCTGGTATGTCGGGGTGGTACAAAGGGAATGCGGCAGTGGAGATCCCGCTGGGGATTGTCGCTGCGGCCTCGATAGAGATGCTCTCTGGGATCTACAGACACGTTGATCAGGAACCGATGTGTCACGGTCAACGATCGCGATACAAGCAACCGACCTTAAAAGCCAGACGTGCTGGCAAGTCGAAGTACTGCACGAATGTCCCGTGCACCGACTTGCTCTCGGCGTCGAACCATCCTTGTACCATACTGCCCGAAGATGCAGTGAGTCACAACCAAAAGTAGTCAGTTCATGAGACGCACACCCTATCTCCTACGGCAAATGAAGTGACACCTTCGCCGAGTGCGACCACGACACCAGCAGCATCATAGCCTGTCACCGCCGGGAAGGTTTCGGCGAGCACACCATATACTCGAATTTTCCAGTCGATGGGGTTTAATGCGGTGGCGTCGATTCTCACGAGCAGCTCGCCGAGCTTCGGTTGGGAGACAGCGATGGTGCCGACAACACAGGGAGCAAACTTTGCGGGAATGAGGAGGGCTTTCTGAGCAGCAGGGACGGCCATTTCGCTGTGGTTCGGAGTGATGGGAGTTAGTTGGCTGTCAGAGTTCGAGGCTTTGTATACCCACTTGAGTGAATTATATGCAAGATCTATGCACCAGCATAGTTCCCGATCGGAGAGAGACTAGCTGCAATGAATGCGAGGCAGAGGCTGGAGAGGAATCCGGTCGGAATCTCGGAAGCGGAAAGGCGAGTCAATCACGGCTGGACCATTCTATTCTTACTTTATCCGGGTCTAGCTAGTCTCCACGGCCTCCGTTCCAAGGCAGCATTGATTGATGATATCATGGGACATACGGTAGATGATATGTAAGTATATATGCATGTGCGCAGTTGTTCTAACTTACAGCTGGGTCCATAACGATAGACCCCTCGCGCGAAAATTAGCACACAGCCCATTCGGGCGGAGTTTAGCCAGACGGGGCGCTTCGAAGGACGCGTGCGCAGGAGACGCGTCGGAAGAGCGATGCGAACAACGCCGACAGTTGCCGGACCCTCGGCAGATGCGCTGTAATCAAACTCCGCCCGAACCGGCTGCGTGCTAATTTTCACGCGAGGGGTCTATGTATCGTTATCATCACTCGGCTGAGTGACTCCTCTCCCCTGAGATCGCTTGCCGCGCGCTTCGGCAGATATTGCTCGACGCCGTCCCCGTCGAGCCCATCAAGCGGGACCGCGCGATGAAAGTTCGGTGTGCACACTCCGTGACGGCATGCTGCGCGAGGTCACCTTCGACAACGGGACCACCGACGTCGTGATCGGCACCGACGCCACGCACGTCCGCCTCTCCTGCCTCCTCTCGCCCTCCTCCTCCCTCCGGATCGCCGTGTACCACTTTTCTACGCTCTCCCCGCGCTGACTACCTCAGTGAGTACTGCCAGACCCTGCACGGGCGTTCCTGATCATCGTCATTAACCCACCTGTGGTCGACGGCGGTGGTATATGGCGTCGCCGTCGTGTTCGCACCTTTCGCGGACCGTCGCGGATTCCCCCGGGACGCGGAATCAGGCCTAAATAAGTAGCGGCCGTCGCTGCTGCGCTAGTTGACGAACATCCCGTTGGAGACAGTAACGCGTACACATGTTCCACTTCTTCGCTCTTGCATATCACAACTGCTGAAACAACGTAGCTCGCGCATACATGTTGCCAATGACATCTAGCCATCACCGGGGTCAGCCGCGAAGAGCATCCCAGGATATCCAGACGGACATACATACGTACATTACATTGAAGATCTTTACACCAAAGACGCATAAATCGCGTCCACTTTGTCCTGGAACTGCTGCTCCGTCGCTTTCCTCCTGTGTACGACGTCAGCTCAACGGCCTCGTCACGTAGAAGCACACAAACCTGACGTTTCCTTTCTCCTGCGATGAATGGCTGAGCGTCAACAACATAAACGATGTGTGCGGCAAACGACGTACAGTGGTCCGCGGAAGAGAGCCCTCGGGAACGACAAGAATGCATCGGGGGTTGGTAATCTTCTCATGAGGGAACAGACGCGAGTTGAACGCCGCGGTACGCTCCAGGATCTCGTTCCGTACAGCCGTGTGCGTGGGGTCGTCGGCCGCGTCGATGCCTGATGCCAGGAGCTCCACGACAAGCAAAGGACAAACACGCTGGTGACCGATCACGACGCAGCTGTGGACGAGGTCCCCGCACGTCTTCATCACGTTCTCTTCGATGGCCCTATGACGGCTCGGTGTTAGATCGATGATTCCGGAGACAAAGGCGTCGCTCACTTCGTGTCGCAGAATGCCGGATTGCCGCCAGTGCGAATCCAGTCGTCGCTGCGCCCACCTGCGGGGAGACGATCAGTGCCACGCATACAGAGACTGTTTCAAGCACGCACGGAAAACGTAACATCCAGGCTCGACCTCCTCGAACAGGTCCCCCGTAACATGTCCGTCCGGGCGATTACGGATGGACGTGTGCGGGCACGTTGCGGACTCCGCGCCGATGTAGAAGTCGTACAGCTGCAGCGCCCCGGTGGCGGATGCTTTGCCTTCCCCTCCAGCGGGGACGAGCTTGCCCTTCGCGTGCGCGATCGGCTGGAGATACGAGTTGCCAGAGCTCAAGCGAGCGACCATCAGTGGACCTGCGACATTGCGTCAATCAGCGCAGCCATGCGCCCTGCTAAGGACCAGAACGCACCGCACTCGGTGTTCGCGTACATTGGCTGATGGGAGGGCGTAGGGCCGATGATAAGCACGTTTCATGTTCAAGGCGCATCCACACGCACCGTGAGCGGGACGCCGTGCTCGAGCGCCCACTTCTCGTCTGCAGGATCGAGCGTGGCGCCGGTGTATGCTATCTGGCGCAGGCCGCGCAGGGCGTCGAAAATATCCGCGCGGTCCCGCGCGGCCTTGATCAGCTTCGCCATCCAGGGTGCGTACTGGAGCAGGAAGTTCAAGCCGCACTCCCGCACCATGCCCAGGAACTCGTCCGGCGTGATCTCGCGCCCCGAGCTCTGAGTCAGGCACGCGCCCGACCACGCCATGAATGTGACACCTGTGGGACATACGTATGAGTTCTGGAAGCAGTCTGCAAGGGTGGACATCACATGAAGCGGCGCCTATGGATGAGAAGCTGCCGATGTTGTTGAAGACGTGTTGGCCGTCGGGGTGCACCTGAATCACACCTTTCCAGGTGACTTCCGCTTCCGCGACGAGCCAGCGGTGGGTCTGCGGGACGGGCTTCGGGCGTCCGCCCGTGGTACCGCTCGTGTGGAAGATCATCGCAACGTCGTCCCCCTGTACGTCTGGAAGTAGTGCAGAAAGCTCCTGGGCGGGAGAGAGGGAGGCGAGAGTTGGGAGGGAGAGTACCCCGATGGCAGAGCCTAACAAGCGGAAGTCTGCCACAAGGCTCTTGAACGAGTCGTCCACGATTACGACCTGCGCATGGTGTAACTCTAGAAGGTCGTGCACGAACAGGGCGGAGAATGCTTGACCAAAGACTTCGGGGACATAGCCTGCCGCCGACACGGCGTAGATGTGTGCAAGATCGGTCCAGTGCGATCCCTTCAGCCTGCAGATAAGTACAGTGAGATGGGGAAAGTATATTGCTGCGCAGGCAACATACCACATCCCAACAGTGTCGCCGGGTTGAAGGCCCTGTTCCGACAGCTCTTTGCGCCAATGAGCAGCTGCGGCGAACACGGCGTCGGCGAAATCTTGATACGTGATGCTGCCCCACTTGAAAGTCGAGTCGGCACCTTCAAATGGGCGCATAAAGGTCGACGCCTTCCTCTCTTGCAAAGCTTTCAAAACGAAGTCCATGAAGTGTGCCATGACGGGCTGGAGGGTTGGGATCAGATAGAAAAGCTTGCAAACGATTCCACTCACTATAAATAAATACCGGTGGACATCATGTGATCAAGCTGAATGATCCGGATGGACGCCGACAGCATTGTGGTGATGGACCGCGTGCAAACTCCTCTCCTGGAGACGGTGAGACATGGAGAGATATGTACTGGGTGTAGAGATGATGACTTCACGGTTGTCGTGATCATATGAAGGTAGCTATAACAGGGGGTAACGAAGAATATCGGCAAAAACGCACCAAGATCAACTGCCTTTGTCGTGAATGCATGAACCCTCACTGTTGTCCTATTTTCATCGTTTCCTCAAACACTTCCCGTCCGTTTGCGAAGCGATTGGACGTCCAGAGAGTGGTGGAACGCGATAAGAACGGGTTCAAAAAGGAATCGCTCGTCCTGTTCGTCCAACCAGCACAGCGTCCTCATCCGAGCGACCTCCCCAACGTCAATCAGACCACGTATCGCGTCGACACGCACACATCGACGACATCCACCCCCAGCTCGTGCCACTCGCCGATCGCGAGCACCAGCGGGTCGACGCCGGCGGCGGCACGGAACGCGTGGCGGAAGAATGGCTCTGCGCGGACGCGGCCATGATGCGTAGCGGCACTGGGCTCGAAGGAACTGTACGAGGTGGGTCTGAGCTGCCAGCCTTGAGATCTTGACTCTGAATGCGGCTGAGGCCTGAGGCTTTATGTAAGCCCGTGAGCATTATTGGCCAAATGAAGCGCCGAGCACCATTCCCTATCTCCCACGATCTAGGCTCTGCCCGTCGCCTTTGACTCAAACCCCGCAATGGCTTCGAGTGTACCATCAGGGGCGGATCCTGCCGCGCAGATCATCTTGTCCTCTGCACTGCTGTCGCAATTCCGTTATGTTCCGAAAGCGCCACAAGGCACCCAAAGTCTCAGCAAGCACGAACGCGAAGACCCCTCCCTGAAGCCTTGGAACGTTCTCTCTTTTCTCATCGCGACGGCCGGGGATACCCATGACGAGATGGCAAACAGAGTGATAGCAGTATCAGGCAGCATCACTTGCGGACAGATCACCGTTTTTCTTGTTTCGCGCACTGACGCAGTTCCAGGTCAGCTGTCGCCATCTACAAGGCTGTTCATACCAGGCGATGTCACGTTTCCACAACCCTCGTTCCGCCGGGTGCAGAAGTATGTATCTTATCGCGCCTCCCCCCACCCATCTCACAGATTTTCTCTGCAGGGTCGTTGATCCTGCCCAGCATATAGGCGATGTAGTCAATATCGCCCAGTTCTTTGCGACTACGCCCAAAGATCACAGGCCAATAGACTCGGACTTCTTCCTTTTCCTCTTCTGTGTATCTCGCTGCCTCCCGAAGCTCACTTCGCGCATCGAAAACGGCGATCGCATCTGGAGTGGCCCCGATTCACGTACCAAGGAGCCGGATGGAGACAACTCACGCCACCCCACGACGGCCGTCTACAACGCGCTGCGCACCACACCGCCGGAAAATATAAGACCTAATACCTTCATCCATTTGCGGAAGGGCCTCCGAATCCGGCTCAAGAAGGCGAAGATCCCTTTCTCCCCTCACTCCAACACCCACGACGCCTATCCGATCACAAACGAAAACGCGGTCGATTGGGCCCAGTTGGTCATGAACACCTTCCAGACAATGAGGACGTATTTCTGCGATCTCCGCTCGAAGTGGCGTGTCCTCAAGGATGAAAACGCCGCTTTCCCGCTACAGATCAATGAGTCCTCCCATGCTTTCGAGACCATGAAGCTTTTCAGAGCCCTTCTGGACGCCGGTGTCATCAAGCATATTCTCACCACGGAGGTTGTAGCGAAGCTGCAGGAGATGCGCCGGCGCAGTGAGGAATCGAAGTCGTGCCCAGTGGAAAGTAAGTACACACACCTACTTTTCGTCTCTTGGGGATCATTGCGTTCTCACGTCTGGCTAGAGTTGGTGAAGAAATTCAAGGTGAGGAAATTCAAGGCAAAGGGTGTTCCATCGACTAGGGGATGTGAGTTCATTAATCCATTTTTTGTCCATAAAAACGTAATCCTTACGGGCGACCGTTGCAGCGTCAACCGCCGTTATGGCGTCGACCGGCGTATCCGAACAGAGTACCCACGAAGATGTCCCAGCGACTGTCAGCAATGTGCAATCAGTCGCCCCATCTCCAGTCGACTCAGAACTACCGCAAACTATCCAAGAGGACGTATCGCCCACTGTCCATGAGGTACCGCCCACTATCCATGAGGACGTACCCGACGAGGAGACACTGGAAGTCGCGGATGGTGACGACGACGACGACGACGAAGAAGAAGGTTCGAACAACTCCTGTGATCGCTGAGCGGCTTACTAGTGTGCTGATAGTTAGACTGCTTCAGCGGCGGACGCACGTGCGGATCCAAACGAATCGGTGGAACACCACCTTGTCCGGTATCTGAGAACCGTGACGCTCCCCCTTGACATCATCATCACTTTCATCGGTCTCTCTTCGTCTCAAGGTGCTGGCAGCGCTCCGGCCGTTCAAGCCCTCTACGTGAACCACCCACCTGCTCAGCCCATCGCTCGTCAAAACAACTTCACCGACATCGAGGAGAAGATGTCAACATTCTTGACGAAACAAACAGCTGGTTCCCTCCCCGAGCCCGGAGATGGTCCATTTGCCGACGTCATCTTCCCGGGGATCGCGAAGTGGCCAAAGACGCTGGGGAATCAGGTGATGCAGAAAGTGAATGGTGCATGTGTACACGCTGAGGCCGCGCTCATGGCGCGCGCATGGCTGTCGCGACACGGCGGCGACTCAGCAGCGTCATCGGAAGGCGAGGCGCTGATACAGAGCGTGTTCTCGGTGTGTTCTCTCTCGTATGTCTCTTCCGCTCCACACTTACCCAGCATTGCATAGCACGAGCGCATCCCCGTCGGAGTGAGCAAAAAGTGCTGCGTGTGCTGCGAGTATCTTGCGCAGCTGCTCGGCGAACCCTCGGAGGACGGACAACCTGGTGTGGAGTTTGTTTTCTCGGGCACGCATTCGACGGTCTTCCCTTGGGTTCCACCCTCAGGCCTCCCCCACGCAGTTCTCGAGAAGTTGGCGAAGAAGCTGATTGCCGCGCTGGATGAGGCCATCAAAGTCTCCTCCAAAGATGTCGGATCGACACAGACCACACCGCTCCACGCTTCTGAGGAACTCCCCTACGTGGGTGAAGATGAAGACGAGTTTGACATGGTAATGAAGCGACGGGAGGAGTGGTGGGAACCCGAGGCGGAGGAGTACTAGTAGGGGTCATGGACAGGGACTGGTTCCTCTTGATGAAGAATAACCGCTTGTACGAGCACTGTGACCAATCTCGACATTGAGCAGAGAGCAAGACCCGACGACGAGCGGAGCTCGACAGCATTATGCATCGAGCACTCCAAGTCCAATGGTAGTCATAAGCACAACAATCGAAATACATTGCAACAATAATAACACATCGACAAGGCTTGCTGTGAGGTATCGCGGGGCGTCGTGCACAGTCAATCTGTCGCTCATCCCACCGGATCGCCGAGGGCATCCAGTACGACACCCCGTACTGCGTGTCCTTCTCACCTAACCAGTAAAGCCCCTCCCATTAACACGTTCCACAAAGCAGCCCGCGCCCGCTCTGTCGCCCAGCACTTCCAGAATCCTAGGTGCCCGCCCGCTGCGGGGCACCACCGCCTAGTCCGCGTCCAGCTCCTGCGGCACGCTCCGCACCATCCTCCTCCCCCCACCCACCTCGATGACCTCGCGCCCCGCGCCCAGCGGCCGCAGCGTCCGGATCCATGCTCCGCATCACACGGTCCTCCTCCGTCATTCCCGCCCCGCAGGCGGCTCACGAGCTCGCACGAGCTCGCCGTCGATCAAGCCTCTGTTCCGCTCGCGTGTGGACACGTTGTCCAACGATGTGCACGGGCCCAAGCTCATGCGGCCAGCCGTCGAGGCCGAGGAGCCCGGTCCAACTCAGCCGGGAGGGCGACAGACTGAAGCCCTGCAGGTCGTGCGTATAAGTCGCGCACTGGGCATGTGTTCTGGGGGAGACTTTCTTTTGGCATCTCATGCAACCGATCACCCGAATTGGCGCCATGTAACTTTGCTCGGACATCCGATTATAGCGTTCAACGCAGTAGGATTATGTACTAGGTCGATCACCAATGTTGGGCTCGCACACGCCGAGCTCGGAAACACATGTATGCACAGATGGTGGTACAGAAATGGCACAAGCTGCGAATAATACGCCGAGTAAGGTATGCACGATATCGACATCGAGAGTCCAGACGGAAGAAGGAAACACTAAGTCAACGTGCGCCGGGCACCCTAGTGGTACCGGACGCACGGCCGGAAGTCTTCGTTGAAGATGCTCTCCTGCGTGACGCGCCCGGCCTCGCGCAGCTCGGGGAGCAGGTCCTGCAGTTCCACGCCGGCGCCGTGCACGCGCGCGCGCACGAGGTCCGGGCGGAGCATCTTGAACGGGCGGAGGAGCTCGAGGAGCTCGAGCACGTACTCGCGCGCGCCCCAGCCGGGGTGGCGCGGCACGGGCGGGTGGCAGTGGAGGTAGTCGACGAGCTTCGGGACGTCCGCCGCGCGCACCGCGCCGACCTGCACGCCGCCGAGGCAGAGCGTGCGCACGGTCGCGCAGACGTCGTAGAGCGACGCAGGCGCGTGCCGCGCGTACCACTGCAGCTCGTACTCGGGCTCGGGGAGGAGGGTGGTCGTGCCCGCGCCGGCAGGACCCGCGTTTGGGTATGGTGGTGGGGACGGAGATTCGAGGGGCGAGGAAGAGGGAGAAAGAGACGAGGCGTGAGGGAGTGTGGGAGCGCGCGAGCCGACGCGGGGACGTGGGTGGCGGCGTTTCTTCTGCGCGTACGCCTGGAAGGACGGCCCGCTGAGCGTTGCCGGGTCGGTGATGACGACGAGAGCCCAGTGGAGGTCCTCCTCGTGCCCGAGGCCCCGTGACTCGTCCTTGTACTGCGCGACGACAATCGGGCACGTCGGCGCGCCGGCAAGACGCTTGAGCAGCGGCGGCATCTGGAACTTGAGGAGCGTGTGCCGCTTGAGTTTCTGCGCGCATACAGTCACGCGGGGGGAGGAGGTGGGCCCGTCAGTACGCGATCGAATGCTGCGGCAGCGGGGAGGCGGGGGAGACGGGATGCATGCACACAGGCACGGCCCGCGACAGGACGAGGGTACTCACGATGGACCGATCGTACGGCTGTGCACGGTTTCGCGAGTGCGAGCGGGTCTTGCGGTCCTCTTTGTCGAGGCGGACGCGTAGGGAGAGGGGGAGGAGGAAGGGCGGGATGTCTGCGTACTCGGCGTCGCGCGACCGTCGTCCGCGCGTGGGCCGTGACGCGTCGCCCGGCTCGTTGGTGATGAGACGCGCGCCGGACGCCTTCGCTTTGCCTAACCAGCGGGGCAGAGAGGTCATCGTTGGTGCGAAGAAAGAAAGCGAAGGAGAAAGACGTGTTGTCCCGCAGTACTGGTGAAGGTGAGGACGAGGGGAACGTGTGGAGTGACACGGCGCACGGAGGGGGTGAGGAGGAGAGCCAGGCGGGCGACAGGGAGGGGGGCGCGCAGGACGGGGGCGACGGAGTCCAAGGAGCGGCGACGGGACGGGTGGGGAGAGTGCAGATATAAGTATTATGCGCGCAAAACAGGCACTTGGCTCGCCACAAGCGCCGGAAGGACGCCTGCCTGGAACGCCCATGTCCCGCGACCAGCACCAGCTGCTTTGGGCTAGCGCCCGCGCCACAAGGCGATGTCCGACGCGCAACACGCCGCGGACGCATGTTTTCGCGCGCTGCTTTATGGCCAGCAGACCTCTGCGATGGATGCGCATTTCCCGTAGCGCGGAAAACCCTACTTTATACATCGCAGACGCGTCGGAACGCGCGGCCCTCGTCGCCCACAACGGCACCCACGCGACCCTGCTGCCCGCCCTGCCCCAAGTCCCCGGACCCCGCGTACACAGATCCAGGGGCTCCGCCGCCTTCCAGAATCCACCCGCCTCGTCTAGTAGCGGCCAGCACCGTCCGGTCCGACCACGCCCCAGTACACGCTCGCGTCCGCGCCGGTCCACGCCCGCATTGCGTACACGTATCCGGCAACCCCCGCCAAGTACGCTGCCTGCACCGCTGGTGCCCGGAGCAGCCGCAAACACCGCAGCAGCCGCACAGACACACGGAGACCGCGCAGAGTCCGCCGAGCATTTCGTCAGCGGAGATAGAATCGCGAAGGTGGAGAAGGACGCTCACCGAGCTTCCGGGATGGGAACTTTGCGACGTGCGTCCCATATTGCGGCAAGCCCATGACGTTGCAGAACATGTGCGAGAGCGTCGGCGGGAGGAGCGAGCCTGTGCGCAGGAAGAGGTATGCACAGTGGAACCCGAAGAGGCTCGTGTACGCCAGCTGGAATACTGTAGATCCTTCGTCAGCGATGACACGGGAAGTCCGCGAGCCAATTTCCAGCCCAGTCTAGGTGGAATTCCGGACACAATCTGGACTCCGACCAATGACCAACCCCGTGGTCATTAAAGGGACTAGCGGGACGCTCAAGACTTCGCTTCCTGGGAACCCCGTTTTGCGACCGCAGCGATACCTCACAACTGCTCAGGTCGTGCAAGACTGCTCGGGATGGGAGCTGCTGGAGGCACGAACGCCACTCACACGTTTGTACCCCAGCGACGCGCAACGCGCTTCGCGTCCTGCCATATCGGTTGTAGGTGTCCCAGGCGTGGTGGAGATGGGCTACATGAGGCGGAGAAGGGCGCGGCTCAGATGGGCTTATCACGGAAAACGTCCAACCACCATACGCACCTACGCCAAATGCGAGCGGAGAGAGGAAGATCATCTTCATCGTCGACGCGCCCGACAAATGATAAACCGACAGCACACAGGCGCGAAAAACGATCTCTTCTGTGATAGGGCCCTGTGGTCCAGACCGGGATGAGATCTGCGTCTCCCGAAAAAGAAAGAGGGACGTACGATGGCATGGTTCCTCAGCCCGACCCAAGAGAAGAAGGTGGGCTTGATGTGCGTCGCAAAGGAGAAGTTGCGCTGAAAAGGCAGCTCTTCCGAGAGAAACTCGGCATATAGTGGCCCGAAGTAGAGCACGGGGGCGACAAGACACGGGAGGATGATGGCGAAGGGGTTGTCCTGCGCGATTGTGAAAGTGAGCCCGAGCCTGGCCAGGCCAGTCTGCAAGGGGGCTGAAGGATCGGCAGCAATCTGGGGAAGTGATGTCAGCGTTCTTGAGGATATTGAGCGGCACAAACACCCCTGGAATCGAGCAGTTGCGGCATCTCGTCGCTCGGCCTTCACCCCGACCACAGAACAATCTCAACCGACTCCGCGATTCTGCTTGACAAATGCACCCAAACGCAGTGTGCACCGTCGCCGTCCGCGTCCCGCTCGCAGTTAAGTAAAACAACGGACTCACGTCGGCTTCGGGGATGAGGCTCTTCACGAGCCAAAACACCGCACATACACTCAGCGTAGTGCTCACGCTCGCGGCGAGGAGACGTGCCTTGATCACGTCCGGATCGTTTCTCCACCGCTCGTCGTTCCTCCTCTCTCGTTCTTCACTCTCTGACTTGGGCTTCGCGTTCTTGTCGAACTTGAGCCGCGCGCTCTTGGAAAGGTATAGGGAGCCGACGTATGAGAAGGAGAAGAACGCGGCGAATGCGTGCGCTGTTGAAACAGAAATTGGTGGAGAAAGGAAAGCGTGCATGGCCACTGCTTGTGTTCTCATGTGCTATATGTACCAAACCGGTGGCGGCGTCAAGAACGATAGAGTGAAGGTGCCTAGAGTTTGAATTGCAAGTGCCTGGTACGAGGAGGATAACATATGAAGCAGTAGAAGGCCCCGCCCCGAGTCGTGGTGGACGTGTTTAGCAGACAATGGCGTCGGTGCTGGCATGACGAGCCAGCGTCGGCGCTCAAACATCCGCTGCGAGTCTGCGACCCGCCTTGCTTCCGTCCACGATGAGGGTACGGATGTGTCCTCCGTGCTTTCATCCGTTCGCTCCACCATGATCACGCTCTCGGGATCCAGTACGTCTTGTGCGCTCAAGCCAGGACTGACGACGCACTGTTGACACACTTCCGTAGACCCCTTCACCGACGACCATGCCGACCCACCTTCGCCGACCGAGACGATCCCGCCAGGGTAAGGGGCATGCTCCTTCCCGAGTGCGAGCTTCTGATGTTCTCGCCTCCCATCTCGCAGCTATGGGGAATCTTCAGCCCCGCCATCTTTGCCACCAAAGTGAGTGCGTCCGATTTACTTCAGACCCTCCAGGTCGTCTGACGGCGCGCGTACTACAGCTACGTCCTGACCGTCCGCCCGAGTGTACCCCGAATATACACATTCTCGTCCTGGAGCCACGATTCGATGTTCCTGCTTCCACCGCGTGATGCGGATCGGACGCTCACACCGGTTTACAACATATCAGTCGCATTGAACCTCAATCCGTTCGCGCCTCTGTCATATGTGACCACGATCAGGAGAGGGATGGACGACGATGGGGAGGTTGTGGGCGAATTCGAGTGAGTTCCATTCGTCGCTGCTCCTGATGAGGACATCCTGGACCAATGGGTTGTAGGCTCGCCGTGATGCACAAGAGGGCGTTCGTCACAATCGGGAACCACTCCTCGCGCATGTCAAGCGTGCTCAAACAAGACAGCCGTTCAGGGGTGCGCCATCTGTGTCTTCGAACTCTCGCCATATGTTACATCTCGCTCTCTGTACTGCAACAGCGCAACTTTCTCTGGCGATACGGCGATGTCGAGCTCCTCTGGGATACTCGTACGACCCTGGAGGATGGGTCCCCCATATGCATCGTGCGTATCACACGTTCTTTCCCCTCCCTCACACTTCCCTTCCGTTTTCTTTCCCCCCGCTTATGCTTGCATGACGTCACGCGTCGTCGTCCTCCACGGGATCCTCAACTCGCCCCTCGCCGACGGCAGTGTTCGGACGCACGCTCGAACCAGCTGGCCTCCTTCGTCCCGCCTCCGCTCGATGCGTCGCCACCCTTGCCACCGGCGACACTCACCGTCTTCCCGGACGGACACGAGCTCCTCGACCACATTCTCATCTCCGCGCTGGTCGTCGAGCGCAAGATCACGCTCTCTTTTTGATGGACCAAGCTCGTCGGTCGCGTCGCTCCGGCATCGGGCCTCTCCTATGTATGTTTGGTCGAGTATGTACGTCCCACTGTCATATTCTCCGCATGTATGCATATTTGTTTCTTCATGAAGCGCGTTGCGTGCTTCGAGTGTGGGGTTTATGCCGCGACCTTTGCCACAGAAGATGATCACTCCACAGCTCGGATGAGAAGGCCGTCGTGGCACCGACGTTGTGTTCATACTACCGAATGCCCGCCTCTACCGCCCCCAGCTACAGGACGGTGGATATGTACAATCCTAGCTCGAGAAGGCCGCCCTACCCAAGGATCTTCAGCCCGGCGCGCATGCCTTTCGTCGCAAAGAGGAGAAAATCCTAAGGCGGCACGACGTCGACAATATCAGCCGTTTTGAACTCTTTGAGCTCCGCAGATGCAATTTTCGTCATGGCTGCAACGAATCCTCGCTAAGTTCATCAGATGATTCCAGGCATCGAAGTCACCCCTTCAGTTCACTCGAGCCGTATGACCATACGAGCCAAGTCATACACCTCGTGAAGAATGATTCCCCTGATGTTTCGGGTAAGTAGTTTGCTCGAGTGTTCAGCAATTACGCTCATGCTTCCTGCCCCCGAATGCCGTCTTCCAACAGCAGACCGCTCGGAAAATAAGCTGAAAGCTGACTCCACCACTCCCGTGCCCGTGCCCTACTCATGATGGGTATAAAAGCTTCAGTCCGTACCCCATCTTTCTTCAGCGAACTCACTCCCGCTACTCACACTCGTTCTCACTCCCTCAGACCCCCGCACTTCCTTCCCTCCCCCTTCTTCAGTACCCACACTCGCCGCCATGTTTGCCAAGCTCGCCGCCACTCTCACTATCGTTGCTGTCGTCGCCCAGGCATCACCCGTCCCCGATGGGCTCGGCCCCGTCGGCCAGTGCAACGCCGGCGAGACCCAGTGCTGCGACACCACGGGCCCCGCCAAGGACGTCCTCCCCCCGCAGCAGCTCAACGGTCTTCTTGGGGTCGTCATCCAGGATCTGAACGTCATCGTCGGTGTTAGCTGCATCCCGATCAGCGTCATCGGCGTTGAGGCCGGCAACACCTGGTGAGCTTTCTTGCACAGACAAGCATTCGGGATCGAGCGCTGATCTTTCTCGCCCCACAGCTCCTCCAAGCCCGTGTGCTGCGAGAGCGTTGCTTCCAGTGAGATTCCTCTTTTCTACCACGCCCTTCTATGCGCAATGGCACACTGACGACAACTTCCGCCCCAGACGGTCTCGTCAACATCGGCTGCGTCCCCGTCACGCTCTAAACGCGTGGTGCCGACGCATATACCCGAGCCACGACACGGCTTCATACCGATTCTCCCTTGTCCAACACGCTCGTTTTGTATCTGGGAAGATGAGGTGGCTCTGGGAATAGAGTCAGAAAGGAGGGAAGGACCTGAGAGTAGCGTTTTGCTCCGAACAATCGTATACACGGCCCGTGCTTGCCTTAATGTATAGCTTGCGCATTCAATATTCATGCAATGTGCTCGTCATCGTATATGCTCAGCTATGATATGTTTCGCGGAGGAGGTATTTTCAAGGGACTCTTCCCCGCGGAGACTTGCGTTTGGCGGCACTTTCGGCCCGGAGTGCCCCCGAAAACTTCGGGAAGGCTGCAGAATATGGGCTGCTTGGGGAGACTAACGATTTGCTGCTGATATCTTGCTCGATGAACCTATAACTTCACTTCTCACCTCTCCCACCTATCTTTCCCGGTGAGGACCCTTTAAATTTAAAGGAAGGAATATGGTCAAGAAGAAGGGCAAGGAAACCGCAAAAGCAACCGCGAAGGCTGCGAAGAAGGCGAAGACCGTGCAGAAAGTTGAGCGAAAAGAGAAAAAGAAGCAGGGGAAGAAGAGCAAGGACGACCTCGACGATGACGATCAGGACCTCGAGAGCATCCTCGACAAGGTGAGCGGCCCATCTTTTCCCGCGTTTATCCCGATCGTGGAGATGAGGCGCAGGCTGATTCCGCGCGCGGCGGCCAGTAGATCCAAAGGGAGTGGGAAGAGGCGCACAAAGTGACGGAAGAGCTTGTCGAGGGGCCGCCTAGCCGACGCGCTAACGCGACCCTGACCGCCTGTCCGAACGGCAATCATCTCTGGTGCATCGGCGGGGAGTTCTTCAGCGACGATAACAAGGCGGTGCGTCTCTATCTCTCTTTCTCTGTGAACCCGTCATCTTCTCCCCTCTCGCACTTGGACTTCCGACGCTCAAGAGTGCGTGTGATTCCAGTACTTCTACAGCGACGTCTTTCGCTACTCTCCTGAAAAGGTGCGTCAACACTTTCCCATTTTCACACGCAAGTGCTCACTCGCCAACCTCGACCTCATCCAGAACGAATGGCGAAAATTCGTCTCTCCCACTTGCCCTGGTCCCCGCTCCGCACATGCTGTTGTTGCGACGCCCGCAGGAGGTGGAAAGCTGTACCTTTTTGGTATGAGCGAAGCTTTTCTCCTTCGTGCGCATTTCCTGACCGTCCCGTGCACCAGGGGGTGAATTTTCATCGCTCTACCAGAACTCCTTTCACCATTATCGCGACTTCTGGTGCTTCGATATTTCCACCCACTCATGGGAGCGGATTGAAACCAAAGTCCGCCCAACTGCAAGATCGGGGCATCGGTGAGTTTACAGCATATACAGACATGGGTCGGAGCTTCATGGGAAGTTCGGCAGAATGGCTATGTGGAAGCACTACGTAGTGCTCTTCGGTGGATTCTTTGATCCAGGGATCAAAAGTGAGTATCATCCCGTCCCTCGTCTCTGCGTCATACCCATCCACCCGTTCCCTAGCGAATTACCTCAACGACCTGTGGCTGTTTGATACGCAAGAATACAAGTGGAGACAAATCGAGTTTAGGGATGCTGACAGGAAGCCTCCGTGCGTACCTTCCACCGTTCTCTCTCTTGCTCTGCTCAAGCATATTCGCTCAGACCCAGGAGCGGCTTCTCCTTCATCCCCACGCCCGACGGGATATTGCTGCATGGAGGATACTGCAAGGAGTACGTGAAGGGCAGCCGTCCCATCGGGGTCATGTTAGACGACACCTGGTTCCTCCGGTGCGCCCACTTCTGTTCGTTCTTGGCCTTCAACTCATACAAATTGTTGTCCTTCGCCTTCAGCATGACCCTCAACTCCGAGACCCCAACCGCGACCACGAGCAAAGCGTCCGCTGACCCCCTGTCGCTTAAGTGGGAACGCCGCAAGAAGCCATCCACCGCATACGCCCCCTCCCTCCGGTCTGGCTGCACGATGGCGCTCTGGGCGACGAAGAACATGGGCGTCCTTTTCGGGGGCGTGACGGACGAGGACACGAACGAGGAGACGCTCGAAAGCGTGTTCCACAACGACCTGTACGGCTACCAGGTTGCGGGGAACGGGCGGTGGCAGTCGCTGCAGCTGAAGAGGCTGAAGAAGAAGGGCGCGGAGAAGAAGAAGAAAGCTGCGCCTGCGCAGGTTCAGAGACGCGGCCCTGAGGAAGATGAATTGGACTGGGGTGATGATGATGGCGGAGAGCGCTCCGGGAACGAAGACGAGGAAGGAGACGAGGAGGTACGTCGATTATACGCGCCCCGGGATCACGACTTCATGCGCATGATTCCGTAGGAGAAGCCCTCTAAAGTGGCCAAGCCCGCTCCTGCGAAGCAGCCCGCCGTAGACACTCCACCGCCAGATGAAGTCGATCCGGATGACCCGATGCTCACAATGCCCCCACCTCGATATAACGCGATGCTCGCGGTCTTGCGGAACACACTCTATATGTACGTGCATTCCGCAGGCGTCTCGAGGTTGTGTCTTACACGATGTTCGCTCCAGTTATGGGGGAATATTTGAGAAAGGGTCCCGCGAGTACACTCTGGATGACTTCCACTCCCTTGCGCTTGACAAGCTCGACCGATACGTCTGTCTGAAGCCATCAGAGATAGTCATCGCGGAGGGAGACGAAGAAAGCAGCGAGGATGAAGATGATGACGAAGATGACGACGACGAGACCCAGTTCGACGACAACGAGAGTGTCGCTAGCGCTACGGTGGTCGGTGATGACGACGAGAAGGATGTGGAAGTGTTGGAAGTCATCGAAGAGGAGGTGTGCCGTCACTTCCCAGTCCTGTTCTCCCTGCTGTATGGGCTCATACGTGTGCCCAGGAGGATCTGCGCACCCAGGCAACGGCATTCATGGGCGTCGCCAAAGATGCGACGCGGTCCCCTGAAGATGTGATCAGCACGCCCCTCCCGGGCGAGACACTGGCGATGTTCTACGCGCGATCTCGTACGTCTTCGTTCTTTCCTACGTGCACGTGTTGTGTTGAGATCCGGAACGGTGGCCGCATGCTGATGGACGACGCAGGCGAGTACTGGGCGCAGAAGGCGTACGGCACGAGCGACAATCGTGGCAAAATGCTCCGGAAAGACGGATTTTCACTCGCGGAGGAGCGGTATGGTGCGTAATGTCTTCCTTTCGAACTTCTCTGCGGCGGCCGACGGATGGCGGTTCGTATTCAGCCGAGTATAAACCTATTTTGGAGGAGGTGGAGCGCATTTTGGCAGAGGCTGGTCTGGACGAGGAAGAAATGCGGAAGGGAGCAGCGGCTGGCTCACATGGGACTAGCGGGCAGAGCCGGAACCGACGTTGATGCATATGGGGTGAGCTTGTCTTCTCTTGACCACATCAGCTGTTTCTAATTTGTTCTTCTGCTCACAAGCAGATGTGCTTCGCGTAACGCCAGATGAAGTTGGCGACACCCTTGGGAGCGTTCTACAAATGTCTCATTTTGAGATCAATGGCATGCTCGTTCGCAAGCATACGGAGTACTGATCAGCCTAGGCTCAGAAGGTCGCTAATCTTCACTCGGGCATCCGCGTTCCGCGCAGTTTCTCCGTACGGTCATTGGTTCCCTGAGGAAGCTCAATTTACATATCTTTTCTTTGTATGATTAGACGAGGCTCTATTGTTTCTCGCCACGCTCTGCGCTTCTAAGTGGCTTCCAAATTCCACTGTGACCTGCATCTCGTGATCGCCGATTACATGGATGCCTCAGAGGAGTCTCACCCGTGGACCATCAGAGACGTCAGGCATACAATGCACACCGGTGATCCTCCCATGCACGTTGTCTATATGCGCTCCAACTAACATCATCATAGAGGTTTTAAAGCGTCGAAGAACGAACCTCGAGCTCAACCAGCCGTGCCATCCACGATGCTCCCCATCGTTCTCCTCATCGCGTCGGGCCTCGTACTCGTCGCCGCGGCCGTCTCCACTCCCGGATCAGCCGCAGCCTGCGATGCGTTCACTTTGACCAATGTCACGAACGTCGCCATCGCCAGCGTCACGCATTTCGACACCAACGCTACGGTGGACTTCACCAACCTCTTCTCCTCAATCAACACTTCGGTCCTCCCCGCGTTCTGCCGCGTCGAGCTGGTGGTCACGACCAACGCCACGGCTGGCTCTTTTGCCATCACGGAGGTCTGGCTCCCGGACGAGTGGAATGGTCGCATGCTGTCATTCGGGAACGGCGGCGTGGCGGGCGGAGGCAAGCGGGCCGCTCCCCTGCTTCCACTCCATGCTAAATTTGTCCCTTCAGTGAATGTCGCTGATATCGGAAATATCGCGGTACGCCAGGGCTGTGAGTCTGTCGTCCGTTTGAGCTGGGCCGACCGGTGGGGCTGACGCGTGACGTAGTCGCGGGAATGTCGACGAATACTGGGCACAACAGTACTGATTCCGATGCCACGTGGGGGCTGCACAACGACGTACGTGATTACACCGGAGCAATGTTGACCGATGTGCTCATGTGTTAGTTCACAGAATGCTCTTTTCGACTGGGGCTTCCGTGCGATGCATCTCAGCGTCATCGCGGGCAAAGCGGTGATCGAACAGTACTATCAGGCTCCCGCGAACAAGTCTTATTACCTCGGATGCTCTACAGGTGGGCAAAAGGCCGTAGCGTTCTAGATTAGATGCAATCCCATAGCTAACCCTTATATTGCACAAGGTGGCCGACAGGGGTACGCCGTCTTTCAACTTTAGGGTCGACTCGTTCGCTAACGAATGGGCTGGTGCAGACTCAAGGAAGTCCAAGAATTTCCGGACGACTTTGACGGAGTCGTGAGCGTGTCATCGTCCAATCATCTGTTTTTTACTGATAACCAGTGTCCTTAGGTTTTGGGATCGCCCGCCAACTGGCAGACTCATTTGTCTGGCTGGGGTCCGCATATGAACCTGAATGTGCAACCGTCAACGTCACCTAGATTCATGACATTGGACCAGTGGATCAACGTGATCGCTCCGGAAGTCTTGAGGCAATGCGATTCCCTCGACGGGGTAAGTCAGCGGCAACGGTGCGGGTGAAATGAGTAACCAGCTCATATGCTTTCTGTTACAGCTTGCGGATGGTATCATAAACGACCCCCGGGCGTGCAGGTGACATTTTCCGTTTCCGCGGATGACTTGGCATCTGATACGACTGTTTCAGGTTTCGACCGGAAACACTGACATGCCGCCTGGGGCAGAATACTTCAACGTGCTTAACTGGTCCGCAAATATTTGCTCTACATCGTGTATACAGTGACTACGTCGAGACGGACCAAACGTACATCTTCGGACCGTACTTCCCTGGAGGCGAGCTCGAGTATGCCGTCAGTGGATACATGAGCAGCAAGCCGGATTCCATTTCCCTGTCCGCCATCCAAAATTTCGTTGTCAAGTGAGCCTTCGCAGTTCCTAGAAATATGCGAGACTAACGTCAGTGCGCCCAAGCACCACTGACTTCACGATCGAAGACTACAACTTTGACATCTTGAAGCTCATCATCGAGGTCAACGCCGGGCAAGCCGCCGTAAGTATCAAATCACAGTGTGGTCGTCGCTTTCTCACCCAGTCTGCGCAGGCCATCAAAACGAATTTAACCGACTTCGCTGGGCCAACCCACAGTGGGAAGATCATCCAGTATGTCGGCTGGGCCGACCAGCTTATCAGTCCCGGGGCCTCGTTGCACTACTACGAGACCGTGCACACCTTCATGACCGAGCACTCCATGCTCGACATCGACGACTTCTACCGCCTCTTCCCCGTCGCTGGCATGACACACTGTGCGGTAAGTCTTTGGTACAGCACCCCACTTCATGCGAGCTGATCGACTTCGCGTGGGGTCAGGGCGGCGTGGGCGCGAACTCGTTTGGGCAGGCCCTCAACGGCAACGTGCCCGTCGCAGACGACGCGCAGCACAACATCGTGAGCGCGATCGTCCGCTGGGTCGAGGAGGGTGTGGCCCCGGAGAACTTCACCGCCGCGAAGTTCAACGACGACAGCTCGGCGAAGGGCGTCAACTTCACGCGCCCTGTCTGCATGGTACGTGTCGTTCCTATTTTTTGAAGTATATTTCCCTTGCTGACAGCATGGCGCTTCAGTATCCTTCGAGCCTCGTGTTCCGTGGCGGCGACCCCGCCGACATGGGTAGCTTTGAGTGTACGACGCTCGTGTGAGATGATGTAGGGCTTTTTGTACCTCTGCACTTGTATGACGTAGGGCTGGGTATCGAGAACGCGCACAGTAGCGAGTTTTTGACGGTCGTCGACTCGATCAATGGATGCGATGGCTGAGATCAGATGAAGAGGTACAAAAAGTTAAAACGACACGCAAATAGATTCGCCATGCCCGGAGCGCGATTTGAACGCACGACCTGCAGAACTTCAGTCTGTCGCTCTCCCAGCTGAGCTATCCAGGCGTTGCATAGAAAGCGCTCCTGCACCACGCGGTTCCGGTCCGGAGTTAGCACCCGGTAGCCAGCCGAATGTCTGAGCAAGTAAGTACTCATCTTGCGATACCCACCTGTCTTCACCATCACCCTCTGTTCTACGAGCGCCGCGTCTCCGTCACCTCCGACGCGAGTACTCGCAGAGCTCGTACCTCAGGTGGGAAGCATGGCACTGGTGAGGCCTTCATGCATGACACGTAACTGAATAAACGATTGCATTACGGCCGCGTATTCATGAACAGATGCCAGCCAAAAAGGTTTTGACATTCTTCCCACCGCCTGTCTCCATGATTTCGGATGGTCGCTTTCGCCCTCCTCTTCCTCCAAGCCATCACTACTCGTCCATCTCCGCGAGGCCCGAAGTCGAATTTGAACCTCCACCCCGAGGACCGATTCCGATGGGGTCGTTACGGGTCGTACCGATACCGCTCGGAGAAGAACGCTTGAGCAAAGCAGCGGAGTCAGACTGGTTCACCTCGATGTGCTTAAGACAGGACTCACCACCAGGCCTGTCTCCCCATCGAACCTCATCGTCCACGACGTCGCGCGCCTCTCCCCATCCTCCCTCCACACCTCCACCATCCGCCTGCGCCCCTCTCACCATCGATGACCCACCACCGCATCTCCCGCGTCGCTGCCGCCCGCATCTCCCTGATCACCCCACGGCCTCCTGTCGATCCTCAGTGCCCCGTCGTCCTCTACTTGCACGGTGGGCGTGTACGGCCCAGCACCGAGAACGCGCAGCGTCGGGATCGCGTCGACGAGCAGCCGCGGGAGCGCGTGGAGCGCATGGACGCGGCTGGCCTCCGTGGCCGCCTCTGCGTCACGGGCCGTTCGCAGGGGGTCCGTGTTCCGGGATGGAGGGCGCTGGCGCGAGCGCAGTAGCTTCTGTACTGGGGCTGCTCCCACCACTTCGCCACGCGCTTAATGGTGATGGTGAGGTGCATCAGGGAGAGCTGGGAGAGCGCAGCGGGGAGCGCGGTCTGCGGCAACGGCAAGCGGCAAGGGGTAGTGAGCACGAAGTGCAGGAGCACGACTAGCAAGGAGGAAGGTGCTCACAAGCATGCTGTGGAAGTCGTCGCAGGCCGCGCGTACGTTGAGAGACAGGGAGCGCAGCTGCGGCGCGGTGTCCGCGAGCTTCGTCCAGAAGGCTTCGTCCAACGGCTCCAGAGGCAACGCGTGGTCGTAAGCGTGGAGCTTCATCTCCAGGATCGGGGGATGGACGACGTGTATGTGCGCGAAGAAAACTTGGCTGTTCGTAGCAGTGGGAATCAAGCTTGCGGAGGTTTGGACCCGGCCGCACCCCGGCCACCCAATGATCAGACGATGGGCATACACCTCAACTCCATCAGGCAGTGCTCCCGTCAGCAATCCGAGATGGAGCTTTCGAAGGGAAGGCCAGCAGCCAGGAGGTCCGGAGAGGCTTCCTTTCCGCGAAGAGGATGGATGGAGGGATAGCTCAGAGAGCTTTGGAAGTAACGACATGAAGCGGAGGTTCGTGTCGAGACGCGCGGGGCCTTCAAGGCTGAATTTGTGAAGCACAGGTGGTGAAGGCTGCCACCGTTTGTCACTGGGTTGAGATAGGGGCCCTTCGTAGGCAAGATAACTGTGATGATGAACGTCGAGAGTGTGGAGCGAAGTGAAGCCGGAAAGGAGTGCGAGCAAGGAAGAGATTGAACATCCGGTGAACACTCCGGGGCCGAAGGGGTTTTCGGCGAGGGATAGTGATTTGAGTCGACACGTCTTCGATATGGACGGCAAGAGCTCGAGGGCTGGGGGCCCGATGTGGACTAGTACAAGGGATGTCAGATAGGGGAGTCCTCGCAGGGCTTCGCCGACCTGCAGTCGGTGATACTGGAGCAGAACGTCCACGTTCTGAAGAGTCAAAGAGCGCAAGTGATGGGTCTGAGAAAGAATCTTGCTGACATGTGGGAGTCCACGGATCCCGCATATGTGATAGTACGCTGGGTTGTGGGGTCCGAAGAAGGAGAGGGATTGGACTTGTTCCGTTGGTGGTCGTCTCCGGAGAAGAGGGTGAGTTTGGCGTCGCAAGCTGTATACATTTTGGATGGCGAGCCGCACCGCCCCAAGAAGGCAGTCACGGATGGATAGGAATGGTCCGTCAAAAACTTGAAAGGGGATGTTGCTCGACGTATCGAAGCAGAGTTCTGAGAAGACGTGGGGTAGTGCGAGTTTATATGCGTATGACGAGCACGAGGCCATGCATAACGCTTCGCGACAGCTGAGATGCGAAAAGATGACGAACAGCACGTCTTCGTCCAAATCGAGAAGGCATTTCATGGTGTTGGGTAGGATGAGAGTGCAAGAAGAAAGGGGTGGCTCCTGTTGCCAAATAGTCCTGTGCGGAGTCAGCATCCTTACTCAAGGCGCTCAGCCCCGGCGAGAGTCGCGCATGGAATTCAATATGCTGATATAGGGCTTCTGTGACGGTGCATAACCAAGTGAGAAACTCGAGCGTTGTGACGGTACTCGGACACTCACCACCGAATGACTTCGCTCCTGGACCTCGTTCTCAACCAAGTCGCACGCCCCGCGTCGAACCTTCGGGCCAATTTTCAGTCCCGTATGCCTGTCGCACGACGTTGGGACGGCGTCCTTGAGGACGAGAAAGTGCATACAGCGTCTCCTCTGTTTCGCTTCACACGATCGGGGTTGCATCTGGATGCGAACAGAGTATCGTCGGCAATAGTGGGAAGCATATCATGAGAGCCTGTAGTGAGAGTATGCGGAGCGTTGACCAACCTAAGCTTTACGTGCAGTCCGTGGTATCGGCGGCGAAACATTGAAAGTGAAAGACGAATAGTGGGATCCAAGCGGGCGTAGACGATTGCTATAGAATGGATGGCTTGTAACTCTTCCGGAAATGGACGTTGTTGAGGGCAAGGATGCCAGACGACTCGTCGACTTTGGGGCAAACACCACGTGGTCGAATTAGAAAGCGTAAAGGGACATGCGAGGAGGAGGAGGAGGAGGAGGGGAGGAGGAGGAGGAGGAGGAGGAGGGGGAAAAGCGGAGAAACTCACAAGACATACTAAACGCGTCCTTCATATCCCCAGCTCATCCGTCCATTGCTCGATTTCCATCAACCCTTCGTGTCCCATGACTGCCTCATCGTCTTTCACTACTATCTTGTCCACGCCGGGGTCCTTCCACAACCTGTTCGCCGCTTCGAGCGCGGATCGTTCATGGTTGGTGCACATGACGGCACAAGGGAACTTGGTCTCGAAGGTGAACTCCGGCAGGGTCGTGGGCAGAAGTGTCCTGGGCAACACGACGTTGGCAGGCGGAGGCGAAATGAGAAGGAGGGCCGTGGCGGGATACGAGGAGATGTAGGACTGAGCGATGAGGGCTCCGGCGCGGCGCGCGATGATGACGGGGGCGAAAGGAATGGATAAAAGGCGGATATGCGAAGCCACCTCTGCAAACAAGACGTACGTTAGCCTCAAGCGGGACGGAAAACCGCTGAGAAGAGACGGCATTGCCTGCACCCCGAAGACAGCAATGGCATAGTATGGGGTATGCATGAACGCGACGCGAACTACAACTCACCACTCTCATAGTGTTTCATCAGCTCTTGCGACGAAACGTTTCCCGAGAGATGCGCAAGGTCGAGTTCGAGACAGGTGAACCGCGCTGCGAGAACCAACTGCTTGCGGTGCTCATCCTGCCATTCCTGCGGTCAGCCTTCTGTCCGACGGTCTTCAGAAAGGATGTACTGACCCTTTCGCCGAAGCGGATCCCAGGTGCTAGAGGACACGAAGACGATGGGAGTTGGGACTTCTCTGGGTGCAGACGCAGCGGGGGTTCGGAGGAGGTAGCGGGTGGAAGATGAGCTTTGTCGGAACAGTTGAGGAAGGCGAGTTCGGGGGATAGGTTTGGCCGCAGTCCAGGAACGTGGAGAGTATATCGTGGAGGCAAGCAGTGGCATGGTTGGTTGGAGGAAGACGTGGAAGGGTCGCAGCGAGAGAGAGAGGGAGAGAGGGAGAGAGGGAGAGAGATATCATGTATAAGCCGCCTACGCTATATGCGAGGCGGACTCGTAGACGTTCTGCGGCACGGCTATGGCCGGCCGGGCCGGAGGCGAGCGGAACCCTACTTCTCACTCACTAACTTACTATCAGGCCCACCTTCCTTTCTAAACGAGCGCATTTTCACTCTGTGGCACACAGAAGAAACTTTCAAAACGGCACAGGTAACACAAGTCAATCTTTTGCTCACATACTACAACAGCACTTCATCAGACTGTGAATCATAGCTAGTATATGGGACACACACAGCTTGAGCTGCCTCTATTGGGAGCAATTTCTACGGAATCCCCTTCATAAGCTTATACAGTTCGACCATGCACTGTGGAGCGTCTGGCCCAATGGCACCCTTCATGTTGGTAGCGGTAACGGCCGTCCACTTCGCGCCCTCCTCAAACAGCTTCTCCTCCGCCTTCTTGATCGCCGCCTCCCGCTCCTCCTTGCTCGCCCCTGCGTTCACCGCCTCTGCGATCGCCAACCCCATCTCCAGCCCATCCAGCATCGACACGTTCGCACCCATCCCAGCAAACGGCGTCATCACGTGCGCCGCGTCCCCGATGATCGTCACCCCGTCGACGTGCTCCCACCGCAGCCCAGGCTCGAGCATGTACAGCGGCCGGTGGTAGATAGCGTCGTCCGCGCCGTGCTCGATGAGCTTGCGGAGCACCGGTGCCCACCCCTCGAACTTCTCCAGCAGCACCGCCCGAGCCTCTGACGGGTCCGCCGGGAGCGGCCAGTCCTCTGGGCCGTGGAACCAGGCGTATGTCCGCACGCGCCCGTCGCTGTTGCGCTGCCCGATAAGGACATTGCCGCCCTCCATCGCGTACGTTGTACCGGCCCCGACCAGCGCGCGCGCGTCCGCCATGTCGGCGCGGTCGACGACGTCCGGCGGGATGACGAGCTCCGCACCGGTGATCCCGGCGTAGTACCGCTGCGCGGGGGAAACGAGGGGGCGGATGCGCGACGTGCCGCCGTCCGCGCCGACGAGGACGTCGACGACCGCGGTGTGCCCGTTCGCGAACGAGAGGGTGTGGGTGCCGTCGCCGTGCGGGGTGACGGAGGTGAGCGCGTGGCCCCACTTGACGGAGTCGGCGGGGACGGCATCGAGGATGATCTGCCGGAGCGCGCGGCGGTCGACCTCGGGGCTGATGTCTTCGGGGTTAATAATGTCACGGTCGCCGATGAGCTCGAGGAGGACGCGGCCGTCCTTGCCGCAGATGCGGGTCTCGTCGCCTTCGGGGCGGGAGACGGCCTTGAAGGCGGCCTCGAGGCCGTTCTCGTAGAGTGCGCGCTGGCCATACGCCCAACGGAGGTCGAGAGTGCCGCCGAGGTGAATGCGGGCGTTTGGGCTTGCTTCGCGCTCGTAGAGGGTGGAGGGGACGCCACGCTTGACGAGGGTGAGATGGAGGACAAGACCAGAGGGTCCGGCGCCGATGATGGCGATGCGAGGTGAGGAGGTTGTGGTAGCCATGGTGCGGAGTGTGACTGCTGCTGCTGGAGGCCTTCTTGCCCTGCATCATATATGCCGTGGGGCGAACGTGGAGAGAGCGAAAGAGAGCTCGTGTGTTTCAGGAGCTCCTCTGGCGAGATTGGTCCGAGTATCCATCATACAGTCAGCATTCCCATCGCCAAATCGGATGCAACGCGGTGTCCTCCGACCTCACGCGCACAAATCGGTTCCGCTTACCAGATATCGCAGCATTTGTGCTGAACGATGTGATGTTGTCTGGTCTTGGCTGGCAAATTCGCGGACGCAGATGTGGGTCATGGCTCCCAGTACTGGGTTAACCGAGACCGACTGAGACGTTCGTTACAAACGCAGGCACAAAGTCCAGTTAGACGACGCATTTCCCGGTGATGGTTTGCATACCTACTGCCCATACTTCGTCGGCGTTCTTCCCGGGGGACAATGAACCCTCATGAGCTTTCCTACTACGAGTAAACAGGCTCACTCGCCTGCGGAAACAAGACGCGTCCCCAGAGCCGTTTTACGCGACCAGTTTCACCGAGGGTCAGTATGGAGCTGCGGACTGGATAGTGAATGTTCGCGGGATCAGACTTTGAAGATATACCCACCGTCACTTCACGTTACCGCTCAGATTAGATTTTCAAGAGATAGCTCCTATTCACATGTGATAGAGCACCTTCGAGAGCTGAAATGAACGCTGCAGAGTCGGACGACAGACATGGGTATGTGATATGCATGAGATGGGCGAGAAATACACGCCATCCTCATGTCAGGGTCTGCTCGCTCACCATGCTGGAGTGGATGACTACGCACCTCGCAGCCGAAGATCGTCTTCGGCACAGTTCCCTTCTCGGTGGATGCTGCCCGTCGACGGACGTTGGCGGAGTGAGTCACCAGTGGCGCCAAGAGTGTTTGGTGCGTTTCCGCCGGAGCTGAAAGCATGGTTGCGTAAGCCTCCGCCGCGGACAGCGGATGGCGACCAGTGCCATGCGCAATGTGTGCCCAGAACGGCGGTGTTCTTGGGATCAGCGGAAACCCCAGTTAGTACGATCAGAGAGGCGTGTACACTGTAGACAGCGAAAAGACTTGCATCCCCACCCAACCGCCGCAATGTTGCATCTATCCCCGACGTTGACTGTAAAGATATCTTCAACTCGATTGGAACTCAGCTGCGCCAAAAGTCTAATGTGTTCAATCTCCGAAAGTCGAACTCCGGTCCGATAGATTCCTCGATCTGGTCCACTGATCGCGATCCCTGATCCAGACCTGGTCTGGCGTGGCTCGCGCGCCCACATCGCGCGGAGTTCGCTCACAGTGCAGCCCGGGCCCCGCAGCTAGCGGCATCCAGGCTTGAAGCTTTGAAGCTTGAACCTCGCACCCCGCGTCGCCGCGCTTGCCGCCATTGCTACTATCTCTGATTAAGCTGCTCTACAATTTGACAACCTCGGTGGAATCGAACATTAACCGTAACATGGCAAAAAATCGCAAGTGGAGAACAAAGAACTTCGACCGGTTCGTCCCCCTCCTCAACACCCTCTCTCCCCCTACTCGTCGCGCGACCCCATCATATCCCTGTCCTTGTTCCCCTCGTGCCAGATGCCCGTCGGGTCCCCAACGCACCGCCCGTTCGTCGCGCGCAAGTGGCGCAGCAGCGCGTCGCGCCGGCTGAACGCCTTCAAGCACCCCCCGAGCATCTCCCGCCCGTCGAGCGAGTACACATCCATCTCCCTCGGGTCGAGCCCCTTCTCCGCCGCCTGCGACAGCGGCACCCCCGCGCAGAGCCATTGCGGCGGCATCGACCCCCCCGTGTGCGTCGCGACGTGCCGGCGCAGGTCCGGCTTGCGCCTGCTCGCCTGCACGAACGGGCAGTACGGGCACTTCCACGGGTCGATCTCGCCCGCCGCCGCGCCCGCCGGCCGCGCCGCGACGCGCGTCGTAGGGGAGCGCGCCGACGGCACCGCCGCGGGCGACACGATCGGCACCGACGTCTGCGCGTACGGGAGCGGCGCGCCCGACGTGAGCTGCATGTTCCGCCGCGGGTAGACGGTCACCGCGGCCTGGTAGTAGCCCGCGTCGTCCGGCATCGGCGGCGCGTGCGCGGCCGGCGTGGTCCCGCGCTGGCTCTGGCTCGGGTGGCAGTACGTGGGCGGGGTGAGCACCATCGGCCCGCGCGGCTGGGAGGGGGCGGAGGGATGGCCGTAGGGTGCGGGGTCTTCGCGCGCGCGAGGGCGGGTGCGCGCGGAGCCGTCGAGCGCGATGTCCGAGTCGCTGGGGCGCTTCGCGTGCGTGGGTTGCGCCTGGGAGGCGTGTCGAGGAGTGACTTGCGCGTGGACGCTGCGTGAGACCGACGCGTCGTCGCCATATTTCGCGCGGGCTGAGGCGGAGGCGGCGGCAGAGGCAGAGGCAGTAGTCTTGCGTTCTGACATGGCGCGAGAGTGGATGAGACTGTGAAGTCGAGTACTAGTGACTGCTGGCGATGCCTGTGAGGTGGTGTGGTGAGTCGTCTCGGAGGGACGCACGCCCTTTTATACATGCATATTGACCACTCTCGACCACCTTCGCTTTGCGCGCACAGAGATGCGACAGACTGCCACTTCCCCAAGCGCAACATGAAGACAAAGCAAAGAGATCGAGCTGCTAGAGATCGTACTTCGGCCGTGATGCCACCGCACTGCTCAAGCTTGCTGTTGACTCCGACCCTTCATTTCAGAGTTCAGTGATGTGTGGCACAAAGAAGAGCGCGCTCGACGGACCGGAGAGAGCGTACAACGATGATTGTTAGCCGTACAAAACAAATACCGAAGCTCAAACACGGCTAGATCCCATCGGCTGCCTCTAGATGGTTGCTTTTCTCAGATCTTGAAGGGCCCCTCGCAAGCGTCGCAGATATCCCTATGTCGCGAGAGCGCACTCGAAGCTTGACGCGTCATCCGGGTTGCCGCCGACGAAGCGCACCGAAAGCGGGTACTGTGAACAAAGCAGGGGTCAGCGGCGCGGCCAAACTTGAGGGTCCGAGCACACGTTGAATGCGGACCGAGCGTGTTTCTCGGCCACGATGCATCGCGGGCTTAGGTGTGTGGGCTCCGCCACTCGCCCATCCAAGAGGCAGGGCAGTCGCCGAACACGTACCTGGCAGATAGGTCGCGTGAAGGCCACGCCGTCTGCGGCCACGCCGTTCGTGAAGTGGGCGGCGGTGAAGTTGCCGGGGGCGACGCCGTCTTCTACCCAGCGCACGATGGCATCGAGTATGTTGTGCTGCGCGTCGTTGGCGAGCGCGGGTTGGGTGTCGCCTGCGGCTCCAAAGGAGGTCGCGCCGGTTCCGCCCTGGAGGAAATTCTGATTAAGCGCCTATGCGTCCACTTCTTCGAAATAACTCACGCCACTGGAAGATGGGAGGTCAGCCACGAGTCACAGAATCCACGTCGGAACTGACCAGTGCATCATGCCGCCCACGGGGAAGAGGCGGTAGAAGTCGTCAATATTCATGTTCGTGTGCTCGTTCATGAAGGTGTGCACGGTCTCATAGTAGTGCACCGAGTTCCCTGGGCTGATGAGCTGGTCCGCCCAGCCTACGTAGTGGATGAGCTTCCCGTTATGCGACGGGCCGGCAAAGCCGGAGATATTGGGATTGATAGCCTGTCCGATCAGGTGGGTGAGCTCTCAAAGGAAGAAAACACGGGTTCGCCATCCCGCGTACATTGGCCCCTCCAGGGTTAATCTCGTCGCCAAGACGGAGAATGTCGGGGCTGAAGTCAAAGAGACCAAAACTCGTGTCACTGTGGAGATTAAAGCACGTGTCAGCAGGGCGGTTTGTCGCATACAAAGAGCTTTCTTACTTGAGAACCAAGAATTGGATCCATTCGATGCCGAGTTCGAAAGGAGCGTTGCCGACGAGCCCGTTGAAGAAACCAAGCTCACCACCTGGGTAGTAGGAGTTGAAAATAAAGGTCTGGTTGGCTTCGAAGTAGTTCGCATAGATGTGCTTGAGAGTGAAGACTTGCGTTCCCGTCAAGCACGTGGAAGCGTTCTGGCCGGGGCGACAAGTGAGCGTCTCGGGTCGGAAGCTGAGATGCGCTTTAGCTTTGGAACTTTAGACGAAATCACGACGGCCTACCTGCATGTACGAGGGTCGGCGATGATGCCGTCGGAGAGCTGCGAGGAATCAATGAACAAATGCCGCCGCAAGCCCGGTGGACATCATACCCCATCCAGGTGATCGCATTGGTTCAGGACCTCGGGAGCGATGACGTCCGTCCAGAGGTTCGCGGGGATAAAGCGATCGGATGTTTCTGGTTGAACGAGCAAGTTCATATGCAACGACCATGGTTGGAGATGACTCTACCAGTTAGCAGGCGAGCCAACAACCTGGAGGCGCGCGGGTCAAAATGATACAAGGCTGAAAGTGTAGACGACGCGCACCACTCCGTCAAAGTCTTCAGGAAACTCCTGCACTTCCTTCAAGCCTTGGCGTCCACCTGGAACGAGCCGTTAGCCAGCGATCGCTCCGAACGAATCGCAGCACCTTACCGCTGGAGCATCCCAGATAGTACGACTTGTTGATCGAGTGCCTGTAGTACTGCTCGATGATGGCCTTGCCGTTAACGATTGTCTCACGGAACGCGCGTGAGCCCCAGTCGAAGATCGCGTTCTGTGAGAAGCGTGAGTAAGGCGAAATCTCACGTGGCATGACGAGAGACCGACGTCGTCACCAGGACCAGCGAAGGACATGTCCGTGAAGTTGCCCTCGTGTCCCGTGTCTGTCGACATGCCGGCAACTTTCAAGAATGAAGCTCAGGTCCACTGACCATGCACCGCGAGGAGGTCACTCACATCCACGGTTGACGGCAATCAGCCCTAAGTCGCCGACGTTGACTGGCGGGATCGGTGAGAACTGCTGCGATCGGGACCAGAGGCGCAAAGGACAACTCACTACCGCCCGAGGCTCCCCCGTTGCCAACACCGAGCGATCGACCATTCCAGGCGTCAGGCAGCCACACCTCAGCGAGTGCTGTAGAGCCGGCGGTCGCGTTCGTGGTGATCACGAGCTGGACGCGGCAAAACGCGGGGAGAGTGGAGGTCATGAGCGAGGACTGGGGCGTGGTGAGCGCGAGGGTCGCGTTTTCAGGGAAGTGCGTCGATGCGCTGAGGTGGACATTGGGGATATTGAGCTTGAGACTGGCGCACTTGGCTGCGGAACCGGTCGCGACGGGCTTCGTCTTGGATAAATTGGCGAAGACGCTGAGCGTGAAGCTCAGGGCAGCGAAGAGAGACGCCATGGGATGCATCCTTAGGGAGGGGAACGCGGTGTTGAGCTGTGGGGGGAGAGGCTTTATACACTGGTGGCTTGCATAAAATGACGAGACGCACCATGGTAGTCAAAACTCCAGAAAAGGAAGGTACACAAATGGCGCTGCCGCCCGTGACCCTCATCCCCTGCCCGGGCGAATTGTCTTGACAAACAGCCTGTGAGCGGTGTCTTTCGTGTGTAAACAATCCAGATCGGAAACCTACGAGCGAATGGGAAGCGGATGCTGTTCCTCCAGCCACGAGGTCGTCTCTCCCACCTCGCCACCGGGTGATGGCCGCACCGTCGGTCCGACACCGTACGGCAGAAGGGCTGACGTCAGGCCTGGACTTTTTGACGTCTGTACCGTCCATTGAGGACAACCCCCAACGCGAGGTTAAACGTTAAACCCGGTGGGCACGAGCACCGATCCATGGTTGTAGTAGAATTCGTGTCCACATTTGAGGAAGCGGGCCGGAGGCATATCGTGGCCGCTCTACGTCCCGTCAAAGTTAACAAAACGCACCCGTGGACTTGCGGTATACAGCCGGGGGACGTGGACGCAGCCGAGTGGGGCAAAAGAGGGCATTCGATACTCACAAGCATGTCCTGACTCCTGATGAGGACGTTGTCACCGACCACCTTCACGGAAGCATCTCTCCGGACTCCCATTCTAAACCCAGTTCAAAAGGTGTCCAGTAATGTCCACAGAGACTCGATGAAACTTCGCCTCGCTCGCAAAAGCATACTTGTGTGAGGGTCGGTGCGGGGAATGCGTGGCTGCCGCGCGCTGCTATACAAAACGAATGGATATATGCGCCTCGGAAATCACGACTAGGCGGCTCACCGTGGCATCCGACACCAACCCTCAGTCAGCACTCAGGCTTTCGCTCTCCACGTCCGCTGTCCAGCACATGTGTACCCCACGTGGACAAAGAAATTGTGAGCCGGCTAGATGCTGTCAATGTGATTGGAGGGAGAAGTGGAATTTTCCGGTGTGTGGTTGTAGAGTCGCCTTTATCAGATCAAGCACGGCACATAGCTGCGGGAGGTGGGTATTGTGGACAAGAGACAAGCGACTCTGGTCTGCTGCCGGCGGGCGAGCTCAACGACGTCGCGTTCTACATATCGCGTTGGCGCCAGAGTCGATCACGTGGTTGTGAGCAAATTGTTGTCTTGAGGCTCATCAGCAAAATGGGCGCGGAAACGGTAGCGTCTGATAGTGCATGGGGGCATTCGTAGCGTACGATAGTTAGTGATAGCGAAGACAATAGACAGTAGCTGAGCATCCAAGTACTGCAGTAACTCGTAGTGTATTATCGTCTGCTTCTTCCGCTATCAAATGATGATCGTATCTCGCGGGCAGGGCTATCATTTCTGAGTGCGCACGCGACCATATATCGGTCATCTGCGGCACATGAAATGATAGCGCCACATGATAAAGTGTCAAATTTAGGGGAGGAGATGATAAATAACCTATAGCATCATGCGGAAGATTATCGTCGTGAGGCTCGCGCATAATCACACAGGTAGAATAATACAATCGCGCAGTAATCCATTCAGGGTAAATACGAGGGTAAATACGAAACAGCGGCCGTTCTACAAGGCGGACTACAATGTGCATTCAGAAAACAAGCCTGTGGTGCAAGCAATAAGCGAGACAACACGAGGATGTACGAGGGCTGACGTGACGTACGCCGTCGCCGTCGCCGTCATTGCCACCTTCCGGGACCTCCTCATTTGAGCCGGTGTTGAGGATGTCGTCGAAAGGCGTGCACTCCTTGTCGACAGTGAGGGCGACGTTGCCAAAACAGGCGCCTGTGATGGACGGTGTCAGCCAACTCGTCTCAATATCGCGCATGAAACAGAGGCTTACTGGATCCACCAAGTGGTCGTCTTCGCCTTCTGCTGCTTCCGGCGAGTCTGTGCCGTGCGTGTGAACTTGAGCACGAAGTCGTGCACATCCCAGAAGCCGTCCTTGTCGCTCCATTCAGGCTCACTGGTGAAGGAGAAGCGCACCTAACAGGTTACAGGGGAAGAATGTGAGCGTGATGAGCAGCAGGGAATAGATGCGGGACTTACCAGACTAGTGATGTACACGACTCTATACAAGGTGAAATCGTCGGCAATTACTTGTCAGCATGCAAACAGAACAAATTTGAGAGCTACTCACAAGTTGAGCATGGTACTGAGGCTCTTTGCTGCGTGCTCCGACTCTGCGGCGTGTCAAACAGTGGCTGCAGGTGCGGCCTGACCTAGTGCCAAGGTGGAGGGCGCCGGGGGCTGTGTGAGCGGCGTCAGTGCGGTATGGCGGAGACGCAGTCTGAACGACGAGAGCTGGAAGCATCGTAGGGCTGAAACCGAGTCATAGTAATAAGCAGCAGTGGTACCGGAGAGCGCATAGTCAGACGTACTGTTGGACACTGAGCGAGGGGTGAAAGATTGGGAGACGGAACCGGAGGCGATGTGGCGAGAGATGTGGGGGCGGGACGCGCGCTGGGAGCCAGTGGTGCGGCGGGACTTGCGCTTCTTGCCGTCGTCACCGGCTCTATTACGACCGAACGGGGTCTGAATACCACTTCAATACGACATTGAACCGTAAAGTAACTGAGCATACCTGGGGTGTGGGCTTGCCGCTGGGAACAGAGAAAACGGCGTGTACCACCTGCGAGAGGTTGTGAAAAGCCGTGTTGATGGCGACGTCGATAGAAACGTGGGTGCAGTGGCGAGCGAGACACTGAGGGCGGGGAGTGAGGAAGAACCCACCGTCTCGTTATACATCGCACGCGAGGGTGAGTGGCACATCGCACTTGGGGGATGGTGGCGGTTGCGGGTAGAGTCCAGTAGGCGCGCACACCCGCACGCGCCCGTGTCTGGAACAACAGAAGGCCAAAGCGGGACGCCACCGCCGCATCGAACCCTATTAAACCGCGACAATTAGCAGGAAATCATCGTAGGCAATGGACTTTAGAATGTCGCTGCTAACACTGACCTCCATGTGTCTCAGGGCCATTCTCCACGCCGACGAGAACCGGACCTACGCCTTCGGAGGCACACCGGGACAACCTGCTGCGCGAGCGTCTTCTTCATATGTTGCCTCACGTGCAATCAACTTCTAGTGCCATCCGCAAACAATGTGTCAGCTCCAACGCTTCCTAACCAGCTCGTGAGCGATATCGCTTACGCGTAGAACGCTGGGAGCTTTGTCGGCACGTCCAGCCCCTCGACGCCTGAGAGCATGCCGTGCGACACGGAAACGATGGTCCAGATCATGGACGAGATGTCCGCGATCGTGTGCATGTCGCCGAGCAGCGACTCCTACTTCGACAGCACGCTTTTGAGCATGCCGAACACCCGGATGACCTCGTTCTCATACCGGATGATCGCGGAGGGGAGCTTCTCCGGGTGCAGGCACTGGAATCAGCCAAAGTAGGGGCTATGCGCGGAGCATTGTCAGACATTGACAAACGAGGCTTCGCGCACATGCAGGCTGATCGACGCACCCTCGGCCGGACGCCTAGAAGAAGAACCACTGGACGAGCACGTAGCCTCGGCCGCACTCGTCGTCCTGCACCGGTGACAGCTTGCCCTCCTTCAGGCCGTACTTGTCCATGAGGTAGAGGATGATCGCTCCCAACTCCCAGATCGTAAAGTCGCCATTGTGGTGGTCGATGTTGAGCGCTGAGCATTGGAATGCGGCCATTGGGGTTGTACTAGGTGTACGAGGGCGCCTTGTGCTCGCCCTTGTTGAAGGAAGGCCAAGTTCCTAAAGGACCATATGGATCGAAGATACGCTCGAGTATGTGCCAGTGAGGGCGCGACGAAAGAGCCACCGGGCTCCTGCAGGCAGGGAATAGGTCGACAAATTGCGCCGATGGGAACGCAGGAGTAGAGCAGAGCGTACCTCGTCAAGCTTCCACCGCCTAGTATCAACAGACTTATATCAGAACCTCTTCCCCGTCGCATTGGTGGAGCTTCAAGCTACAGAGGTCATAGCTTGTCGAATCATGGAATATCGAGGAGGACAGGGGCGGAGCATCATGGGGAGTTCAGCTGGGCCGAACTAGGCTGGGCGTCCGATGTGGATATTGACGGAGCATGACGCGATGGGAATTAGTGCAGGTATTGCCACCATAAGGGAACGGATTGCGGAGGAAAAGCAGGAGCATATCGGTAGGATAGTGGTGGGACGAGACAAGTAGCGCATCTGTAGGCGTCTATCGAACTCCGTGCGATACGGGCCTCAAGGTCGCCCAGAGTGCACACCATGACCTTGCAATTAATTTCGGCAGCACCCCTCGTAACTGGTTCGTAGGAGTGTATTTGCGCATACCACACTGCGGGAAGGCCCCAGAGTCGGTGGAAAATCCAGGCTTTTTCGCGGGAAACGGGCGCCTGCCCGCGCTGACGTCCGTCCGCATATCGTCGCGCGCATCGCGTTCTCTGCCGCGCGCAGTGTTCGCGTCCTCGCGAGCCAACCGTATAGCTAAATACGAACCTCTTGTGCACCCCGCGCGCCCCGTGATTCACCCTTGAAGGAGCGCATGATCGTCTACTATCATCGACTACAGCTTTCTGTTCAAGCTACTTGTGCCTGTAGTAGATCCATCATATCCTGTCTGCGGCCACAAGATTTGATCGAACCCCATAGTAAAGACGAATGAATATCAGCTGCTACCGTTCTGCTACCATCACTTGTCGCGCAGACAATAGACGACCTGTCCCGATATGGCAGTGTCGCGTGCTATCGGGCGCTACCGTTAAAAACACCTTTTGCTGATAGGCTTCGAGCTGGAATCGCCCGCTCCTAGTCCTCCTCTCAGAATCCGACCGGGGATCCTTTGTGCCTCCTCTTTCTCCTCTTCGTCCTCCAGATGGCCTTATTAAGCTGAAATGGACTTCAGCGCGGTTGATCTCATTGAAAACTTTCGAAATATCTCGTTGCCAGGTGGGTTGTCTCAGCGCTCATAGGTTGTTTCTCATCGCGATGATGGTTCTGGTGTCTAGCAGAGCCTATAGCTGACTGCTGATGCACGCTCACATTAAATTCTCAACATGTCTCGGTCGGTGCACCACAAATTCGAACTGTTCCGCCAGGTCGCTGGTCCTGGCTGGAATGCTAAGACTGACACCCTGGCGCATAAAATTGCGATAGGTGATATCCTCGAAGCAGCGAGACCGGGCCCATGACACCTATCTTCCCTCATTTTCCAACTTTCAACACTCGACGCTTTTCGCTCTGTCGAGTGGGCAGCAAATGCAGCAAATGCATAGCTTACCATCGCAGTGGCCACGCTCGTCGTATCGTTCACTTGGATCCACCTTTGCCTCCTGCTCCGCAACCTCCCCTCATCCCTCTCCCAGACGTTGCTACCAGCTCCCCTCAACCGCGAAGTTCGTACACCGCGTCTATGCATAGAGCCAAACCAAAGCATCGGACATGGGCCCAGCCTCGCGTTGTCCGTTTCGACCGCGCAGAAGAGGTCATACCTTTCAGTCTCATGGGCCCTCCACACGCCCCCCCTCTTCCAGAAGGAACAGAACTTCGTCGGATCAAGTCTTCAACACATCCCATATATGCCCCCAACGATCTCTTACAGTACTTTCCTCGCCTTTGGGACCTTCGGCGACGCGTGAGCCCCAAGTACGTACCATACTACTGGTCGCGCTTCGCCGAACCGGCATTCCCACAGCCCCGCTTCCGTGCCGACACCCCTTCCAGCTACCAGCACCACCGCGTCTCGGAAGTGATACTGGTCTTCGCCCCGTGCTCGCGTACGGAACTCTCGTGGTCAATCACTGCTCGCGCCCACAACGGCCACACACTCACCGTCGAGGACATCCTCCACACCATCACCATCTCCCTCTTCCACCGACACACCCCCTCAAACCCGCTCCCGAGGAACCACCCCTGCCGTGCGTTCTGGGAGGACTCACGCCTCTTGCGCGTTCTTCACGGACACCATGATGTGCACGGCGCCGGCGGGGTGACGCACGGCGACCGTCTGCGCAACGTCGATCTCTACCATGCGGATCGCGGGCGCGCACTGTACTTCCGCGGCATCCGCCCTGAGCAGCGGCCAGGCAGCGACGTCGTGTACGTCGTCGATTTGCAGCAGGAGTGAGGCTACGGCCTGGGCGGGGGCGCAGCAACGCGACACGTCGGCAGGTGCGTGTAGCGCGGGGCTGCATCGGAGGCTCAGACCTCAGGGGCTCACGGTGTCTTTCATCCAGGTTTCCGGCTTGCGAGCGCGCGTCCGCAGGTCTCGTGTGCCTCGCGTTGTCTCATGTCAAGCACTGGATCCGGGAGCACGGTGGATCAGCGCTTCAGCTGTTGCAAGCCAAGGCGGCGGAGGCTGCTGAATGGAATGACGCAGCGGCCTTCACGGTGCGCGCGCGGGCCGCCAGCGCTCGGCCAAACCGTGTGCGCTTCGTACGTGGGGAGGGCTGCCTCGAGGCGGGCCAGATGCTGGAGTATCTTCGGGCGCATAATACGTGAGTTCAATGCGTCGCGATTAGATAGAATGGCAAGGATGATCCTAATGTTCTTACGTCAATGATGAGATATTACGACGACGAACCCATCTCGCGCAAGGACTCTCGATGCCTCTTTCAGCGATGAGACCAGTACTCGGTAATGGGATGCTGGCGTGTAAAGCTGACTTTTTCAGGCCACTCGCTTGAGCCCGGACCGCACGGTCTCGGCCTTTGCTGGGACGAAGGAAGAATCGATCTCATTCTTGGTCGAGGACGAGTATCGGAAGCGGCCTTTCAACCTTAACTGTCCATGATGCCTCGCCAATTACCCTCTCGCGTACAAAGAACTGTACCGGAGTGATCGAGCGTGGGCGATCCCTCCATGCGGGCGTACACGCGACTCCAACTGCGCCACGCACATCCCCCAAACGGCAAGCCAGATAGAACGCCCTGCGTAACGCCTTCCTCCCGCGGCGCAGAGTATCGACGGCGACTTGTGGATCTGCGCCGCCCGCCCGCGGGGGAGAGGTGTATAAATCCAGGACAGCGCCGCTCGTCTGACATGTCTGGTGCGCCCTCCCCGCCTTCCTCCGCCCGAACATGCAGCTCTACCCCATCTCCCTCGCTACCTGCTACGGCTCTGGGGCCGACGCTCCCCTCACCGGGCTGAACCACCTGGTGTCCAACTTCTCACCCGCCTCACCCACGGCCGCCCTTCGGTCGCCGTGGACGGCGCCCTCGCACCCCGGGCATCCCTCTCATCACAGTTCACCGCAAGCTCCTGCGGCGCACACGCAACGCGCGCCCATTCCTCCTCACGCCCCACGGATGCGCCCGCTCAGGCTCCCCGAGGAGGAGCAGCACCGGCTGGAGAAGGCGAGACATCGAGCGCATCATCGTGAGGCCCAGTTCCAACCCTCGCCGTCACTGGCCCCCTCAAGTGCCCACCACGCCGCCGCGCGCTCCCCACTGCCACACCCGCCGCCGCATCTCCCCCCACAAGCCCATCCCTCTGCAATCCCCACGAGCCCTCGCGCCCGCCCCCGCGCGCGCTGGGTCGACTCACCGCACGCCCCGGCGGCGTTCCCCTCCCCGTCGATCTCCGCGTCCTCCATCCCCTCTTCGTCCTCCTCCGCGTCCTCCTCCGCGTCCTCGGCGCCGATGTCCCCACGCGCCCATCACACTGGCCAAGCACCACCCCAACCAAACATCGTCTGGGACGTCTCGCAGCCCCCATCGCGCGCCACCAACGCCCAGGGCTGGCCCCTCGACCCCGCGCATCTCCAGCAGACCCCGATCAGCGTCCGCCACCCGCGCTCCGTTCTCCTCGTCCTCCCGAAGCTCGACATGGAGATCGAGGTCGCCCCGAGCCGGCGCGCGCCCAGCCGGCACCGCGCCGAGGAAGCGACGCTCGCGCACGCGCTGGAGGGCATCTACGTCGCGCTCCAGGAGCCGGTCTCGCCGCGCGAGATGAAACGGCTCAATCCCGCACAGCGCGACCAGCTGTTGCGTGCCGCGGACGAGAGGAGCGCGGACGGCGTTCCGCGGGTGGTGGACCATCTTGGGTGGCGGCGGCGGTTCCTCGGCCTGAGGCCTGCGTCGAGGAGCGAGGTTTCGCAGGCCGATGGGGGCCGCGTGGATGATGGAGAGGTGTTTGTCGTCGAGCTTGGCTACGTCGATGATTGAGCACGGTGTTTCTGCTGTGATTACGAGATATGCTCTGCTGTTTCCTGGCTACGATGTGCTTTTACGCGCACTCCGGCCTTCTCGGGTTAGACACGGAGCGGTGTATCATAGCTGTATTATACCAGGGAAGGATGGGTGTGTTGCTATCTATGACGGAGGTGTACGATACATCGATGAATCCCACGCAGCTTCTGATTTCCCGCGCGTGTGCAGTTTGGCTCACAACGCAATTAATACCGGGACGTCGTGCCGTCAGAAACGCTCGTGGCACGGCGCTGCATCCCCAGCGCTGCCACGAACTTCCAGCTCAGTACCTCGTGCGAGGCTGTAGGCGAGGCAGCTTCTCATTCTCCGCCGCTCGCAAGTCCAAACGGCAGCAAAGCCTCGTGCAAGCGGTGTGGACAAGACATCGCTCCTCTTGCTCGACCGTCATCGATACCTCCCTCTCCCCCTCTCGCCCAATGCAGCTGCACAAGTGCCTCGCTCGCTCGTCCGCCAGCCCCGCAGGCTCTGAAGGCGCTCAAACCAGCGCTTTGCCTTGCTCTGGGAAGGTGGAACCGCCGAAGCCGTTTTGCGAGGCGCACTACGCCGAGTACGTCGCGCTCCGCACGCGCAAGGCGATCGCCGCACGCGACGCCGCGACACTGCAAGGACTGGTCGACAACATCAAGGGTAGCGAGGACCTCGGGGGCACGTACTCCCCCGTGCGCGAGGTGCGCAAGGACGCGACGGTCATCCAGGTGTACCTTGAGTCGCTCGAGGTGGCTGTCGGAGCCGATCAGGAGTTGAAGGAAAGGTTCTTGGCGGGCAAGGCGGAGGGAGGTGCGCATATCGCGGTGCGAACGTGCTCTTGCTATTGATTAGCGTGCATTGAAATTGACAGATCCTGGAGAGGATAAGAGCCTGGAGGAACAGAAGGAAGTCGCCGAAGCGCTCTTGCGTTCGCTCGAGCAGAAGGAGACGCGCCTGCTTCGCGAGGAACAGACGAAGACGACACCCCTGGAAGCGTCTGGTAAACCCAAGATGAAGACCGTCGATGGAAAGCACGACCCGCCTCACACTATCTCCGACGCCCACGTGGAGGCCTTGACGAACCCGTCTGCGTTTCGATGCAATGACCCCAAGCTTAGAAAGGAGCGTGTACACGCTGGTCGGGCCAGGGTTCGCCAATGCGCCGTGGGGCACTGCTCTGAGGAATCCCAGGAAAGTCGTCTCTGTTTCGTCCATCGCATTACAGCAATCTCCAGCAAAGTCGGTTGCGTCACCGACGACATTACAATGGAAGCAGCTCGGGCCGCGGTCGTTCGACACATGGCCGAGTGCCGGACCCTACCCGAGAAAGTCTTCTCCTTGAACACCGAGCTTGGACACACCGTACGGAGATACTACAAGTGCGTCAACGACATGATGAAGAGCGCCATGAAGCACCAGAACGCATGTGCATGTTGCTGTACGTTTGTTGTCTCCACTGAATCTGTGATTCTGCGTAGTACATTTGACTGAGTCTATCCCGTCAGCGGCGTCCGAGTACACCGCATACTTGAACGACCTGAGGGAGAAGAGAGACGCCGCATCGCATCTGCTCCTGCAGACTCTGAGTCCTTCGATTCTCCAGAAGGCGTTGCCCGAAGGGACCGTCAAGGAACATGCCCATCTGTTGGTCAAGCACTTGGACAAAATGGATGCACGAAAGTCGGGATGGGCGTTCGGATGTTCATTGGTAGGTGCTCACGGAGGCAACTGGCACTCGACGTACTGAAATTTCGCCACCACAGGCTTTCGCTGCGGCAGCCTCTGTGGCCGGAGCTCCAGTGGCAGGCGCGTTGGGTGCTGCGGCATTGGGCGGATGGGCAGTGCGGAGGCTCCTTTGAGGAGAGATTTCTGGAAGGTCTAGGGAAGCTGTATCTTGTGTATCTTCAAGCGTATCTTCGAGCGATCAGAGCGTGCTGTCTGCGCGCTCTGCGGACCTTTGTACTACTCGAATCTACGGAGGAAGGCACGGTACAGGAAGGCACGTTCCTTGTCCATCACCGACGTCAACAACGCAGCTCATATCGCAATCCAGTTTTCGAGGATGACCCCGAGCCTCGCGGTACAGGGCGAACTGGAGATGAGACTCGGGCGCGACTCGCAGTGACTGGACACGCCGGACGCGTGGCAAGCGTTCATGGAGGAGAATACGTTCGCACCTCAAGGTCGAGAGAAAATGAGACAAGGAAAAGAGGCTAGTTCTGTATGGGGGATACAGTGAAGGAGGGGTAATCGACGATCGTCGGCAGGATGGCCTCTCTCGAGGCCAGGCAGCTGGCCATATGTACACGGTACCTGGACCTGGTGTGTCCGGAAATCCAAATCGGCATTGCAAGCCGAAGATCTTGTAAGCGTGTTTTGATTAGATTGCATTGCATTGCAAGCCCTTGCGAGGCGCTCAGGTTGACTGGCGACGGCATTGCAAGCTCAGTAGCGCCTCGTGAGAGATTACAAGGCGTCTGAAGTTATTGCAAGGACTTACCGTACATGGGACCATATTGTAAGGCCTTGCGACGTCATGAACCCTCCTGCCGACGACGAGGGACTTAGAAGATTTCGTGAATGCGCGCCTTTTCAGCGCTCCTCTCTCTGCTTCCACCACGTCAGTCCCCCTTCGTCCTCCTCTTCCGCTCCCTTCTCGGTTTGTTGTGTCCATTGCCACTCCACATGCATGGTGTCGCATTCAGGTTTGTGACGTTTTCCTTTGCTACCCTTCTGTGCTGATTATTTACCCTCCATGTCCAGGTTCGATATCGGACAGTCGTGCTGGCACTGGGGAGCGGGTCAGACCATGGGCAATGATAAACGTATGTGTATACTGCCTGTCCGCACGTGCCTTGCTGATGTATTCTCGGTCGAAACAGGTCTCATGTCCCTTCTCATGTGATTCGTGAATGCCATCTGGCCACAACGCAGGGTGTACTCAACGGCGGTCACTGCTGCGCTAGTTACCTACATATTGAAGTAAGTCGTCTATTGATGAGCCTCACTGGACACCCCATATGCTATGTTATCGTTTCTGTCTCTCCGTCTCGTTGTTCCTCTACCGCCTGTATTAGTTCTCTGTGCTGTACTGTAGTTAAAAGAACAGAATGATTACATTGGATTACTGGATTATAATGGATGTGCAAGTGGTAATCGGCAATTGACACAAACCTGGACGCCCAATTGACAGGCAGGCTGACACATTGTGATCTCGGGTAGCCTTATTGCAAGACGACAAAAGACGCGCGACTGCATTGCGAGCTATTTCGCTTGGATTGCGATGCCTCGCGAGACCGATCAACCCGGTAGCGCTTGCGACGCATTGCGAGACGCCGCAATGCCGATCTGGATTTTCGGACATGGGTGCCGCGCGGGCCGTACCGTCGTCCGGGCCGACCAGCTGGCTGTGACGGTAGTGCCGGTCACGTGTAATGTGACGCACCGTGCCTTCGATCTCAAGCTCCTTGGCTCTATCTGGTTTCGTCCTCCGCGCACATAACCACCATCGCGCGGCAATGATTCCCCCAGCTAGGAGTGTGTTGTTGCGGGGATGGGAGGCAGCTGGTATCGAGAATACCACATGCTGATGCACCAATGCCAGAATCGTCTGCTGCCAAACTCTATCCCATTGGGGATATTTGGGGGTATCGACGATTATCGCCACTGGCTGTCTCTCTATCTCTCCTCACCCTACCCACCATGACATCCTCCTCTGGACGTCGAAAACCCCCTGCGCCCACACCGAGCACTCGATGCCGTGCTCTCCTTGCCGACAACGTCTCCAGATGCTCTGCCCCGCTCCCCCGCGAAGGCTCTATATGCTGTGTGGCGCATAACGACGCGTACTCGGTCAGCTACCTCAAGTACAAGAGCGTTTCGAAAGAAGCCAACGACCTCCGTAAGCACGTACAGCTCCGTCGTGGCGAGGTGAGCGGCCTGGCGCTCGAGCAAGTGCTTGAGAGGATCAGTGGAATACATGCGTACCTCGACACCACCACCGAGGAGCTGGCTTTGCGACGGGAGCATGATCGAAGGTTCATTGGTACTCGTAAGTAGATCATGACACGGTAGGGATGGAGGGCATAGTGTCGATAATGTGTACATATAGCCGACTCTGGACACCAGTTTCGCCTCGAAAAGCTAGAACAGCAACAACGAAGCGCGCGCGACCTACTCCGCATGCTTGAAACTCGGACGCGAGTTTTGACACGCGAGAAAGACACGGGTGGACGTCGCTTTCGTCCTATCGCCGTCGGAGCGCGGACTAGGCACGGTACCGTGCGGTCGCGGACGTCATCCCCTCCGCGCACACGCCCCCAACAACGTATCGCAGAAGAGCGCAGAGGTCAGGCAAAGCAAGAGGCGCAAAGGAGACTATCCGAGGCGCAAATCACACAGCACGCAGTGGTCGTCGAAGCAGATCAGAAGCGGCAGGAGGAAGGGGATGTGCTGTTTGCGCGCGACACCGAGATGTCACTGTGGGTGTCGCGGGTCGAAGCAACGACGCAGGTATGGAAGCAATTTCCAGACAAAAAACCGGCCGCGGCGGTCAGGGTCGATACAACGGTTCTCCAAGAGGCGAACGTACTAGGAGAAGAGGACCCGTGCGTCCAAGCCGTACAAGGCCAGACTTGGGAATGGGCCACAGGCAACGGGTTTTCCGCGCTAGAAGTGGAAGACGAAGATGAGGAAGAGTCCTGGTTCGACGAGCCTTCCTTCGAGGAATCTTCGTATGGCCCGTCGGAGGAGTCTGTGTCCGGTGAGCCCTCGTTCCAGGACTCTACGAGCCCCACGTTGCAGGAGGAGGGTCACAGCGAAGTCGTGGATGCAAACCAACAAGAACGGAGTCCCACCACATCGCCGGCACCAGCAGACGAGGCTCTTCACGTCCAACCCTTCCCTCCTCCGCCTCGAATGACACTTCCCATGATCCTAGCTCTCGAACTGCACATCCCCGGCTTCATAGACGAGCTCAACACTCAACCGCTGATTCTCAACAGCAAACAAGTACTCACCAAACTTCAGAGTGTTCGTCCGCGCGAGCCCGAAGGACAAGGGAATACCCGTGGACCAGAACCAACGCCGGTTTCGACTGCGACATGGAGGTCACCAGGGGAGAGCTCCCGCCTCGAAGGCACACCAGCCCATGTCCCGTCGGATATCAATACGGACCTCAAGGAGACGCAGCATCCCCTCGCCCCCGTCAAGACTCCTACTCCGGATCTCCACCCTCGCCCTACTGCCTCGCGGAGAGCGTCGCGCGAAGGACACGCCATCAACATGCCGGGCGGGCCAGATCTAGACCTGGGCTCTGACACGGATTCCGAGAGCGACGAAGACGACGAGCAGCCTTCAGGATTTGACGCGACGATGGACACGATCGTGGTGTTTGTGAGTTCACGGGTCTTGCTCGCCGAGTGTTTGCGTTGTTGAGTATTCCTCGAACCGGCTGCAGGGTGCCGTCGCGGCGGTGGTCTCCTTCGCTGCGTACAAGATTCTCCGGGACGCGCGTGGAGGTCGGGCATTTTCAGGGATTGCACGCGTTGTGAGAGACGCTGCGAAGGTTTTGGCGGCCATGGGAAGAAGATGAGGGGGGTGGAGGAACGTTTGAGGAGGAGGTAAGAAGTGCCAGTTTGCTATTCAGCGTGAGTCGTCGAGTATTCGTGGGAACCTCCTTCTTATTATGACTGGCGCTTCTCATCAGACGTCCTCATAGGTTTCCACGTCATTCCAACAATCTTCAAGTGCTTTCGACAACTTCGAGCCTCCATCAGAACCCCATCGTGCTGTCTAACATCGTTTTCAAGACGACTCGCACCTCTCGTTCAGCGCACAATATGCAATATATAACGACCACCTCCTCGAAAATGGCCGTGGACTCAAAATTCTAGGCGGTCACGGACGACTCGTGAGTACTTCGTGGCCACCCATTGGCATCCGCCGACTGGATAGTCACTTAACCTCCATCATGGACCTTTACAGTGTTCTCTTATCGTCAGGAGTGCGCACCGCTGGGGCGAGCTCATCGCATTCATTCGAGTGTACTTGACCTGAACGGAGCCGAACATCCGGGTTGCCCGGCTCGTGGTGGCCATCGATCCCTGTATCAAGCACGCGGTGGCCGAAGTGACCACCTGCAGTTCAACGGCGCCCCATCGAGGACGGAAGCGCTGTTGTCCACCGCCCACAGGAACCAGTCAACGCGCGAGGCGGGTGTACAAGAACTCTATGACACGCGCGCTCATGGTTATAAACGGCATCTGTAGCCCCTCATGGCTGGACTGTAGACGACCGGGCAGCTTCCCCACCTTCCGCGAGCGCCGTAGAAGTGGCCTTGGCAGCGTGGGAGCCTCGCATGAAAACCGCCTCGGAGATGAACACGAGATAAACGGAATGGTTCGGGCGTTTCCCCGCGTTCATATCCCTCTCCCGCCTCCCCCTCAGCCACCGGATTCCGCCTTACCTGCTCCTCTCCCCGTCCTCCCTCTTGCCATGCCGGCCCAAACGTTTTACCGCGGGGATCGCGAACGGACGTCGCAAGTGACCAGCTCACTCCAAGGCACAACGCCTCCGCGCGCGGTCCGTCGTCGCGCCGCCAGCTCCAACCTCACAGACCTACCACCGCCAACGCTACCCACGCTGAATGTAGACGTGGACATCACCATGGATGCACCGCCGGAGCCTCCGCCTAAGGACCGCCATACGGCGCGCCCGACACGCCCCAGCCCGCTGAATCCACACTTCTCCTCCCACGCCCACCCGCGCTCGCGCACGACGTCCACCACTACCGCGCCCTCACGCCCTCCCTCCACAAGGCCCCCGTCATCTCGCGCGCCATCCTCGCAGGGAACAGGGAGCAGCAGCGGGACGGAGAGCAGCGGGCTGCCTGGGCGGCACGGCGCGGCGGACGTCACGCTCACGTTCTTCCAGATGGGCTTCAGCGAGATGACGGTCTACGCGAGCACGTCGTCGCGGGTGCAGTACCATGTGTCTGTGCACATGAACTGCTTCTGCCCGTCGTCGTTCATCACCGTCGTGCGCAGGTACCGCGTCGACGGAGACTTTGTCGCGTCGTTCGAGTGAGTACGCGTTCCTTTGTCCGACGCGCGCGTGTCGGAGTGGCTCGGGCCGCTCGCTGACAGTCTCTGTCCACCTCGCGCGACGCTATTTTTGGTGCGGGAATAGGATGGGCATCTCGACGCAGCGCGCAGTCGCGAACATGCGCGGCACCGAGAAGCCCCTCGACTCGGTGTTGACGAAGGCGGCGGGTCGAAAGGCAGACGTAAGCCCATCCTCATCGCAGCGCGGCGCATCGTTGACGCGCCTCTCGGTGCATCCAGGATCGCCTGTGGCAATGGCGCTGGGACGACGATCCTGCGCATGCACTGTGCTGGCATCGCGAGGCTCCCGCGCGATATGTGCGTACACCCACATTTCAATTGCTTCCGGAGCTGAGCGGACATGAACTGCGGCAGTGCTACTTCATGGACGCGTCGGGGCGGCCGTCCGGGCCGATGGTTGCCGTGTTTTCTTGCCAGACGTCAATGCCCAATCCGAGAGACGGGGCATCGGCGTCGCTCACTCTCTTTCCTCATGGATACGGGGTGGCAGACCATGTGTTGGTGTCTGCGCTGGTCGTTGAGAGGAAGAGGCTGACGCCTTCGATCGGACTTGGAATGAGCACGAACCCGTTCAACTGAGCCATTTGGACATGTATTCTTCGCTGCAGCCCGCTGTATCATAGGGCACTTGGCTCGACTGTTCGAATAGCTGCGGAAGACACTTGTGTATTTTTACAAAGCCCCTGACAGTGATAGTAATCGACTCTATACTTCGTGCCTACAGTCCCCGCGACTTTTTGAAAGACTTCACTGTGGAATGCGGAGCCTCCGGCCCAATGGCGCTCTCCATGTTGGCAGCAGTAATGGCCGTCCACTTCGCGCTCTCCTCAAATAGCTTCTCCTCCGCCCTCTTGATCGCCGCCTCCCGCTCCTCCTTGCTCGCCCCTGCATTCACCGCCTCTGCGATCGCCAACCCCATCTCCAGCCCATCCAGCATCGACACGTTCGCCCCCATCCCAGCAAACGGCGTCATGACATGCGCCGCGTCCCCAATGACCGTCACCCCGTCGACGTGCTCCCACCGCAGCCCCGGCGGGAGCATGTACAGCGGCCGGCGGTAGATAGCATCGTCCGCACCGTGCTCGATGAGCTTGCGGAGCACCGGTGCCCACCCCTCGAACTTCTCCAGCAGCACCGCCCGCGCCTCCGCCGCGTCCGACGGGAGCGGCCAGTCCTCTGGGCCGCGGAACCAGGCGTACGTCCGCACGCGCCCGTCGCTGTTCCGCTGCGCGATGAGCATCTTGCCGTCCTGCATCGCGCACGCCGTCCCGTTCCCCACGAGCGCGCGCGCGTCCGCCATGTTGGGGCGGTCGACGACGTCCGGCGTGATGACGACCTCCGCACCGGTGATCCCCGCGTAGTAGCACTGCGCGGGGGTGACGAGCGGGCGGATGCGCGACGCAGCGCCGTCTGCGCCGGCGAGGACGTCGACGACCGCGGTGTGCCCGTTCGCGAACGAGAGGGTGTGGGTGCCGTCGCCGTGCGGGGTGACGGAGGTGAGTGCGTGGCCCCACTTGACAGAGTCGGCGGGGACGGCGTCGAGGATGATCTGCCGCAGCGCGCGGCGGTCCACCTCGGGGCTGAGGTCTTCGGGGCGCACGTCGCGGGCGCCGAGGATCTCTAGGAGGACGTGGCCGTCCTTGCCGCAAACACGGGTCTCGTCGCCTTCGGGGCGGGAGACGGCATTGAAGGCGGCCTCGAGGCCGTTCTCGTAGAGTGCGCGTTGGCCGTACGCCCAGCGGAGGTCGAGAGTGCCGCCGAGGTGGATGCGGGCGGACGGGCTTGCGTCGCGCTCGTAGAGGGTGGAGGGGACGCCGCGTTTGACGAGGGTGAGGTGGAGGACGAGACCAGCGGGTCCGGCCCCGATGATAGCGATGCGAGGGGTGGCCATGACGAGGTTACTGTGGTTCGCTACTGCTGAAGGCTCGTTTTTGCAGCAGTATATATACCATTTTGTCGATCGAAGCTGCAGCAACAGATTTCCTCATTCCGACCTTGACCCAAGGGTACGTAAGCCACAGCATTTACGGGGATCGAGTCACTGCAGACCCGTTGACACTCACGTACCGGCGACGATTCCTGCCGGACGGAAGCCATTCGCAGCGAGTTTCGTGACTGATCATGCTGAGGCCTGGTGCTGTCGGGTCCTGGCTACTGCGAGGACTATGCCGAAGCGGCCTTCTGACGGCCTGGCTCATGAGTGCTCGACTGCGTACGATACAAGCGAACTTCATGGTGTATGCCTCAGGCACCCAATGTTCGTCAGTCATCAGTCTCGCATGAAATACAAAACCTCGTACTCACCGACGAGACAAAACATAATTTGAGCCGCAGTCTTTGAGTAGCGTCACGACGATGCCAGTATTTCGAGTCGTATGTTGGTAGATTCGATTACAGATGCGATCTCTAGACTCTTCCTTGGCGCATCGAGGGTTGGCACGACAAACCCGTTCCTTGAGGTATCCAACTGCATGAGAAAGTGAATTTTCTCCTGGAGCCGGCTCTGGAGCTGGCTAAGCGAGAAATCGGAGAAAAGTCGTTTTAGCCGAGCGGCTCCCCGTTTTCTTCCGTTTTCCAGGCGCCGAGAAAAAGGAAAAAAATGCAGAGAATTTGAGAAATTTGGCTGCTTGGCTTTTTCGTCATCGTAGTACATATCATGGCCCCCTTCTCAGCTATCATCGTCACCATCCTCCCCGCACCCTGCCCCGCACTCACACACACCACCCTAGCCCTGCCTGCCCCACTCTTCCCTCAACCAACCTCCTGCCCTTTCCCGCCACTGGGCTACCTGCCACCCACGCCTATATGGCATGTATCATCCTGCTTCTCCCCGTCCTTCTCGTGTGTGCAGGGGGGCTGAGGGCGGTACTGGGCTCACTGTGACCACACACTTGCACCCGTTCCCTCTGCCACCTGCAGCTGTGTTGCACTTTGGATCGAGGTGAGTGCTCACTTGGGTGTGATGGGTGCGCTGACCGATTTCGTGTGCAGAACGGCCACCCGGCCCCGGCCCGCCGGGTATGCGCGGGTTATGCGCTTGCATCCACGGGTTGGTCACGTGTGCCGAGCCACCGTCCACGCATGACGTAGTCACGTACGTCTTCTCCTTCTCCTCTCTCCCTCGACCTCCCACACCCCTGGGTCTCACCGTGCCCCCTTTGTCGCCCCCTCATTAGCTTCTCATGGAGTCTGCAATAGTGGTGTTTGTCATGTTCGATCCTCGTCTGGCGGCGCGCCTCTGCAACCACGCATATAGCCCCACTCGAGGGCATGTCCGTTGACTGCCCGCGTGCGTGGCCAGGAAGGCATTGTGTCCCCAGCACCTGCACACACTCGTGAGCACGGATGCTCCTCCATCACCTGCTAGCACACGCTGGGCAGGTGCGGTAAGGTTCGAGCACTGGCGTGCCGAGCGCAGGTATGTCAATTTCCACTGTCACGTCAATCCAACCATTGAGATTCAATGAGTCCCTCCCAGGGGTGTACATCATCAAGCAATTCCCGCCATGCAACCTGCACGAGCCGCTTGTCGAGATCGAGCTGGATCCCCCGAGAATGAGCTCTCGCACACGTACGTGCGGTGCGGCCGGTGGGAGGCACACTGCTGAAGGTGGGGGAGTTGAGGGCTGGCGGAAGCTGCACGATGACGAGTGCAACTCTTTGTTCAGTGAGTTCGGCATCCCTGTCATCGCGTGCTGTAGGCACCAACCTGCATAACAGACATGTTGCCTTGTAATGGCGGAGAGGCGTATGGGCACGCGATGGACGACTGCGGCTACCTCTTCCTTGCACGAATGCCGTCTCCCCCGCACGACCCGCGCCGCCAGCAGGCGTACACTCGCTGGCGCCTTAGCGGCACGTGACAGCGACCGTCGAGTTGCCACGACCGCCCTCCACCCCCCGGTATCCTGCCTCCCTTGACATTGGGGAACATTCGCAGCAGTGCGCTGCACACCCACTCTGTCTTGCAGATCCACATCTGCTCGCGCCGCATCCCATCCCCCACACCGGACCAAGCTGCATCTGCACATCCTTGCCACCGCGCTCTCCGCCTGCGCCCGTGCCTCCAGCGTGCACACGTTCGCCACCGCCATGATGTCCGCAGGCAGGAGTGCGAGCACCTCCAGGCGCCCGCACGCTGCACGCCATCATGGAGTCAGCTGCGACGAGGAGTGAGGGGAGTTCCAGGTCCACCTCACGAAATGTAATTACTCTACCTGCTGTGTGCTGTTTCCGTGCGGCCAACACATCCTCTTGTAGAGAGTTTGTGGACTCCCGATTTGGCCAGTCAGTGCTGAGAGGTTGTCTGGAGTCATGCTTTGTGCATTGTCAACAGCCCTGATTGTGGTGCGCACAGGTTTGGAAGGGTACTGGATGGTGACCCAGATGTGGACTGCAGCCATGTGTGCCAGCCACACTATATGTAGGAATTGGCACGTACCTCTCGTTCCACGTGCCATGAGATTTCAGCCAACCACGTGAATATCATGATCGCACTTTGATTACACCTCTTCTCCACCCAAGGATCTCCTAGACCTTAGCTGTGACTTTCCCTGTCTCTTACTATCAAGTCTTGACAACATCACATCTTGCAATGTCCCTGCTTCGTTTGGCCTCCCTCTGTGAGGTGATCAACCAAGACTCTTGTATTGCGGAAGCATTCACAATCAAGTCTCTTGATATCCTTGTCCAGCTCGTATCACACTTCGGTCACTATCTATCCTGGTCAACATCTACTCCTATATCCCATCCTCCTCCATATCTACCCCTAGATATCAGTGGTTTCTTTGCCTCTGCATTGCAGATACCTGTTAAAACCTTCAACTATTCTTGGCCAAGACTTTCTCCCCTACTTTGGAAGGAAGAAGGCTCAAATACCACTCCATCCACTGAGTTGGTGAGCATTATAATCAAATACGGTGCTCCAAATGGCATTGGTAAGGGCATGGCAGTTCCGTATCAATCCAAATTGTCACAATCTGATTCCTGTACATGACAGGTGTATATCATATGCATCCTCCAACAGATGTCTGCCTTAATAAATCCTGCAAATATACAACATCTCACTTAGCAGGCCAGCCTTTCAGGCTAGCAAACTCCAGCCCTGTTCATGTGGTGTATCATTCTCGAGAGCATGGCCCTGTTCCCGCAGTCCGGTATAGCACACACTGCCCCAGTCAGTATAGCATATACTACTAACTGGCACTGGTTCCCCTATTAACCTAAGTCCCCCAATGCCTTATAGATTGTCGCATCAGCTACTACCCAGACTACTATGTGGATCCTGCAACACATGACCGGGTGTACTATCTTCAAAAGTCTCCCCGGGTTATCCAAATTGCCACACACGAATATATTGAAGTGTCTCTTTGTGAGCGATTTGCAAATTCTGCCTCTGCTGCATGGTCTGTTAGAAACATGTGCACACTTTATAGTAGTGACTGACTGGTATGTTGCAGTGTCTCATTCAGCAACAACTCCAGAATATACAACGCAGAACATGCAGCTGCCATCTCCACATTTCCATCTAGCTGGACAAGCAATAAGCCTCCGCTCACTCCAAAATTTGTCTCAGATGCCTTTTTTCTCTCTGCACTTCTAAAAGATCACCAGGAGCGAGGAGATGTATTGAAGCTCAGCAATGATGGCACTCAGGCTGTACGGTTAGACAGTGTACTGCAGGCGCGGACAAGGAGACTAGCAGGGCCTGGCAGAGAGAATTGGGGACATAGGTGCTTGAGATGCAGTTGGGAAACACGTGATGTGCACGGGAACATCTGTGAGTTGTGCCGCACTTCCAGGATGGTTGATGACTTCTACTAAATATGCTATAAGTTTACATCCGAGCGGTGGTAATGGACGGTGTTACTATTGGGAGGCCCTGTTGCGGAATCAAGGACTGCAAGAGACCACTGCCTACCCAGAGAGACCACTTTTGCACGGCACATGAAAGATATAACCAGATCTGTGTGGTTCTGGTATGCGACCAGCCCCGAACAGATGGCTTCAAGACTTGCTCCAAAGAGGACCATCGACGTTTGGAGAAGATATACCAACCATCAGCTTACTTTGTACTTAGAAGACGGCTTCGCAAAACTGGAAGCACCACAATAGAGGCCGACGAAGACACTAATGAGACAACACCGGAGTTAGTAGAGGTGGACGCTGATGGGGAGTGCGAGGATATAATGGAGACAGAGGAGGAGCAAAGGATGAATGCAGATGCCGAAGAAGCTGTTGGAGGTGACCAACACTGCCCATCGAAGCCTGACGAAGGCAACAAAGCCCCACGTGCACGTTTTGGTCGCCGCCGTACCCACAATGAACAACTGGTGGTTGCTTGCTGCGGTGTCATTCTAGGTCGAGCTACCTTTTATGGTTCAGAAGCCCCTCATGGTGCTCAGGTGCAGTGTCATTGAGATTTATTCTTATGGTAACCCTCGACGCTAACAAACATCAATAGATTTTCCTTGAGAAGCTGTTTCCGAAACCTGAAGTTGTCCCAGCGGTTATCTTTTACGACAACGCATGTTCCTTACGAAAGCACCTCCAAGCAAACAGGGTTTCACACTTCGACAAATGTGCTTTTCCAGTAGACGCATTTCACGCCAAAACCAAGCACAAGGAATCAGACGCATTCTGCAACACCCACTGCAATGCCGCTCGTTGGCCTGAACTTCGTGACGGAGACAAGTGGCGGTTCAACTCGTCTGCTGCAGAGATGACTAATGCTTGGTTTGGGGGTTTTCAAGCCATAGTTCGAGAGATGAAGGAGGAGAAGTATGACTTTTATCTAGACGAGATGATCACCCTCAGGAACAGACTCATTTGTGCAGAGCTGGCAGCCTCAGGTCAAAACCCTATTGCTAATGCTGTAAAGCTGTAGTTTTTATAAATTAATCCACTGGGATAGGAGATAGTGTGCAGTGGGCGCCCTCATGACAGGGATCAACATGCGGGTCGTCAGAGGGCTACCCGTACCCTCACCCGCAGATACACGTGGGTACTGTACTAGCATCGTGTGGGGGTTATGAATAGTAAGTATTAGTATACAACATAGTCTGCAGGTGTTTGTTGCGGTGGGGAGGTCCCGCGTGAAGTGTGCCCGTGTCGCGCAGTTCGCCTCGTGGCAGCCCGCATCGGCGTGCAGGTAATGGCGAGCGTGGGGACGAGGGTGGTGAGGGAGGTGGACATGTGGGAACACCGTCAGGCTCAGGTGGTCGAGGGCGGCATGGGCACAAAGGAGGGCGGCATGGAGGATGACAAGATGAACGCACCTCAAGACAAGGCGAAGGGCCAAGGCGAAGCTCGTGTCTATGCTTCCTCATCTCGTATTACAGTGACGATGATGACAAGCATGAGCGTGAGGCGGATCTCGAAGTCCCCCTGCTCCTCGCTGCGGCCGACGTCAAGACGGCGTGGCATATGCGCGCCTGGAGGTGCTTGCGCTCCCACTCGCAGACGTCACGGTGGCGGCGGACGCGTGCGCGCTGGAAGCGCGGGCACAGGCCGAGAGCGCGGCAGCGAGGACCTGCCGATGCAGCTCGTTCTGACGTATGCAATCGCCATCTCGCATACACATCAGAAGGTGAAGGCGACGGGGCTCACCTGTGTGCACGCCGCTCACGTGCGTCGGTCTCCAGGTCCTCTCGCGAACCGCATCGAGAGTGGCCTCGAGGACCCCATCTCCCCTGCACCTCGCCCTTCTCCACACCCTCTCCAGCCCGCCGCCGCCGCACCACTCCGCTTGCGGTCGCGTGCCGACAGACGACGACGAGCGTGTGCCCGCCGACGACGTACCCACGGTAGACAGTGGGGAGGGCGCTGCCGCTCGTGCCGCCGCCCGCTAGCGGGATCTGGACGCGGACGAGGACGATGAGGCCACCCCAGGGGCGGACGTGGCCTTAAAAAGCGTACGCGCGCCAGGCCTGGGCGTATCGTGCGGGGGTCTGTGCGTGCGTGCAGCGTGCGGAGGGGATAACGAGGGAGAAGAGAAGCGGAGAGGGAAGAGGACGAGACAGCAGAGGAGGACGAAGGGAGGGATCAGAACGCGCATGGGGGAGAAACGGGTCAGCAAAGGAGCGCGGACGGAGGAAAGTACATTACCTCCCAGAACACGTCCGCTCAATGTCGATGTCCGAGTCCGTTGGGCTCACCACGCTCCGGCTCGTGCTCGTCGTCGTCCTCACTCGAGACAGCGTCAATGAGCTCGTCGACGTCCATGTCGAGCTCGTCCTGGACCTGTCGGCGCACGCGGTCGATACGTGCCACTTGGTCGTAGTAGTCGTCCAGTTCAACGTCCAGGTCCATGGTTTCATCGTCGTCGCCCTTCGCCGCTGTCTCCGCCAAGATCTCCGCGACCCACGCCCGCACCTCGGCCCCCTCCTCCTCCCTGTTCGCCATGCACTCCGTCTCCGCATGTGCACCTTGCGCCTCCCGCCGCGCGCGCCCGGTGTGCTGGACAGTGTACGCATCCGAGAAGGAGCGGGGGCAGCACGCGTTCAGCGCGCCCTCGTCCATCACGTCGCTCGGCTCCCAGAGCGGGAGGTGCTGGGCAGGGGAGACGGAGTGGTGCTCGCGAAGGTTGAACGTTGAAGGAGAGGGCGTGGGCCACGGCCGAGAACGGTCGGTTCTCCAGCCTCGCGTCGAGCACGTACGAGGCCACGGCGAGCGCGTGCCCGTCCTACACCGTCCGATTGTGAGCGCCGAAAGAGGTCACGGAAGGCGAGAGACTCACCACCCGAGCGCGTTCCCGTCCACGTCCAGCCCTACACCGTCCGGGCATGCACGTGAACGCCGAAAGAGTTCACAGAAGGCACGAGATACTCACAAGGTGGCGGCCCACCCCTGCGCACTCAGGCTTGTCCGCCGGTCCTTCCACACCCGCCCGTCATCCTCCATCCCTGCATGCGATCTGGGAGTGCTGCGCCAGTCCAAGTCGCCGTGCACGAGTGGGCGGGCAGCGCGGTCATACTCGTCAAAGTCGGCCGTTGTCGCCCGCGGAACTGGAACTCCTCTGCCTCGGTGCGGTCGACGGCTTGGTGTTGAGGGCGACGGGGCTCGGTGATGCGGACGTGGTCGCCAAAGAGGAAGGAGGAATAGAGGAACAGAGGCGGGAAGGGGGTCGGAGAAGTCGTGAGTCGCGACTCTGGGCAAGCCATGTGCACCCATGCGCGTGAGCGCCGACTCGGGCCATTACACGTGACTGACCCGTCGTTTCAAGCGCCGAACCCGAGCGTACCCTGACCCGTGAGCTTGCTTGTGCCGCTGTGGAAGACGCATTGTGTCGAGTGTGGGTAGGGAGCAGCCATGAGGTATCAGGTTGGACGCTTCTGGTATAGGTAAGAATATACTCTACAATGATACATCCCGATCACAGCCATTCCAGCCACAGTGGACACAAAACACAGATGTATGCTGACAGCCTTCTGCACCAGACCAGCCGCAGTTGCAGAGACCCTTGGTGTTCTTGTTAGTGAAGTTCTGTTGGTGCTTTGGATACTTTTTGTAAAAGCCGTGTGGCTTGCCCTTGTAAAACTTGAGGCCAAAGGTCTTGTTGAAGTACACACCGCTGATACGCCCAGGCGTGAGGCAAGAAGGCAGCTTGCACCAGGTACCGTCGAAACGTTGGACCTCCTTGGCTGGTACCCAGGGAGTGACCTTGTGGGCAATCTTCCCAGCGTACATGATCAGGACATGTCCGGCAAGGTATCTGAGTGAAAACATTAGATACTGAGAAATTTGTATATGCGGGACTCACTCAAAGACCGCATTGCCAAGCTGAGGAACCTGCATGTGGCCGCCAATGAAGAAGCCGACTGGAAAGGTGACAGTGGGGCCACCATCACCACCATCATAGTGAAGTCCGACGTCTAGCTTCCACACAACCGCACGGTTGAGCCACGGACCAGGGTCGTTAGCCTCAAACCACGCGCCAGCGAGGAAAGCGTCCTGATACTGCTCGAAAACCTCGGGGAAAGAGACTTCAAACAGGCCCGCGAGGAAGGCGGTGAGCTCAGCACTGTCGTCATAGTAATCAAGAACTGCACGGTTGCGGGCCTTGCCCTGTGGGGTTTGATTGATTTGGGCGTTGGAGGCATACGTGTCTTGGCTAGGACACATAGGCTGACCAGGGCCGATTAGAAAGGTGAGAAATAATGGGAAGCAAACCACTCACCCCGTGCGGTTTGCCTTGCACAGGCCAGTTCTGGCAAAAATGGTAGTTCCCACACCGTTCGCACTTCTTATGAAGTTCGTCTGAGTTCGTCAGCCCCAGGATTGAGATCTTGTCATGGCGTTCATATTCCATGATGTGAGAGCTCAGCCTGTCTACCGGAGCTGGATGGCGGCTGGAATTGCAAGCACCGTCGCCGTCGGGTGTAGGTGGGACGACGGCAGCCATGTCCTGCACACCTGCTTGGTAGGCAAACTGCATGTGTTCCTGAATGTATGTTAGCGCAGAATGGCAGTATAAGGCATAAGCACGAACAGGAATACCGTCGTTTCTGAGCAAAGTTCGCATCTCAGGATCTCGACGGACCTCATGAAGATGCTGAGTGGTGCGGTCTTCTGTGTACTGTAAGGAGATGTCGAGCTGAGGTGAATGAAGCTCATGAGTGGCGGTCGAGTTGTTCTAATACAGCATTCAGATGACATGCTAACAACGTAAACGACTTAACTCACCTGTGGGTTGCTCCTCCTGCTAACACCAAAGTATACAGCCACTGTCTTCCCATTACAGTCCTTGTAGGTCGCCGAGAAAGGGAGACGTTTGTCGGAGGGGAAAGGTCCGACCAGCGTGATGGGGTCTCCGTTTTCGTCCTTGAACTGGGCTGACTGGCCTTTCTTACAGGCATTTTTGCAGTCACACTCGAGCTGCTCAAGGGTTTTGCTAAGAATGAAAGTCGGCGACTGGTTACGGACACGCTCGGCGTGCTTTCGTCCCTTTTCGCGGGCACGGTCTATTCTGACCTGGAGAGACCGAGGCATTGTCACATTCTTGCAACCTCGGCGCAGCTCACGAGGAACAGGAGGGACATCAAACTCTGGTTTGAGAAGCTCCATGGGTTGGTGTGTAAGGGTCTTGGTCCCAAATGCAGATAGATACCTCTGAGAGCACTCACCAAAGAGGGTATCGACTTCTTCTTCCCTGGGGAAGGAGGGTGGACCTCCCACTCCTGTTGGGCAGGCACCTAGTGCAATTGCATGTTATGGGGGTTTCATACAGCAGTGAAAGGATGACTCACCGGAGGTAAATGCTCCTGCTGCCTCAGCTTGGCCTGCTGGCGAAGACGCTGTGCCTTATGCCTCTCATTCTTCTTTCTCTCCTTTTCTTTCTTGATTTGAGCCTTGGATATGGGGGGAGGTGGATCACACATAACCCATAGAACTCCAGGGAATGCGGGGAGATATGCCGAAGGGGGCAGAGGGCTGTTGGTGAACATGAGACGGAAGCTCCAAGGGCCCGGTCAATGGCGCACAGCGTGCTGGAAGTTCGATTTCAGCTGACTAAGCAAATCTCTCATTGACTCAAGTGGGATGGAAAGACGACGAAAAGCAGTCTAATAACATTAATGTCCACCAAGCATACAAGTGCTACTGTAATATGCATTGCAAAGAACGTCCAATCGAGTCGCGCTGTGGTGGTGAAAATAGGCGCCCATAGACGGCGAGATATCACGTCAACACTGAAGATGGACGAAAGTAACAACACAACTCACTTATATGGCTGAGATGGATGTGTGCACCTGAAGGCTCTGTTTGATACTACTATTTGCAACTTAGTAGTATCAAAAAGAGCCTTGCAGCCCCGCCGCAACCATTCTTCACTCTTCTGCAAACATGTGAATGGGGCGAAGAGCCTACAAGATGATTGGCAAGGGCGGATGACTGAGCGTCATGGGCGAAGCTCACCAACATTAACTTGACAGGTAGGCTTGTATTTCTGCACGAAACGACCTTGGAACAGGACCGGCGTACGCTTTGCAGGCGGCCAGCTTGGTGACATGCTCTCCAGTAGCGGCTGCGAGCGCAAACTCTTGGACGACTGTGACAACTGCGAGGCGGGGGCACGAGGTGAGCGGACGGCGGAGCGGTGTTGGAAGAAGAAGTGCGCTTACCATATCGTCGTCGGAGTCGAAGACAGGATCGTCATCCGCTTTGCACCTGCACGAGGATGAGTGAGAGCGTGTGGAGGAGAGTAATGCTGGAGCCACTGGTGAGTGGCTGCATCGACGGACAGAGGGGCGGGGAGGAGCGTACCTGGGGGCATGTCGACGTCCGTGTCGAGGGCTTTCGCGAACCCGTCTCTCCAGGCGAGGACACTAGTGATACGCGTTTTGTATCTGTCGTCGGCGGGGGCGGATGCACCTGCACTCGCCGCATCGGAGGAGGAGCAGTAGGAGAAGATGGACTCGTCTTCCTCGGAGTCGGAGTCGGAGCCGGAGGAGGAGGCGAAAGAGGAGGAGGCGTAGGGGTGGGAGCGCGGGGTCCGGTCGCCAGTGGGAGCTGTGTGCAGAGCCGTGGGTGGCGCGGAGAGCATGCCCAGAGTACCAATAACGCACGGATTGTGGACGAGCGGCAAGGCGAGGGATACAGCCGGAGAAGAGGACGATGAGTGGGTCGCCGGGGGCTCAGGGGTAGGATAAACTTACAGCACGCAGATGTTGAAGCAGCAGGCATACGAAGCCTCAATTCGTGGCGGTGACGAGAGGTGGGCGAAGCGAGCAAACGTGGGGGCTTGACTAACGTTGCAGCAAATCGAAAGCGCCAGGCGCACTTCTCCATAGGCGCAGTCGGCCGACGACAGGCCTAGGGAGCCTGACAAAATGGCGGGGAGGGGGACGAGCCTAAAGCAGGCATGTAGTAAGAACGAACTCACCTGAGTTCGTAGCCTTCACGCAACCCTGCAACAGATAACGGCCTCCTCAATGACGAGTTGTTGGGTCTTGAGATGCCGGACGACTTGCATGAGTCAAGGGTGTGCCTGCATAACGTAGCGCGTTAGATCGGAAGCAGAAACGTTCAGACGCGTTAAAACGCGTCCCAAGACGTACAAGGACAAGTCGGAACGCACGGCAGTCCGTCGACTGGACTGCCGCCGATGCCCTGGTGCGGGAAAATACACTGTATCCAAGTTAGACAGGTATCCGGAACGTCGAAAGAATGGCAGACTTACCGAGTTCAACATAAGGGTTTGAAGTTACTCGAGGAGACCCCTCCAAAGTCTCCTCGAGGGGAACGCCCCCACCATCAGCCCCCCGCGGCCGGGCACCCACCCCCCGAGGCACTGGGCCTCTTTGGTAGCAGATGCCCGTCATGACAACAGACTGGGCCCTAGTCTGCGCAGGTGCGGGGGTCATAAGTGGTACGCGTCCAAAGGAAGAGACGCGTACGAGACGCGCCTTTGACCCCGCGCGGACGCTGACTAAGCAGCGCCCACGCACGCGCTCCGACGCCAGTTCCTCTGCGCGCGATCTCTGCCTCTCTCTCCTCCTTCATAGCTCTCCCCTCCCCCCTACACCGATGACCATGGTTTTCGTCTCCCCGCCCTCATCGCCCCGCCTCTTTTGCAATACAGCGCCTGTACGATCCCACCTTTTCCGCCAAGTATAACTTGCCGTCCGGCCCTGCCTGCGCCGCGCCCTCCCTCACAATTCGCAGCATTCGCGCTCGACCGCGTCCCATTCAACACGCGCGTGATGCCACCTGGGCCGGTCAACAAGCGACCGGACCAGTTCACAATCCCATGTGAGTGCTTTCCACCACCCTACCGCGTTCTGTCCCCATGGCCACTACGGCTGCGCCAGCCTCCGCTCTTCCCCGTCCCGTCCGAGTACTCTTTCACGGCCGCGCGCTGATCGCGTTTCCAGCCCGCTTTCTCCACCGACTCGAGTCGCCTTCTCGAAAGGCTCCGGCTTAACGCATGCCCGCCTCGCGACCTCCTCACTCCAGAAGTCTCGCGCCGCCATACTTCCTCCACCGCGCCTCTCGCGCTCCTCTGTGTCTGAACCCCCGTCGTCGCCGCTCATGCAAGTGAGTACAGCCTCGGAGACGTGCAGTGACGCATGAACTAGTCCACGGCCGTTACGCGGCGTTTCTTGTCATCAACACGCAGTAAAACGCGGCGCACCGTCTAGAACGTCCAACCCATCCGTCGTCTTCAATACCAAGAGCCTCATCGGCCCACCCCACCTCACCGCGGCGACTACATGCCACTGCGCCCCCCCCCCCCCCATGCCCAACCCGAGCATCGTTATTTCGGAAGGCTCCCCACAATACGAGGCCGATCCAGACGACTTCTCGCGACGGCTTAAGATTTCCTCATCCTCCCCACGCGGCCCGCACGCGCGCCCTGCTGCCAACGGCAGTCCCGGTAAGCTCTACGATCCCAACACCGACTCGGTCCGCAAGACTGCCCCCCATGTCACTGCCGAGCCCGACGCGATGTCCGATGCCGCATCGAGTTCTCATTCACCGCGAGTCTCCCGCATGCACCAGTCCTCTCAGGCCGCCCGCAACCTCGTCGAACACCGACAGCTCTTCGATCCTCGCAAGCACGATGCGGTTCAGTTCTCTGCGCAGAACCGACATAACGCCACTGTCACCCCATTGCCGAGCGGTCGCCCAACCCCTACACCCAAGTCTTCAGGAGACTGGGTCTCCGCGTCTTCAACCTCCTCCGCTTCGTATGCCCATTCATCCATATCTTCCAAATTCACCCTCTCCTCCGCCACCGACTCCTCTTCTGCATCATCCGCTCTTTTCGACTCCTCAAATCCCGCGGGCCAGAGGTCCGAGGACAGCGCCTCTAGCGCGAACGCCTTCTCTCGAAAACTGAAGGAGGTTTACCGAACGATCAGTGGCTTGGAGACCAGGCTGTTGGGTAGCGACAAGGATCGGGACAGGGCAGAGGATGGTGAGCGTGGATCGCGGGGGGGTATTGATCAAGGGACGCGCGAGCAACAACGCTCTCGCGAGTACAACCGATGAGGGCGAGTCTGAGCGGTGGCGAAAGCTCGTATCAGAGCACCAGCAGTAAGTAATCCTATCTGCGTCTCAGCTTGGGGTCTCATTATGCTTATGCTACTCATCAGACTCACGGAATGCATCCGCGAGATGTTCGCTCCGACGCTCTCACGCTTGCGCCCACGGTGCCCGCCTCTCTCGAGAACGTCCCGCAGAAGTACAACCTAATCATTAGGTTATGGTCCCATGCATTCTACCATCTTCTGGAGTCGCCTCGTCACGCTGCGTGGCCACCAACAAGCTCGCCAGTAGCTCTTGAGTACCTTCGGTAAGTTGCATGTTCCACTGTTTGGAGCTCGTTCTCATCCTGTTTCTTAGCAATTCCTTAACTATGCCTATGTATTCTACGGCGGTCTCATCGAGGAACGCAACTTCGCGCAATACCGCGGGCCGTTCCTCGAGGCTCTCGGCGACATGTCTCGCTACTGGACGGCCGTCAGCGCCCTCATCGAAGGGACTGATTCTACAGGCAACACACTCACGGTATCCGCCGTTGCCAAGAACAACCTGCTCGCCTCCAACACCCCTCGCCCATCGTCCCCGAATCCTCCCGCCACCGATCTCCCATCAGCTGCGGTGTTGCCAACCCCTGCACAGATCGACGACAGCCCTCAGTCATCTGAGGCTGAGATGCCTCTTGGTGCCGATGACGCAGTGGGTGCTGTTCTCCATATCCACAACATCCCTAGCATCGGTCAGGAGGCAGCCCGCTTGATGGAACTCGACCCCGACCAGGAGCGCTGGTGGCAGGTCTCAAAGGATTGGTTCGCGCGGCGGCTCACAATTGCCCCCAACTCCGCCAAGCTCCACATGAGAACGTGAGTGAGTATGCGTGCATGAAAATTAGGCTGAGTATTAACTTAGTACTACCGGTTTCTAGTAAAGGCCAGGAGTAGTAGGGGCATCATCGAAGTAGTAGAGTGTGCTGTCTATGTGGTCGGTCCCTTGCAAGAACCTCTCCAGAATATCATGAGACTGGACAAGGTTGGCTGACTGCAGAGAAACTAGAGGGCCAGTAGTAGATGGGTTATAGATGTTTGTAGTGAGGGACACATCCAAAGTTGTATGTAGATCGATGGTGGGCGTAAGAACCGCATCTGAGTTAGTAAAGACAAGAGAACCATTAGCTTCAACGGGCAGAGGATGGGGGACTGGAAAAGTATCGACATCTGCTGTAATACCAGAACGCATTAATTCAGAAGTATTAGTGAACGGGGTGGTAGACGTGTTGGAGGATATACCAGAATCAGACTGGAGAAGTTCAGGACTAGTATCGGACTCAATCAGAATAGACGGGAGAAGCGAGAGAGATAAATCAAAAAAATTGTCCAAGAAATCATGTGGAAACGAGAGCTCCAAGGGAAAGAGGTCGGAGAGAGTAGTGGCCATGTCAGAAGGAGCAGAATGGATTTGGATCATATGAGCAAAATGAGGGGGGAGCTCACAGACAATAGCAGACTCTGAGGACGGCCAAGGGAGATGAGGGCTTACTAGAGCACCTGAAATCTCCACTTCCTTCTTATACTGCCTAAAGGTGTCTGAAGAGCGGAGATACTTCTCCCATATCTCAGGGTTCCCGCGCCGAATAGCAACTTTCATTTTGTTCAACGTGGAATATGCGCAAACGGCAGGATGGAACCGTTCATTGAGAATCTTGCGGTGGTAATGAATTCGAGAGGTGTCTTGCCGGCCTCCGTTTGACAGCGAGTAGCTATCCACGGCACGGATGAAGTTCCAGACCTCGACGAAATAGTAATCTGAAGGGAAGTTCTTCTGTTGTTTAGGATCCTCTGCCGTCTAGGCCATGCAGAAAGCTTAGTATTGCAATGGCAGTGACAATGAGTGATGAGAAGGCTTACCCCTTCTGAGACCGAGTCTAGGTGCATCCGCTTAGGGATGGGAGATGAGGATGGGGAAGAGATGGGAGAAGATGCATGAGGGCGCTTCAAGCCAGATCGAGGACGAGGAGGTGGAGGAAGAACGGCAAATGTTGGAAGTTGCTTGCAGCGCCAAGGGTTCACTAAGAGGCCTACTATGCAAACCTGGCCTTCGGGGTAGTCTTTATGATCAAGACCGGCGTACAAGCCAACAGATTCCCAACAAGAGTTTGCCCTGTTGAAGATAAAGCAGGTAGCGGTATGCTGTAACTCGGGTGGCAGGTGATCAGAAAAGCCTAAGTCGCCGAGAAGTCCGGGTACATGCTCAGCGAGAATAAAGCTGGGATGTGGCAACCTATGAGTTCGGATACTGGGGAGTGCGTTCTCCTAGTGTTGTATCAAGCAAGTTAAGATAGATAGCACACAATGAAACATGAAACAGGAGCTCACTTTTCCAAATATATGAAATTTGATTGTATAACGCTTAGCCTCAGCAGCTGTCAGAGAGACTTGTCTGGCGCGCACTTGCTCTTCGGCCGCAGCTTGAGCTTGATCGTGATATAGAAGGGATTGGGAGAGAGATGCTTGTGTCCACGGCAAGGAAACAGGATTTGAGTGCAAAGATAGGGGCTCAGCTGATGGGGATGTGTTGGGAACGGTGGGAGTCTGAGAAGGAAGAGGGAAGGAAGCAGACTGAGTAGAATTGGAAGCTGATGGTAGGGGTGCCAGAGGAGCTGATAATGAAGAAGACGTAGTGGTGGTGACACGTGATGTATCGGCTGTGGACTCGGTGGGGTTGCCTCCAGCCGTCAGCTTCTTCCGATGCTCTTGGATGTGGTATCTAAGACTGCAGCCGTCTGGAGGGACCCATGAGGCTTTGTTGACGCAACACTCTGTGCAGAGGCCTCGGGTGCAGTGTTTGCCTGCGCCTCTCTTGCACCGCACACCAGTTTCGGCTTCAATCTTGCACGGGATCCTGTCTGATGCTGCCATATGACAAGGCTAGTGAGGTGCTACTACTGCTAGGGCTGCATTTGTTAGTGCCGATACACAATCACAACCACCCACTACCACACACCTTGCTCTGTGCTCCCAACCTGGACGGTGTCCGTTCAACCCTCCGCAGTCAGCGGACGGTGTGGGGGCAAGATTGGGCGGGGGTACCAACTGGACGACTAGAGACGAGAGAGAGAAGGTAAGAGGGGCAGAACTCCACACTGGTCCCCTCTCTGCTCTTAAAGGCTCTGGAGTACTTTTGAAAGTCACCCGCTTGTAGTGACTGATTAAAGGTTTGACTTTTAGCAGTGTCGGCTATATGCTCAAACAGGGACAGTGGTGGGGCAGCCCAGGACTACACATAATACACTGACAAAGGCACACTCGTTTGCACCAGTCTTGACGACCTCACACGCCACGCAATCCCCTTGCACCACCCTAGATGCTGGTGCCTGTGGCCCCATGCACCGGTGCATGGTGCAACCTCCAACAGCGAGCTCACCGTTCCCCCAGTCATGCTCACCGTTGCCTACTGCACTTTCTTGTATGTTCCTGCATGATTAACCCACAGAATGTAATAAAAATATATTTATTATTACACTACTCCGTGGTGGCAACAGCGGAGCAGGTGGAAGCGGAGGACGAGAACAAGATGGGTGGCAAGGTGGCATACCACAGCGGGCAGAGCACACCGCGCTTGCTCGATGGAGGGCAACACATGCGAGATTGAAGGAGGACGACGCGGAGGGGGCAAGGCAGGGAAGCCAGTGCAGTGGAACGCGGTGCCACACGCGCGAGTCGAACGAGCATGCAAAACCCGGGTAGGACATGCTCGCGCGATCAAGCGGGACATGCACGAGAGCAGAGGGGGGCGACGCGGAGGGCCGCAATGAGGTAGAGTAGGGTGACGGCGCGGGCGGATGTGGGCGACGCTGACGTGGGGGAGGCAGAGGAGGACGACATGGAGGGCTTGCTGTAGGAGGCGGAGGGCCGGGATGAGACGGAGGAGGAAGCGGAGGGCAGAGGACGAGGGGGACGTGGAGCGCCGAGATGAGGCGGAGAAGGTGGTGGGCGAGGTGGGCGGAGGGCAGTGTGGGCGGAGGGCCGGGACGCCATGGAGGTGGGTGACGCGGAGGGCCGGGAGGAGGTGGAGGGCAATGAGAAGGGTCGGGAGGAGGCAGAGGCGGCGGAGGGAACAGGCGGAGGTGGGCGACGCGAGCAGGCGAGGACGCGGAGGAGGGCACGCGACACGGCAATGGGCGCGCGACACGGAGAAGGGAGACACGGGCGGAGGCGTCGTGGGCCGGGGAGGGTGAAGCGGAGAACTGGGACGATATGGACAAGAGGGAGGGCCGTGCGGACGCAGAGGTGGGTGACGCGGAGCAGGGCGGTACGGAGGAGGACGACGCGGGTAGAGGAGGAGGAGGGCGACGCGGAGGGTCGCAATGCGGCGGAGAGATGGGCGACACGGGCAACGCAGATGCGGGCAACGCGGGGGCAGGAGGGTGACGCGGAGGGCTCTCGGGAGGAGGTGAAGGGCCGGGACGAGGGCCAGAATGAGGCAGAGGAGGTGGGCGAGGTGGGGGGCCACGACGGGGGCGGAGATGTGGAGGGCCGGGAGGAGGCAGAGGAGGTGGTGGTGGGCGACATGGAGGGTTGCAATGTGGCGGCGGAGGTGGGCGACACAGGCGGAAGTGGGCGATGCAGCAGCGGAGGACGTGGAGGAGGTGGTGGGCGACGTGGACTAGGAGGTCGAGGGCGGTGGCAGGCCGCACGGGTGAAGCAAGGGGAGAGGAGGTGGGTGTTGGGAGTGCAAGAGAGCGGAGTAGAGGACTCACCAAAACAAGGGCCGCGGTACATCATTGCGGCCCCAGATTCTGATCTCCATCCTGAGGAGGTCCAGACGGCCATCCTCGTGTGGTGTCGGTGTTGTGATCGTGGCCGGCAGTGGTTTGCGAGGACTCAGGAGGCACGTGAGGTTTCAGAGCGGCCAGCCAGGGTTGCTTTACACAACTCCAGTGCGTACTATGACGCTCAAATTACTGCCACCCGCATGGTACTATAAGCATTCAAGTATAACCATTACTCATCAAAAGATAAGACTCACCAAAGACCGAGGGCGGGGACGCGTTGAGAGGGAAGCCAAGCAACTGCGAGCAGGAGGCTGAGGAGTGCACGTGGAGGATGAGGAGAGGGCGAGGATGAGTGAGAGCAGAGCAAAAGAGGGCAGGGTATATAACATCGAGGGGAGAGCAAGGGGGAGAGGCAGGGAAAGGCGTACTTCGTCGTCTCTGGCTCCGGCTCCAAGCGTCTCCAGCGGCTCCGAGCGCCTCCAACGGCTCCGGCTTCAGCAACGACTGCGGCTCCGGCTCCGGGCGCTTCAAGCGGCTCCGGCTCCAGGCGCTTTTCCGGCAGCTCCCCGGCAAATCATGTGATGGCTCCGGCTCCGGCTCCAGAGCCGGCTCCAGAGGAAAAAGAACGTTCCCAACTGCATGCAGCCATATGCATTCAAATTTGATGAGAATTGTGTGATTTACGGAGAAACCGGCGAAACCGGCTATGGTACTGACCAAGGAGACTGAAAGTCGGTTGACACGATGACTGTTGTCAAGCATGTCTGCCAAAGTCAACTGCAGGTGGGAGCAAGCCTGGATTCCGGGCCGCGCGGGCCCATCGCCACTCGCGACAGCGTTTGAATCTCGACCATCATCTTCCCGCATCCCATCTGTCCTTCTTACGCTCTCAACGATATACGACCGTCTACATGCCGAGCATCAAGTATGTCTACCGGCACACACTCCAGACCTCTGGGCCCCATGCTGGCCTTGTCTACCCCCTTCAGGTTTGGTTTCCCGTGCTCTTGGCCGTTGACCGTGTAGCTTGTCTAGGGAAACGAAATGGACTATACAGACATGATGAGCTCCTAGTCGGTCAGACAGGCGAACAATTTGTAGATGTCAGTGGTACTGGTGAGCGACGGTTCGCCCCCAATTTTTGCGCACACCATGAGCCATTTCGCATTCTCATACCCAGAGATGCTTGTGTACTGTTCTCGTGCTTACCTGCACATGCTCCGGCTCATCTCCCATCTTTTCCATCCTCGCCGCACCTATCTTTTTGGTACGATGGATCCTCGGTCGCAACACCCATCTCCAGGATCTCCACATATCCTATACACATCCCATGATGAACGCCCCACGTTCGGCGAGGTCCCTGGGTGGGTGTTGGTCTGGGAGGGGTCTGAAGCTTCAAGGGTGACGCTTCAGCAAGGAGGTATGAAGTATTTGTTAGTGGATACGTGGTCAGGGAGTACCACAGGCATTTTGAAGTTTCATGTGAGTCTCTCCACGTTGTCTGCTGCGCATTCACTCTTGGGTGCCCAGTGCCCCTTGGGTTCCTGATCACCGGTCTCGTTCCGTTCTCGCATCTTTCGTGCTCCCGTTTGACCTCCATTATTGAATAGCACCGGCATTGTCGATTACCCAAGTTCCAAATAACTCGTTACTTTGTTAACCAACTTGAGACGTGTACTAGAGCTAGATGGACGTAACGATGATGGGATAACGCGAACCGAAGGCATGCATCCAAGACTGGACAACGAAGCGTACGTAGGGCAGAGCCCGACATGCGAGGTTTCGCGGATCGTACCCGCTGCTCAAAGGTATGTCCAGTCATTTGTTCGTCATGTAGGCTAACGAAGCAGACGTAGCAGAATATACAGAATGTACGTCCACGTGGATGCGGAGGTACTGTGCCCCGCTGTCGAGTGAAAAGGACTGTAGCACGTCTTCGGTACGGTTTTTCAGATCCCATGAGATTCGATGTCTTGCTCATGTTACCACTCTCAGGACGCCTGACTCCGATCAAGCGTCTCATCCTCGACAAACCCGACGACAAGCCCGCGGCCCCGATCTAGAAGTAGATCGCACAGGAAGCGTCGGTGCTCCGCTGGCTCGAGCTCATAGGCGTTCGCGTCGTAGGGACGACGGCGATGGAACGTCCAGAGATCCCACGCGTCTACCAGAGCACTTCACAGGCTACGGAGGTGCAGTGTGAGTGGACGCGCAGCGAGGTCGTAAGGCATCTCCTGGGCGCGTTTTCGCATCTGCACCTCATCGTGCTCGCGCACAGCTGTCCTATCGTTGCAGCCGAGGAAGAGGTTCAAGGACTAGCGACTGAGGAAGTCGACGACCTCACGATGGACAATGGCCTCTTGCAGGAGATCAAAGCGAAAAGGTGGTGGTGGAGTCACTCGAGTGGGGGACATGAACTCCCTGGCGGAGATCTGGGGCATCCATTGGGAGCAGGCTAGGACCTGGTTGCGGAGCGAGGGATCCAACGCGGAGACGACTGTGAATGGTCAGTATTCCACCATTATAAAGTTGCGTCTGCAAGCTCAATCCAGGCCAGGATCCCCCTAGATCTTCTTCGATTCATCAATGCACGCCTTGTGAGCGATAGTAGCTGCAATAAACACGCGGTGGACCTCACGACTGCGCTTGGAGATGAGAGGTTGAAGACTGGGGGCGAGGCGACGTGGACGAGCAGGTACATATAAGTGGGAGCGGGAGCAACTGTCCAGCGAGCGTAGGTTGAGGCAAGTGGGATGCCGCGCGCCGCGCGCACAATAAATTGCCTCCGCACCTGAACATTGTAGGGCGGCACGGCAGCGAGTAAGAAGATGGGAGAGGGATGGTTACTGTCGGAGTGGCGTCCAGGCGGTGCAGGGTAAGTAGAATGTCCGACGAGATGTCGCGACGGGAGATGATCGAGGTACGCCCGCCAGCGGGCCGAGACCGCGCGCGGCGTGGTGCGCGCGACGGGCTGTGCGTGGATCACGCGACACACTTGGCACAGGCGTGTTTGAAGCAGCGTGCCCCTTCACGACTCACGAGTCCATGTACCATATAAAAGGACTACATCGATGGGCACACGCCTTTGACCACACTCAGCCCTGCTCTGCTCGTCAATCGCGCCTTCCAACGATGTCACCGTCTTCACCCCGAATCATCTTCTATAACGCTGAGGTGAGCACTCAGGAATATGCGTCACTTCATTCTATGCCCTCTGTCCGCTGAATAGAAGGCCCCGATCAGGTATCTCGCTTCGGTCACAGGGTCTGGCTCGCGCTCGAGCAAATCAACGCGAACTACACGGTCCACCCCGTCGATTTGTTCGTCCCCCGGCCAGAGTGGTACACGCGCAACCTCAGCCCTACCGGCCTCGTACGTTTCGCGGCACTTCACGCCAGATGATTGCGCTCAACCAGCTCCTCCCCCAGGTCCCGGCGATCGCCTTCGACGTCCCCGAAGGCTGCTCGCCCGCAGACCTCCCCGCTAGCACGATTCGCATGAACGAGTCCCTGCCCATCCTCGAGTTCCTCGCCGACGCGCTCCCGGCCGCGAACCTCTTCCCCGCGGACATCGTCGCGCGCGCGCGCGTCCGCGCGTTCATCTCGCGCTTCGAGGCCGGCTTCGCCAAGGCTTTCGAAGCCGTGCTGTTCAGGGGAGAGCACCCGCAAGCGCTCCTCGACGCTCTCGCGCAGTACCAGGACGAGCTCGTCGGGGTGCAGCGCCGCTTCGCGGACGAGCCGACGGGCAGCGAGGGCGGGTTCGTGTTCGGGGAGTGGTCGATGGCGGAAATCGCAGCGGTCCCGTTCCTCGTGCGCGCCCTGATGTGCCTCGAGCACGACATCGGGAAGTATCCCGCCGGAGAGGGCAGGAAGGTGTGGGAGGAATATGCTAGCAGCGAGAAGTTTGCGCGGATGAGGAAGTATATGGTGGACGTGTCTGCTCGTCCCGCGCTCAAGGTGACGTGGAAAGTTGTGAGTGTACTGTATTTCTCGGGGTGTGCGCTGCTGAAGACGTATTGCTTTCAGGAGGAGCAGTTACCCATATGGTCACAGTTCCCGATTTTCAAGCGTGACAGCGCATGAGCGTGGAGGCGTATCGATCAATGAATGCGGGGACGCTTTGTATGAGTACCTCTTGATCGCGGTAAAGCATCCACATGTTCAAAATACACAAGCGGTTTCAATTGCGCGCATACATGTCAGAGTCCAGTCACCGCAACGACCGTCCATGTCTCCATGTTCTTTCTCTACCACCCACTCGCCTCAACAACATATATCGGAGTTTCTGAGAGTAGACTATGGATTCTACGGATGCCGCTGCATGAACTGCGTCTGACTTTTCGGCTGTCAGGGACGCTTCGGTACGGAACCTCCGAGACACTCACCTGGTGCGTGATTGACTTAAATTAAGGCGGGAAGTCGCAGTCGGAGGTCTTGCTGCCGTGGTTCTCGCACACGCCCTGAACTCGCGGAGGTGCTCCGAGATGGAGCTGGCCTCGCAGTCGTTTCCGCCTTGGAACGAGCCGTCGAGCTGGTTGCAGCACTTGTGGGTGTGCTGAACGTTGTTGTGGCCCTTCTTGCCGAGGCACTTGCACGCCTCGGCGGGGGGGGACGGCGACGGCGAGAAGAAGAGAGTGAGGAGCTTCATGGCGAAGAATGGAATGGAAGATGCGATGGAAAGCAGACCGAGTGCCAGTTGTGGATCAGTGAGGGTCGACAGGTTTCTTGGTGGTCTTTTATGCTCTCTGGGGAGAAGCAGTGCTCTGTACCTATGGTCCCCCCCGTCGACCGGAGGCTTAGCCATGCTTGAACCAATGTAAAACGCACTTGCGTAAGCGCTCCCGAGTGGAACCGGGGCGTCACAGTGTGGCGGCGTGCGACTCGAAAGCCATTTGTTGGCACGGAGGTTCGTAGGTGATCACGTTTATGGGATCATGTGCTTTGATGCACCCATAAATGACGCGCCGTGCCCAGGTCGGGTGCGAGTACGCCGGGCCGTCTGTGTCCAGTGACAAGCAGTGTGCAGGCGCTGAGGGAGATGGGGCCAGCGAGAATGATGCAGGAGCGGCGGTGATGGATCGTCGACAGAGAAGGAAACGACGGCCCAATGGTGGGGATCCGGAGGGAGGGGAGATATTGTCGAGGGCGAAGGCTCTGACGCGAGCATGAGTTTTGACGGGACATTCAATCTAGTACTTTCGCAAGATGGAACCGGAACTTGGCAGCTCCGGACGATCTAGCCCGATGCTTGAAGAGTGTCGAGAAAAGCTGAAGATAAGGACGAGACTTACCTGCATTTTACTTATGTCCGTAGCCATGACCAAGCCGCGATGCGGAAAAGGTCGAAACGAAACTATCACGGCGTTCGAGATTCGAACCGACGCCACAATATTCTGTCACGTGAGATATTCTGGCGCTAATTCGCAACGGCCCTCACGGCGTCACGGGTTCGATTCCTGCTCCTCCTCACAATCCCCCAGCGTTGAACGTTGAACGTTGAACGCTCTGCCCGACCAGCGCTCCGATTGCAACGCTCTGTATCCTCCGATCAAACTGCCCCAGTTATGATCGTACGTGAAGTCTCGCGGACATGGTCTCGGTCTATATGCTCACTAGACGTACGGATATGTTCGTGTCTCTTGGATGTGGGTAGGCCAATCACTCTCCGTACTTGAGTCGAACCTCACATGCACACCGGTATTGCAGAAGTCTACCGGCACCTTTATCGATTGTTCGCTCAGTGCAGTGACCCTTCGTGTGTGTAGATTCGAAGGGTGGGAAGTGCTATCACAGGTGAGGTATTTAATCACCTTTGCATGTGCTCTGACACACGCCTAAAGCGCAGGGACATGTGATGTATGCTGGATGCCTCGGCAAGAGACCGCATTACACACCGGGATGGACGAGCCAAATCGTTGTCAGCGTAGTTCTCGATGAAAACGCCACCGTATTCCGTCCTTCATGGTCGTATCGCTCTTATGCGTGGTACTGCCTCAAGGACGAATAGGCATGCACACAGACGGATGATGTCCGTCTTGGCGCCATGACCGCCAGCTGCCACGACGGACATCTTCTCGCACACATGACACGAATGACGATCGCCCACAGAGCACGTCTCTAGCCGAGATCTGCTCCGTCGGTGCATCTTCCGGTCCCCCGAACGCACACAGCCGATGTTCATGTGCCCTTCGTCTTCTCCCTACGCGCGGTTGCGAGGGCATGTTGTAGTGCTTCGCGGCACACCCTCAAATGCCTTCCCCAAGCCTCGATGCGCCGTCGGACCGAAGTGTGCGCGCATCTCCGTCACGCTGTCGTTGTTGCGGTACCGCCTCGCGCACTCGTTGAGCACCCCGTCCCTGTCCAGTCGCACCCTCTTTGACACCCGCGCCCGCCCGCCGCCTCGCGCGGTGCCTCTTGATCGGCGCGCGCGCCAGGCGGAGGGCGGAGCCTTCCGCGCGAGCCGTCTTCGAATCCGACCTTCTGTAGAGGCCACGCTGCACGCACTCGCGTCGACAACAAGCCTGAGAACGGTCATGACGTTCTTCGACCGATCGCTCGCCCGCGAACGTTCAGTGCAGAAGGCGGGGTCAGCTGGCCTTGTAGGGAGCGCCTTCCGGGAACGTGGAGTGGAACCCCATTGTTGGTTCCTGTTAGCGTGTGGTTACAGACGGGACCCTGTCAAAGAGGGAACTAGGACGTCTTTAGCGGGCAATAAGCGTTTATCGTGGCACGGCGAGGGTCTGGAAGAGCTGTTGTCGGATATATCGGACTATTGCACTTCCGGGACACTTCCCACCGGAGCAGGGCCTCGACTACACGTACACATTTTGCGTTCTGGTGTTCCAGATGGTGTCGGAAAGGGCACACGCACAACGGTGATGTAGGTTCAAGGGCGTTGGATATGAAGGACAATGCCTTCTATGCTGGTATTCACGCACCCGACTCCCGAGAGCGCGCCAACCATGATGTTCGCAGACGCAAGTTATCTCCGGACGAGGCTGTACTTCGTGCAGCATAGGCAACGCGATCTTCCGCTGCGCATCCTACATGTGCGCGACGGCCTGGACAGTGGAGCCCGCTTGAGCCCCGCGGGCGCCGTCGGAGGTCTAGAGTCCAGCTGAATACACACACCCCTGCTCCCGAATTACGAGAACACTCCGCACATCCAGGCCTTGCACCACAGGCCCACGGCTTCCGCTCGCCAACGCACGATGCGCTCGGGGGAGTCGGTGCGGACAGATATTCTGCCGCTGGGTCGCCGCCGGCGTTCATGCTTCTCTCCGTGCCCCGCGTCCCCGCGTCCCGCTCTGCCGACGGGCCTCCGGGGACCTACGACCGCACTCTCGTAAAACACGACCTCGCTGTGACACTGGGTCGCGGGCGCGGGCGTGCCCCCCTCCACGTGTCCTGCTCTGTTGCGCTCGCTAAGTCGGGCATGCGTGCAGCGCGCCGGAAGTTCCCCGCGGGTGGGCGAGCGGGCGAGCGGGCCTCCCCTGCGGCGCCCGCGCTCCCAACGGGGGATTGCGACCCCACTTTCACGACACGGGGTCGGGTGCGTCGCGTCGTGTCGCGTCGCTTGCTGCGCAGGGCCTCGCCCTGGTCCCTTTGACTCTACTGGTCTTAGAGGAAGTCTCCGTGTCCGCGAGGCAGGATCACCTACGCCCTGGCCTCGACGCAGTGGCCCTACTTCGGCATGGAAGGAAATCGTTCGGAGCGAGTCAACGATCCCATTCCACTCTCGTGCGCGCCCCCGCTCGACGACATTATAACGCACCATGAGGCCTTGAGGACTGACACGGTCGCCGGCGTCACCCAGGGCGCGGGCCTCGTTCCCGCGTCGGCACCGTTCGCGTAGCATCCCCCGCGTGCCGCTGCGTAGGGACCCGCCTCCTTGACTCTTCTACGCGGAAATACGGTATACCGAACAGCTATGTCCGGGAAAGGCGAGCCACCGCACCTCGGGGTAACGTGCGTCGCACTTCCATCAGCCTGCCCCGGCCCCCGCGCGTTTTCCAGAACATTGCGGGCGGGGCACGCGTGTTGCGCGCGCCAGGAGGACGACTCAGAGAGCCCCGTACTTAGGTCTCAACGTCTTAGAGGCAATGCTGGCGGTGCGCGAATAATTATACACAGATAGTGGTGCGCGGGAGGGCCTGAATGTGTCTGACACTAAGCGAGCTCCGGAATCCGGGGATTATGATACCTCGACACTCATCCCCGCATTTCAAGCACGCCCTTCAAACTAGCGGCATCAGCGTTGTCTTGCGTCCGTGATCAAGAGCCTAAACACGCAATCAATCCACAGTAGTCACCTTGGTGCCGCTTGGAGCACCTACTACCATCCAACACCACCGCCGCCAAGTTTACCTGCGCCGACTCTGTGTCCATGTCCGCGATGCAGATCCACACGCGACACTTCGTCGGAAAGAAAGAAAGAAAGACCCGGTGTGGAAAAGATAAGATAAGACAAACAAGTGTCAAATACGCGCCCGTCGCGTTGAATTTGGAGTTCGTGCTCGAAGTTCAATTCGCTCAAGAGCCAGAACCCACTGTCTTCTCCTCCTCCCCCTCCTTCGCCCTCCCTTTCACATTCCTCTCCATGGAATTCATTTGGGCCTCAACGCTGACGCGTTGACGTCTCCACGCTCACTTTGTCTTTGCTCAAACGCCGACCTGCGGGATGCGCGTCCGCAGGACCTACGCTCCCTACGCCTCGTCTAGTGCAGCTTGAATCTTGCCCAGTGGTGGAGAGATGATCAGCGCATCATCCCAACCTCGCGTGGGCCCATTACTGCCTCGGCGGCGCCTTGGAGTGTGTCACACGTGCGACGGCTACCATTAAGGATAGCTCATCGCGCTGCCGCACCGGATTATGGACGCCATGCTGGCCCTATGCGGTCTCTGCCTCCTGGGGCGTCTTTCAGCGCCGAGACCGTTCAAGAACAATGAAAGGTGGGAAGATCTTGGGCAAGAGTTGCAGCGCGTAGAGGACGGGGGGGGGACGGGGGAAGCGTCGAAAAACGTAGCGAAGGCAGAGGTGATTCGAGAGCAACAGTCAGACTGGGCCGACGGCGAGGTGCGGATGGTGGAGGTGTGCACGGGTGACGGGGAAAGGGCTCGGGGCGTGGTCGCGAGCGACTGTTCGACGCGGGCACGAGTCTTGTAGGTATCTCCTGGCTTGGGCGCGCGCAGCACCAACTGACGGCCACAACGCAGAGTGTTATCCGGAAAGTGTCGATACATGCTCGCAATCCGGGCCGCGTCGACGCAGCTCACTCCACCTCCCCGGGCTATCCACTTCAGTCCTCGCAGCTCGATGGAAAGCGATCCTCGATTGTCGCCGGGCGATAGCCTCGTCCCATCCAGCACGCATATCTCCCGATGCCCGATGCTCGACGAGCGACGAGCAACGCGTATCTCGCGGTGTATCTCCATGGCGTGCGGATGCGGGGTGGGGGTGGAGCTGCGAGCGGGAGATGAAGGGCCGCGCGGCTTCGCTGAGTTGTCGCGTGCTGGCCGCGGTTCAGTGTATCTCGCGATGTATCTCGCAGAGATTGGGACATCGATGCGCGGCGTCGCTGCTTTGGGCGTGCCGCGGGCGGCGCGGATAATCTTCGCGTCGGCGGCGGGACGAAGTGCGGGGTGCTCGTTGAGGAAGGCGCGGATCGCCACGCGCGTGCGCGGAGTCCGTCGACTATGCGTGACGTTCAGCTGGCGAAGGACGCCGACGACCCGGTGAAGGAGTTGGAAGAAGGAGAGGGTGCTGGTGAGCGTGCAATGCCCGCGCCGGCGACTTGTGAGCGGCCACAGTGATCGTCGTGGAGAACGTCGGGCTGGCAACCAAAGTCAGCAACTCGCACGCATCGTAGGAAGATCGCAAGACGTACCTGGGGTGGCAACACCTTCCAAACACGCTCGACCGCCGCGGGACCTTGCTTTCCCCGCTGATTTGCACGATCTCTGCATGGAAGGCTAACGCGCGTGGGGTGGGCACGGGACAATCGTAGAACCGGGATCGAGTCCATATTGCACCTAGCCCAGGGAAACTAGTAGTATAACACATACAGCCCAAAGGACGACAGCAGAAAGGCGATTCCAATGATACAGCAGTAATAGAGGTACACTTACAGGGATGATTACGAAGCATGTGCAACATTCCCTCCCTGGTATCCAGCCCAGCATCGCGCCATCCTTCCCCGCCCCCTTCAATGATCCAGATCGACGTCCTTGACAATGTCGACTTTGACGAGCTCTTCGAGAGAGACGACGAGGTTGTCGTCGTGGATGAAGGGAGAGTTGAAGACGAGTCGCTGGAGCGGGGCCCCGGCGGCGGCGCGCTCCCTGATCACGCCGTAGAGGTGGAAGTAGTCGACCTCGTCGATGAAAGTGAACTTGCGCAGGTTCGGCCAGCTGAGGCCGTACGTCGTCCGCTCCGCGAGATCTTCGCGGAAAAGCTGGAGGAACTTCGCGGTGGCCGAGTTGATGACCGTGAGATGGGTGACGGTGGGCAGAGCGCGGGTGAAGCGGCGCGTGGGGGTGCACATGCTGGCGTTGAGGAGGGACAGCGAGTGAAGCCGTGGGTATCGAGGGCCGAGGATGTTTCCGGTGATCGTGGTTTCCCCAGGGACGGGGAGGGAGGCGACGAACTCGCGGAACTCGGTCTCGTCCAGGTTGGCGAGTGTGAGCTCCACGAGGTTCGGCGTTTCTAAGATGGAGGACATTCGACAGACGTTGTCCCCAGAGACTTCGAGGTATCGAAGGGTGGGTATTGACAAGGGTGGGTACTGGCGGCCTGAATGGAGGTGGATATAGGTGCCGCGGAGGACGAGCGCAGTGATGGACGGTGACGCGGCGAGCAGCTTTGCGAACTGCTCGTACTGCAGGCGGGTTTGAAGCCACAACCATCGAAGGTCGAGCATGGTCAAGTTGACTAGCGGACGGGAATTCCATGGGGTGCAGAGGGAATCGTACCGGACGGAGGTCAGCGCCTCCGCGCCGCCTTGCAGGATCTCCGGCAGGAGCACCTCCTGGTTGCCCGACGAACCACTCAGAGAAAGCTGTAAGTGCCGCAATGAGGGAGCTCGCGCCTCCCGGAGCCGATGGCCGATAGCATAGATCGTTGCGGGATCCGTGGTGTTTAAGGCGAACCGTCGCCACCGCAATATGTGCACCATGAGCTGGCTCACGAGCCCGTCGACGATCGTGGCGGTGAGGAGGTTGGTGGACCGGCAGTCGATGGTGATGTCGATGGGCTGGTCTGCAGAGCGGACGAGACACAGGGGGACCCACCCGTACGGCCGCGGGTGTTTCACCACGATGTTCGTCCATAGATCCGGTGTGGTCGTTGCGATCTCGCGCCAATGTCGACAGATGGCTGCTGCAACGAGGATGAAGGGCCGCTGTGTGGAGGCACCGAGGATAGGGTCTTCCTGGGGCATACGACTCCCGAGCTTGAAGATGTGGACGAGGACCTCTGAGGGAAGACGAAGGACAGGATGGAGGAAGGTCGAGAGGGCTTCAATCCGGGCTCGGATGCACGACAAGGACGCCTCGTTCATGTGAACCTGGGTCATGAGCGCATTCACCGAAGGATTGAAGCGGGCTTGGACGGCATTTTCAGAGTTCTTGGGCTCGAGGAAGACTCTCCAGCTCTCTGATCCACCGTGAAAGGTGTCCCATCCGCACGACTCCTGGAGCCGCTTGAGCTCAGACTGGTGCGCAGGGAACGGACGGGGCTGAGCAGAGAAAGAGCTGGCTGTATGCACACACTACCTGATAGGACGGGTCTGTGGTGATCTGCTTGATGAGGCGGAGACGGCGGCCCTGGTGCTCGGTGGCCTGGCGGTTGAGCTCGGCGATGAAGTCGCGGATAGTGAGGAGGCCTGACATCAGTCGGGGTCCGTGGGGTCGTGAGGGACGCGGGGGGACGTCCGGGGCGTGGGCGACGGGAGGAGTGAGCAGGAGGGGCGGCGCGGCCAGAGCAGCCGCAGGCCCGGCCTCAGGCCTCAGGCCTGGACCGTGTCTTGGTCACTGGGTTCGGCCGCGTCCCGGCCGTTTGCGGCGGCGAGCGCGGCTCTTCCCCCCAGGCGCTTGCTCGCCATGCCTTCCCCTGCCTCCGCCCAACACTGTCTGCATCCTCGAAAATGTCTGTCGACCCCTCTGCTCGCCGGGTGTCTGTCGGGGTCAGCGCGTGCGGAAATGAGCAACACGCGGCGGCGACGAACGTGAGAGGTGCGTGAAGCGCCGCATGTCTCCGCGATGAGTCTGATTGTACGATGGACAGGATGGGCAGCGACCGCGCCCGTAATGCTGCATGCTGGCTGTCTTGAACGATCGCGAGGCCGCTGTGGCCCGGTTAGCAGAATGCCGGCAAGCACTGTCGAGGCTGCTCGATGTGTCGCTGCCGAGAACGTGTTCGCGAGCGTGCAGGCATGGATCGCGTAAGTGCTCCCCTTCCGCACACGTTTTTTCTGGCTCTAGCGACATCTTTGAAGGCGGCACCGAGAGAGAGCGTATCGACGAAGGGCTGTACTCCACGGAAACATACTCGCTGCACTGGATTACATCGCGTCTCAGCGAGTGAGTGATGGAGATGGCGGTTTCATCTGTGCCGTCATACTCTCATGGTGTCTTGGTGTCTTAGGATTCGTGACGTCTTTTTGGAGTATGACCGGTGACCAGCGAAGATCACCCTCGCAGGGACTGCAGCCTTCATACGCTTTCCATTGTGTTCTACGTGGAATATTCAGATTTCCACCGCGCGGAAGCACCGCATGCGAGTAGGCCATAGTTGTAACGGTGGTATTTTGAGTACTTACGAGCCATATCTTCAGAAGAATCGAGCGTTGTCAGCCCATGAGAACGTGTGACACAGCGTGCTCGGCTGACGCAACAGCAGCCAGCTAGTCCTGAGCAACAATGTTCATCCCTAACGTTCATGGGTGCGTGTTCTATCTTGTATCAACAGCCATCTGCTCAGTTCTGTGACATTCTCGCGCTCAGATTCTGAGGCTATGTGACGCACATGCGGCGTTTGGCTGTCATCGATTCCTCACAGACCCACAACCGTATTCCGTCGCCTTCGGCCGCCGCGAGGTCTGCGTCCTCCTATCGACACCATACATTTGTTTCGCTATCGGAAAGCAGATATCGGTACGATCTTTCTAGATTTTCGTGGTATCTGCGCCATGCTCATACACGTTCTTTGGTCAGAACATTACAAGATCGATAAATCCAAGCCCAGATACGATCCCTTCTCGGTGCCTAGAACATTTGCGAAGCTGTACGCGTCGAGCAGAGGGATGACTGCTCCATCGCTGCGTGACGCTTGGATTGTGGTTAATAGGGTCCCCTGTATGTACATGACATTCATATCGTATCCGGATTGAAGTCTAACGACTGTCTTAGCAAAGCCAGTGCATACCGCAGCGAGCAGGCCAGTTCGCCTCGTGTGCACATCCAGCCAGCGTCCATGTGAACTGGATGCGGGCGAGACTCATCGGCCATAATCAAGCTATGGCGGATATTTTCAACTCTCCGGCGTTCGGGTATACCCATGCTTCTCGATGACAGCACGAGGAAGCCGCCAGCGTACCTGCAGCTGCCATCGCGGGGCGCTTTTGAGCACCCTCAGCCCTGCCGCGAGCTCTCGGTGAACAAACGGCGAGCGCGACGAAGACCTCGGCTGTCCGAGCACATCGTTCTCCTTCAGCGCCCCAGGCTCTCTTATACGAACGCGGAGGGCCGCGTTGTATCAAGATACGAGGAAATGAAAACCACGTTCTCCGCCGGCGTCCACTCGATAAGTGTGGCCACCAATCGCGTGCGTGCAAAACCTCCGGCGTCACGCCTCCTGATCACTAACCTATACGCTTCAGACTGCTGGATCTGACAAAGAGACAGAGAACTGCGAAGTCCGCGGGAGCGGTCGGCGCCTTGCATCACCCTGCCGTCACCCCGTGAAGTACTTCCGCGGGCTTCTCGTTTCCACGCTGTGGCCCGCGGCTGTGGGAGGTCTGTCCCACCGATGGACACTTCAGACGATCGTCCACCCCAAGCTCGGCGAAACTGCAACGTGTCGATGAAGTTTGCTTCTCTCGAACGCAATCCGACAGGAGATGACAAACCGATTGTGGCGGCCATGGCCACTCCCAGGGCCGCGCACCTGAGTACGTCCGCCGCGCTATCATATGTTTCCCTGCTCAGGCAAAGTCTCCGCAACAGCTGGGAACTGTTAGTGCCCGTTCTCCATCGGAGTTCTTGACGTCTGTCGCTGCCGTCATCATTCACTTCCGCACCGCTCGCGGAGTCCAGTGCTGCAGCGTGTGCGCCCTAGTGCGATCTCGTCTGTCCTCGTCCAGCGATGCACGTACAAGGTTCCCAACTTGCCTCGAGGCGCCCCCAGGACGCGTCAGAAGCCCGCCCGCACAAGGTACGCCCGCGCCCGCGCCCGCCCTGTGTACCCCCTTGTCCGTAGAAGTGAGCTCATGGGCGCACGACTTTTGTCTCCCATAGCCGATGAGGTCATTACCGCATACGGGCCTCCCGCCGCCAGCGCGCGCAATCACCGCGCGCAGCCCGCCAGCCGCTGCAAGGCGGGCCCGGAGGCCTAGCCCCCGCTGCTACGTGTACCGCCTATCTATCCTCAGAACCTATCCGGTTCTCGCAACACGGCCTGCACTTCCCCCAACGCGCGCCCGCTCGAAGTTCCCAGTCGTGCGAATGCCCGTCCATCGCCGTGCTTCCGCTCCGTCTCCGTCTCCGTCTCCGCCTGCATGAGAGCGGGCGTTATCGCAGGCACCGGAGGACGCAAGGCACGGCCGAACGCACAAATCCTCATGGGAACAATGCCAGCAGACAGGGACGGGCGAGATGTCGCCAGGGCGCCGCGCCCGCGCGGGGAGGGCAAACTGCTGCTGCGCGCTTTGGGGGGAGGGGGGGGGCAAGCGGTCGGGGGGATCGGACATCTCGCGTACTCGCGCGTCCCAAGGCTCAATTGCCCAGAATCCAAAATTGCGCGCGCTGGCCCCCGACGCGAGCACCGAATCTGCATCTCGCTCGCCTTGCCGATTCGAGGGCACTTCCGTCCCGCGCTGTGGGCCGCGGTCCAGGCCGTCGCGGGTTATGGCATGGGCAATGGGGCATGGGCACGCTGCGCTCGAGACACCGTTTCCACTGCCCGCTGTGGGCGGGGATCGAGACCCCGGCGTCCCGCGTCCCCGAACGCGTGCGAGGTGCAGCGGGCGGTGGATCGTTGCCTCTGCGACGTGCTCCCGCGTCCGACGCCGTCGAATCGCCTGGGCTCCCCAGGCGGGCGGCTGCGTCCCCGTTTGCGTTCGGGCTCACGCAAGCTCGCTGTCGATTTTCGGGACGGCAGCGCAGATCGCCCCGTTCTGCGCGAGCCCTGGGACGCTTCTCGCCCGCACCGGCTTGCTGCGCGGTTATCGCAGTCCGTTCCCCAGCACGTCCGGGCGGCGCTTGGGCCCCGAGGCCTGAAGCGCGGGGCCTATGTCTGTGGGTACCTCCGTGCACGAGTCGCAGAAGCGCGAGGTCCGGGGGGTGAGGCGTGCGCGCACTCGGTGCTCAGGGCGGGGGCGGGGGCGAGGGCGGGGGACACCCTCTCGCGGGCAGAGACAGGGCGGGGGTGCGTGCTCGGCGCTCAGCGCTCTGGCCGGGGGGCGTCGGGGGGCGGGTCGGCAAGCACGCAAGAGGCAGGGCGGGCGCGGGGCAGGGGGCGTGCCTGCCAGAACGGGGCGGGCACGCTCCGGGCACGAGGCGGGCCGCGCGCTCTGTGAGCGTGCGGGGGTGCGGGCGGGCCGCGAATCAGACTTGTGCGGATTACCTCAACGGCCTGCTTGGACCACGGCGGATTATCGAATAATGAATAATCGGGATGCAGCGTAGACGGGCGGGGCGGGAGAGGTGCGTCGTCGAACACTCGCCGGCAAGATCGCTGCGACGTGGCTCGCGCAGTGGCTCGCACCGAAGCAGAAGCCCGATCCGAGGCGCGCCGCCGTGGCCGGGGACTCGGCGGGCGTCCGGTCTGATCATCGCTCGCGGATGGGGCGCAGTCCAGATCCCGTCGCTAGAACGCCTCTTCGCCCGGGCCACACAATCGCCTTTCCCGCCCACCCGTCCCCGGCCGAGTATAAAGCCCCCCGCGTGCTCGTCCTCTCCTCCCGCTGTCTCCAGCAACCGCTGCAGCTTCTCGCTCCGTTCGCAGTCCCCCATCGCGACCGCCCGTCTTCCCTGTCTATACTTGCCCGGCCCCCGTCGCCCCCATCACTGCCACGATCCAAGTCCTTAAAGTCCCCACTCCCACCACCAGTCCAGGTTCACCTCCAAACACACAGGCACGTGCATCGTTCGAAAATGCCTTCCTACCTCCGCAATCTCTTCGGTGGCTCGTCCTCCAAGTCTTCCCGCTCCAACTCGACTCCCGCACCCATTTACATCCCCACCTCTGGCCCGAGCTCTCCCGCCCCGCCCCAGATGCAGCGCACGCACAGTCACCAGGCGAGCGCCCCTTCCCCGCTTCGTTACACCACCGCCGACGACACCCGCACTCGCTACGGGTACGGCCGCGCCCCGGCCTCTCACCACGGCCACGGCAGCAGCCAGGCGTACGTCGAGTCCCGCCCTCGTCGCGCTAGCTTCAAAACCCCAGACACCCGTAAGTAGCAATCCGCCCTTCACTTCACTCCGTCTACGGTGCTAAAACGTGACGTGCCCAGCTCGCTCCGCGCTCTACACGCCTTCGGTCGGCTACACGACCCCTGGGAGCTCGCGGACGAACTCGGCCTCCTCTCTCTACCCCGCCGGCAGCCTCCCGCGCACACCGTCTTCTGAGCACGGCCACGGCTACAGCTCTCGCCCCCCGCTCAGCCACTCCAACCACACATGGCACCCTTCGGGCACCGTAGGGAGCTCCTCGTCTTGTAAGCCGCTCTCTCTCCGCTTCGCCCAGGTAGCGTCGGCTCACTCGCCGTCCTTCACAGACGGCTCCCGCGGCCGCGCCCGCACCTCCTCGCAGTCCTCGCTCATGCAGCAGACGCGGAGCACGACTCTGCACATGCACCCGCTCCTTGCGCACACCAAGCTGCACCGCGCCCCGATCCTCTACGACGTCTCCTTCACCCCCGGCGCGCGCACCGTCCTCGACCACGCCACGCGCTCCGCGATCCCCTCGCACACGCTCCAGCAGCCCGCGACGGACCCGCCGCTGCCCGCCGGCGCCCGCCTCGTCCTCCACTCGCACAAGTTCCCGTGGGCGGTGATCGTCACCTCCGCCGCGTCCCGCAACCACTCGCACTCGCCCGAGCCGCGCTCCCGCTCCCGCCCGCGCTTCACGATCGGCCACCCGCGCGACGCGAGCCGCGACCGCGAGGGCGCCGCGAACAGCATCTCGAACCTCGACGTGCTCTGCGCGGTGCACGCGACCCTGCTCGAGCCCGTCACGCCCGAGGAGTGGGAGGCGCTCGGCGCGGGGAGCAAGGCGCAGCAGAAGGTCACCGCCGCGTACCAGCGCCGGTGCACGCGCCAGGGCGGCGGCTGGGCGAACGGCGTGCTCCGCATCGACTGGCTCGGGGAGAAGACGTCGCTGATCGGCGTCGAGGTCGACAAGGCCGCGGGCCACGGCGGCGCCGGGAAGCTCGTCTTCGGCCGCCCGTGAGCGCGCGGCGCGTTCCCCTTCTCCCCTCTGCATCTCTTCTCTTGGCTTCTGACTCGCCGCGCGACGGACGCGCAGGCGGGCGGAAGGTGTGATAATACCTGGACTTCTGGATTCCTGGGCATATGGTACGTGTATTGGGTGCAGCCTCGGGGGCTGCACGGCGCAACCCCGAGTCTCGCCTCGGATCCCCCTCCCCTTCGCCCGCGCCGGTCTGCGACTGGCCAGTGCGTCCCTTCACTCCCCCTTTTCCCCGGCTCTCGTTGTGTAAACAGCTTACGACCGCACGACGCGCTTGTTGCGCACGCCCTCTTGATGATCGTTCACGACCGCATCTGTACTTTACCCCCACCTCATGCCGCATACCACCGTTCCGCGCCCGACGTGGACGTTGTACCATACCACGCCCCCTCGCGGCGCGCGCTTTCTGCCCTGTTTATAGTTTTACTTACCCCCCCACGCATGCACTTCCGCCTCGTAGCACCCCATATGTCTCGTCCTGGCGTAATACAGCCAGCTGTCTTATGCATCACATTTACAATATCCCGCCGTCCGCGCCCGCGCCAAACTGCAGCTCGTCCGCCCGTGTGCACCGCCAACGTCGTACGATCCAAGTACTTGGCCAGGTGGCAGGTACGGTACACTCCGCTTCGAGTCTCGAAGCCGGGCATGTGGAGCCCGAGGACGACTCGACGACGGATCGAGATTCGAGAGCAATGGGCAGCGCTGCCCTCGTCCTCGTCCCCCGCGCCCCCATCGCACGATGCGCATCTCGAACGATCAGGCCTGCTCGGTCTCACAACTCCTCTCCGCAAGCCTCGAGACTCGAGAGCACGCGTGCGGTACGTGGCTGGCCAGGCCCGGGCGGAGCGGCGGTGCGTAAGATCCCGGGGCGCGCGGCGGCGGGTGATCCACGTTTCTGGGGGAGGCCGATGCGATTCGGGGGTCCGACGCCCGACCGCGGCCAGCTAACTTAGAGTAACGTACTTAGGACTGTTCCGGGGCACGTTGCGGTGTGCGTTGGGGAGACTGATGCGGACTAGTCGGGCCTTGGATCTCGGTCCGTGGACCAGAGAAAGGCGTGTGCGTCCCGTCGACGTCACAGCCGGTATGCAGTATGTCCTCGCGCGCTGGCCCGAGCGCAGGGTCGCGCAGCGTGGCTTCGTCGACAGGGCGGGTGTCGTGGTGAAGTCATCGCGCGGTGGAACGCAAGGTCCGGACGAGAGCAGGATAACTGGGCCCGCGCAGAGTGAGACCGAGGCGGACACATCAATTCATTCGTGCCAGCCTCGCGTGCCAGCGTCGTGGCCCTCCCTCGACGTCGAGGCATTCCAGAAGGCCGCGGCAGCCTGATGGGAAATGCCTCGCACGCGAGTCGCGAGCCTCGAGCCTCGAGCCCTGGGGTGCGGTGGGTCGCCTTTCTCGGACATAGCAGCGCGGTATTTCCGCGCTGCGCCGCGCGCCGCGACGCTACGCGAGCCTGCGTCCCGGAGCCGACGCCCGCGCCCTGGTCGTCGGCGAGCGCGTCGAGTGCTTTCTAATCTCGTCGAACAGGGCGGAGACTGGAGGGCGCTGCTCCGCCGGGGTCTCTGTCGCTCGCACCGCCGTTCCGTCTGGGATCAAACCAACAGGGCACCGATGTGGGGGAGCAAGTCATCGTTCTGCCTCGCGGACGCGGAGGCTTCCTCTAGAGTCAGAGCGACCAGGGCGGGGGTTCTGCGCGGCCGTGACAAGCGACGCGACGCGACGCACCCGACCCCGTGTCGCGAAAGTGGGGTCGCAATCCCCCGTCGGGAGCACGGGCGTCGCCGGGGAGACCCGCCCGCTCGCCCGCTCGCCCACCCGCGGGGAACTTCCGGCGCGCCGCACGCATGCCCGACTTAGCGAGCGCGACAGAACACGACACGTGGAGGGGGGCACGCTCGTGCCCGCGATCCATTGTCACCGCGAGGTCGTGCTTTACGAGAGTGCGGTCGCTGGTCCCGGGAGGCTCGTCGGCAGAGCGGGACGCGGGGACGCGGGGCATGGCGAGAAGCAGCGACCCAGCGGGAGAACGTCCGTCCGCACCGAGTCCGCCGAGCGCATTGCGCATTCGCGAGCGGACGCCGTGGGCCTGTGGTGCAAGGCCTGGATGTGCGGGGCGTTCTCGTAATTCGGGAGTAGGGCAGTGTGTGTTCAGCTGGACTCTAGACCTCCGCCGGCACCCGCAGAACTCAAGCGGGCTCCACTGTCCAGGCCACCACGCACCTGCAGGACGCGCAGCGGAAGATCGCGCTGCCTATGCTACACGAAGTACAGCCTCGTCCGGAGATAACTTGCGTCTGCGAACATCATGGTTGGCGCGCTCTCGGGAGTCGGGTGTGTGAATACCAGCAGAGAAGGCGTTGTACTTCATAGCCAACGCCCTTGAACCTACAGCACCGTTGTGCGTGTGCCCTTTCCGAGTCCAGCCGGAACACCAGAACACAAAATAAGTTCGCGCAGTCGAGACCCTGCTTCGGCGGCAAGTGTCCCGAAAGTCCAATAATCCGACAACAGCTTTTCCAGACCCCCCGCCGTGCCGTGATAAACGCCTGTTTCCCGCTAAAGACGACTCAACGCCCTCTTTGACAAAGTTCCGTCTGTAACCACATGCTAACAGGAACCAACAATGGGGTTCCACTCCACGTTCCCGGAAGACGCCCCCTGCAAGGCCAGCTGACCCCGCCTTCTGCACTGAACTTTCGCGGGCGAGCGATCGGTCGAAGAGCGCCACGACCGTTCTCAGGCTTGTCGTCGACGCGAGTGCGTGCGGCGTGGCCTCTCCAGAGGGTCGGGACATGAACTGCGCGGAAGGCGAGTCCGCCCGCCGTCTCGTGCATGCGCCGATTAAGAGGCACCGCACGAGGCGGCGGGCGGGCGCGGGTGTCAAAGAGGGCGCGACTGCACAGGGACGAGGTGCTTGGCGATCGCGCGAGGCGGTACGGCAACGGCGAGAGCGTGACGGCCATCGCCGCACACTTCGGTCCGACGGCGCAGCGAGGCTTTGGGAAGGCGTTTGAGGGTCGCGCGGCGGGAGAAGACGAAGGGCACATGAACGTCGGATGTGTGTGTTCGGGGGACCGGGAGATGCACCGACGGAGCAGATCTCGGCTAGAGACGTGCTCTGTGGGCGATCGTCATCCGTGTCATGTGTGCGAGAAGATGTCCGTCGTGGCAGCTGGCGGTTATGACTGCCAAGACGGACGTGATCCGTCTCTACGCATGCCATATTCGTCACTTGAGGCAGTATTGCGCATGCAAGATGCGATACGGCCATGACAGACGGGATTCAGTTTGGCTCGTCCCAGGGGCCCGCCCTTGCGATGTGGTCGCTTGCCGAGGCCTACTATCCACATCGCATGTCTTTGCACCTCAAGCATGCATCAAAGCACATTAGGCGACGAGAAGTGGATCACCGCACCTGTGACCGCTCTTTGGGTCCACACATGAACATGTGCATGTCGTAGATCAGGAAGTTTTGAAGTTTGAAGAACACGACACCGGCGGGTTAGTAGCGCCGGTGAATGCTCAACGTTCGACTCCCTGTTTACCTGTGAGAGGGGTGAGAGGGGTTAGCCGCTAGAGTGAGCAAGAACAAGTTGTTACCGACATAACTTAAGTCAAGGTCACCGTGGTTGCTCTTCGAGAGTCGAAACAAGTGACGCGTCGATGTCGCCACGAATGAGCGTCAAAAACATGCCAACCTTCCTGGACGTTGGTTCGAACCTCGATCTCCGTAACAGTTTCTTGTAACTTTACATCGCGGCCGCAGCGAGCACGACATTGCGTACTTGCACCGCGAATAAGTCTACCAAATTTAGCAATTTAATTGCGCCTGCACTGAAATATTAAGGCGAGTTCGTCCAATCCATCGACAATAATTGGCGTCGCCCGCCACTACGAATGGATTTCATTCAACAGAGTGGGCCGGGGAGAGAGGGAGAGGGACCTCGGGCGCGCCGTCAGCACAACTAAGCGCACTGAGCGTGCGCATGTAGCGACACCTGTCGGAATAGAACTCTGTGTCTCTGTCATCAGCGTATGCTCATAACGCAGAGTAGAACGTACCGTCAAAACTCATGCTCGCGTCAAAGCCTTCGCTCTCGACCATGTCTCGGGCTCTCTCCCCGTCCTCTCTCCAGATTTCCACCATCTTCGCTGGCGCCGCCTGTCTGTCAACGATCCACCACCTTTGCTCCCGGGTCATGTTCGTCTCGCCCATCTCTCTCAGCGTCTTCCTCGCTTCTGACTCTTCGAGGTCGACCAGATCTTTCTTATTGAAGCCTTCCCATCCCTTCTTTCCCCGGTCCGGATGCAGCGCGGGGAGACACGTCCCCACGCCAAGAACGCGCAACGTCGGAATCGCGTCCACGAGCTGACCTGGAAGCGAGTGGAGCATCCTGAGGCGGTCCACGTCGCTCTCCACAACGTCCGCGACCCAGCGTAGCACTGGAACCCCTGGCGGGCAGAGCCGAATGTCGTACGCTCGCCACCACTCCATGCGCGGAGCGTCCAAGTGAAAGGAGTACAAGCGCAGAGAGCTGAGCGCGGTGGGGAGCGTGGCCTGTGCGCACATGCCGGGTTAGTTCGAGTGCGCGTATCGGTGAGCGACGGGGACGTACCGCGACGATCGCGTAGTTTGGACCTTGGCTCAAGTCGTAGGAAGTGAGGCGCAAATTCAAGGATCGCAGTGCCGTGTATCCCGTTCCCAAATCCTTCCAGAAGTTGCCGCCGGGATGCGTTTTGGATCCCTCGGGCAAGGGCATGACGAGATAAAGGGTGAGTGCACGCGTGAGTACATCTTGGATGAGCGTAATAAGGGCTTCATGCGCCATTTGGTCCGGACATAGGTTTTGCGAGGACACGGTGATCCTGTAGTCGGCGCCTACGTGTAAATGCTGGACGCGGAAACCGGTAGAGTCGATGATGCTGAGGTCGATCCAGCCTGGCAAATGGAGCTCTTGTAGCGAAGGCCACACAGGGGCGTCGGAGGGATGGACGTGGCCGCGTACGCGCAAGGGACGTGAAATTTGAAGGCTAGAGAGATGAGGGAAGTACTGAAGGCCACTCCACAGGAAAACGGAAGGGAGGGTTGATATAACCCTGAGATGCTGAAGACGGGGGAGCGGCGGGACAGGTGTGTCCAGATCTGATCCGGTGATCCAGGCTTCCCATCCCTCGAGGGGCTCTAGCGCACGTAGTTCATGAGAGGCTGATAAAGAAGACAAGAGCTGAGTGATTGTGAATGTCTGGTCCGGTGCCTTTTTTGAGATGAAACGAAGCTTGAGGGTGCTGAGTTTGCCGGCGCGAATCGAGGAGAGCACCTGCAGGGTCCGCTTGCCAATATCCAAGAGAGTTAAATGGGTAAGTTGTAACATAGCCTTCAGCGCCGAGAAAGCCCGTTCGTCCGCCGAAAAAATGCTATCCACTTCGGTAAGCTGCAGAGTGTGCATCTTCCGGGCGTTCAGAAGATGGCCGACGAGAATGGAGTACAGAGACCGGTCGATCCCGTTGAGGCTTAGTCTCCTCAGGAAACTGGATCTGTTGGTGTTGGAGTTTTCAGGTTGATGAAGGGTCCTTATGATCTTGGTGGACATCGGCCAGTACCCTTCCCGAGCTGAGAATGCTAATGGATAGGCCAGAGTGTAGAACTGTGACGAGCAGAGAGCGGCATGAAAAGCATCTTTTCCTGATAGATAGGAAAGGATTGCTTCCAAGACGTCAACGTTGAGCTCGACGGGTGTCATGGCCAGAGCTGAAGCGTATGGTTCGTAGGCTAGAGCAACAGCGACTCCGAGATAATCAACGCAATAAGCGCCCAAACGTGCCCACGTGTCAAACAACCTGGACTCTCCGGTTCGAGTCCCGCTCTCCGTATCTTATTCTCGTCTCTTCCAACGGCACTATCACTCTGTCTGTACAGACAGGCACCTTGGGGATGTGGACTGCGGGGGGCTATCTGTTGTTCGAATCTAAGAGTCGTCGCCGATTGCGTGGGGGATTGTATCACCAGCAAACACACGCCTCTAGATCTGTCGTCTCCCACAGAACGTTGGAAAAACACGTGAATGTCCGTCGCCGTCGCAATTGGTCATAAGGCGAGCTCCCGGTCTGGTGATCCTGTCGCCCATACACTCAACAAAGCGCAGATGTTAGCCATATGCGCTCAGCGCCTACAAACGTACGTACACTGGCGTTCAAGTCGCACGCCGCTATACTGCAGGCGCCTACGAGACAGCCGGGCGATTGACGTTGGGGCTCGCGCCTTCGCGCAACATGTCCAGTCTCTCAAGACGAGAGCCATGCTATATATGCTGAAGCGCATATACGGAAGATGAGATGATAGCAGTGAACACAGCTCCAGCCCCAGCTGGTTCGAGTTTGTCACTGGGTCACTACTAAGGTCACCCGACAATGCCTTTCCCACGACGTGTCAGAGCAAGCGCCACCCCGACTGCAGGTTGGCTTGCAAACACCAGCTCTCCTCTTCTCCCTACGTCGACCCGCAGTGACAATTCTCCCATGTAGCACTCAACTCTTAAAACGTGAGTGTTTTTAAGGGGCATCATAGCGAATATAGAGCTGGTGTCAATCAGCTTGCACTCCACAGTTTGTTGAGACACCGAGCCCGACAGACTCCCGATGTCGGTCGGAGCTCCACGAGGGAAACCGCCGTCTCATGTGCGAGTTATATTTGCATCCGTTGAGGCCGCATAGGGAAACCGTGCTTCAAGAGCGTTTGGGGAAGCCTGAGGTCATAGCGCGTCTAGCGAGCGACCTTGTCCTCTTATCCCCACGTCCTGTTTCTCGTTGATACTTCGCGTGACTATGTCCCAGGTTTCTCGACGACCAGGTCTCTCCCAGATTTCCTTGATATTCGCGTACGTTGTTTCGACAAGATTTCTCGAGGGGAGTTCTGTGCTCACACTCTGACACCTCACCAGGTGCGGGACGGCCCTGTTTTCCGATGGTTAGCCGCCATGTCGATGCCCAGCCTCACGGAGACTAATTTCAGTGAACAACAGGATACGCTAACGGTGTCATTGGTCTTGGTATGTAGTTTCTCTAAGTTGCCTTAACAATTCCGGCTGATTGTACTGTCGAGGCAGTCAATACTCGTACGTCTGCCTGTGGAGTACCTGTTTAGAAAGCTAACATTTCAGTGCCTTATTGCAGTGCTCCTGCGCATATATGGACCAGAGCAAGTCACTTCCAACTACAGCAGCACGATCCTCAGCGTCACGTTCGCGGGAACCATCTTCGGAATGCTCACATTCGGATACTTGTCAGACAGGCTGGGTAGGAAGTTTGGAATGGTGCGTCATTTCCGATCCCAACACCGCGCCGGGGCGATATGATATCCGCACATGCACAGATGACAGCGACGGGAATCGTCGCCTTCTTCTCCCTCCTCTCCGCCGCATCCAGCGGCGCACACCATAGCGTCCGCGGGCTACTCGACATGCTCTCTTTTTGCAGGTAAGTCATCGTCATAACAAAGTCCTGGTATCGTGATAGATTGTGTCACTCAGATTCTTCCTCGGGATTGGAGTCGGCGCGGAGTACCCATGCGGATCTGTTGCAGCCTCGGAGCAATCGGAGGAGCCTGGTATCGACAAGAACGCTCAACATCGATGGTTCGCTTTGGCTACGAGTACGTACCTCTGGTTTCTTCATACATTTGAGACATGAAGAGGCTGAAAATGGGTGCATACACCTTGCCCAGACACGATGATCGACTTCGGTTTCGTCATATCAGCAGTTGTTCCTCTCATCCTCGTCCTCATTTTCGGCGAGAATCACCTCCGGGCCGTATGGAGGATATCCCTTGGTCTTGGTTTTATCCCTGCTATGTGCGTGTTTTTGTGGCGTCTTCGTATGGAAGAGCCCACGCGCTTCAAGAAGGACTCGATGAGGAACGCGAAGGTCCCATATATGCTCATTTTGAAGCGCTACTGGGCGAGCCTGGCCGCCATATCCGCGACGTGGTTCATTTACGACTTCATAACGTATGTTTACAGCTTCACCGTCATTGCATCGTTACTAAAAACAACCCATAAAGGTACCCCGTGAGCCCTCTTCGCTGAGGTCCTATCAAACGGGTTCTGACGTCCAGTCGTAGTTTGGGCTGTATAGTTCCACCGTTACGAACATGTAAGTCATTAGCTTCTCGGAGTTTCGGAATCAAGTTTCATAGGTCGATTTCCCAGTATTACAGGGTCGGACGCTACGCTTGTAGTCGTCTTTGGTTGGGCGGTGGTCATCAAGTGAGTTAGGTAGTACACTGGATCGAATTCCTATATTAAATCCATCCACAGCTTGTTCAACATCCCGGGAACCGTCATCGGCGCCTTCGTAGTCGACTTCCTCGGTCCCAAGTACACGATGGTACTCTCCACCCCACTTCTCTCGCTCACAATGGCTCACATCGACGTCGCTTCCAGATCACAGGCCTGCTTTGTCAAGCCACCATCGGCTTCATCATGAGCGGACTCTACTCCAAGCTCGTCTCGCACATCGCGGCCTTCGCCGTAAGTACCTCTTCCCATCGCCTCCTTCCTCCTCGCCACAGACTGATTCGCACAATACGACTCAGGTCGTCTACGGCGTGTTCCTGAGCTTCGGCGAGTTCGGCCCCGGGAACTGCCTCGGCATGCTCGCCGCCAAGTCCGGGCCCACCGCCGTCCGCGGCCAGTTCTACGGCATCGCCGCCGCGATGGGCAAGGTCGGCGCGTTCGCCGGGACGTGGGGTGCGCTCCTCGAACTCGTCTCGCTACAATGCCCACTCTGACGCGCGCGCGACGGCCGGTCGACAGCGTTCCGGAGCATCGTGGACGCTTTCGCGAAGGCGCACCCGGACGACCCCACGATTGGCCAGACGGGCCCGTTCTGGATCGGCTCGGGGCTCGCGGTCCTGAGCGCGGCGATCACGTTCTTCTTCGTGCGCCCGCTCTCGCACGACGGCATGGAGAGGGAGGATCGCGAGGTGGGTGCTCCGTTGTGCGAGGGCAAGTCCGTGGGCTGACGCTGTGTGCGTAGTTCCGTTCGTACCTCGAGGCGAACGGGTATGATACCACGCAGATGGGGCTGCGCGGGGAGACGGAGACCGTCGACTCGTCTGCTGGCGACGAGAAGCCGGAAGGCGCGTGATTCGTGAATGTGGCGTGAGGGAAGGATGTTTCTTGATGGCTCGCGCGAGAGGTGCAGAGTAATAGGTGTATTCAGGAGATGGTGGATACTAGTACATTGTGGATTAGCTACTGTTATACAGACGACGAGTTCGACTATACAGAGTGGTGGTCGACGAGAGCAGAGGAAAGCGAGCATGGAAAAGAAGGGGGAGGAGGGGAAGGGAAGGGAGAGGAGAAGGGGTTGGACGATAGCAAGGGAAAATACGACGCATCGAGAGCAAGTTTAGGATAAGTTAGGAACATTGGTTTTGTCGCTTTGAGGGATCGCCTCGAGAAACGAAGGCAGGTCCTCAGTGTAGCGCAAAGCACCATCCTCTGGGCGGCGTTGAAAGCTCAGTGCCAAGCGCGCGCCGAAGAGGACCTGCTCTTCGGGCCAGAGGAGGTCGTGTCGCGTGCCACGACCAGCGTAGTTTGGGCGGTGGCCGAGGGGTGTTCAGTAGAGGAAGCAGTCGGCATGTGCGATGCCATTGGCGACCCCCCTGAACACAAGATGGTCGAAGCTATACGAGGCGACGCGGGAGTCCCGCAGGGCAGCCCCGAGAGCTTCATAGACGTCGGAGAGGGTGATGAAGCCTCCTTTGGAAGGTGCGACCTGCACCGACACGGGGCCAAGGCTGAGCACGAGCAGCGTGACGTGGTGGTTCACCGCACGCTGCGAAGCGATGCTCAGGCTCAAGTGTGCGCCACATCGAACATCGAATGTCGACCGGGAACTGAGCATGGGGTGGAGATCCGCGGGAAGCCGGCCGCTCATTTTCATAGGGCTATCGGGCGGAGTCAAGAGGCCATCTATAAAGGACGCGAGGTTGAGAGTCAGCGAACTGTTGCGCCGGGGCGTGACAATAAATGGCCGAGGTCGCATATACGTACGGGGTGTCTGCGGCATCAAGTACGGCGCGTAGGCGTTGGCGCCGGTCGGAGGCGCCGGTTTAGTGGTGTACGGGAGACTAACGGGCACCATCCGAGGGGCTGCTGGTAACACCGGAGAGGACCGAGAGGATGTGTTGGACGAAATGCTGCGGATTGAATCCGGCGAATTCAGGTACATCTTGATATATGAGAGGGGTGGGGGAGGCCTTGGAGGGCGGTGACAATGGACGGGTCACACTTCGGAGGGTAGCGGGGGACGGCGGGATAGACGGCGGGGGAGGCGGGCGGGGAGGCTGCGGGGCGCAGTTGGGAGTCACATCGAGCTTGTCTGGGGGTTTATATCAACGTTGTGTTTGTACACCAGCTTTGCATCCCGACGCGCGCCCCCGACGCGCGTCGGGCGGGCGTCGGGGGGCGGGGGGCGGGCATTGAGTCACATCATGATGGAAGCGGTCATGCGGTCTGCGCGCCAGTGCGCAACCTGCCTTATCAGGACGATCGCGCCCTGCCCCCGACCTGCCCCCGACAAGACCTTCCTGATCAAGGGCGATAGCGCCCCCCGACGATCCCTAATAAGGGCATGGGCCGCCCTCTGCCCTGTGTGCGTGTGGATCTCCGCACAAACGTGCCCTGCGGGCGTGCAAATAGAACGCACCATTCCACTGCTTTGTGGTCGGGATTGCCTGTAACGGTAACGCCGCGCCCGCCGCCGCCCGCCTTGAATCGGCGGCCATCTAGGGAAGCCCGCCCGCCCCGCCGCCGTTCTCGCCGCCGTTCCCGCCATCGGAGCGCCACCCCGCGATAACGGCGGAGTACCGGCGCGCGTACCGTTTATCGTGTGGCCGTCACGACGCAACGTACGGGTTCACCGAGAGACGCGTCACAAGTGAGGAAATACTGTTCGTGTAGCCTCGTCACGTAGGGGGCCTTTTTGTGGGTGGTGGGGTGCATGTTTGCAACGTAGGAGAGGAAAAGGGGAGATGAAGGTCGAAGGCAAAGAGGTTGTTTATGAAGGAATCTGGAGCTTTGAATAAATTTGGCACTTGATGAAGTTGGTTGTATTCGTGAGAGAATGACTTCGCGAAGGATACCTGCGCATTGCGACCGCGTATACTACGGTCACCTCTTTCCCCCGTTTCCCCGTCCTCCCTCCTATTCCCCGGCTTGTAGTCCTCTCAGAAAATTGTACGAGGCGACAAGACACGTCGACGCGGATGTTTGGAAGCCGCAGATGCTGCGAAAACTCCAGCCCGGATCATCTCGATCACTGCATGTTTCCGCTCCCTCGCTCGCCCTCAAGCAACTTCCTTTACGACGACCGGCCCCGCGCTTCAAACAGAACGGAGAGAGGGGAACGCAGCAGACAGACGAGGACAGGAGGGAGGATGATGCGCAGGAGCACGTTGCCGCTCCAGGTACGTCGCCAACCCCCACACCTCGCGCTTGCGCTCAGCGATGTTCCAGTCGTCAGGCGGAACGAGCTCGGCGTGCAGCTCCTCTCGCGCCAACTGCACGGGCAACTTTCCGAAACACCTCTCTGGATCGCCCACCTCTCGCGTTCGTCAATATCGCGCGAGACACCTCAAAACGCACGGCCTTGACCCCGCACAAGGCTCGAAATTGCCCGACATCGGGTTCACCCTCCCTCCGCTTCAGGGGCAAAACCTCGATGAGCACTTCCACCGCATTGGTAATGCCGCCGCCCAACCATGGCTCTCGTTCGCGCAGGATCTATCCACGGCGCGACTGCCCCCCAAGCCCGAGTGCTGGGACATCCAGGCCGGATGGACCGGTACATGTTTCTCCCCGACGGGTCGAGCTACAGCGAGGCGGTCGCATTTCCGGAGTTTGACGGCAAGCCCGAGGACATGCTCGTGTTCGACATCGAAACCCTACCCGCGTACCACGACCATGCCATCATGGCGTGCGCAGCGACGAAGAACGCATGGTATGCCTGGATATCCCCCTGGCTCCTCGGCGAGACACAGGACCCGCAACAGCTCATCCCCTTTGGGGACCCCGCTGTGCACGCGTCGTCGTCGGCCATAACGTATCCTTTGATCGCAAGAGGGTCCGTGAGGAGTACCACGTCGCCGGCACGCAGACGCGCTTCCTGGACACGATGGCCCTCCATGTCGCGGTGAAGGGGATCTCGTCGCATCAGCGCCCGGCGTGGAAGAAGTACCGAAAGTCGAAGGACGAGGCTCGTGCACAGCTCGACGAGGCTGTCGATGCAGTCTACGACCATATACAGGAGGCGGATGAGCGACTGGAGGTGGAGACCGACCCCATCAAACGCGCCGACATGGAGCGCCTCAAACGGCGCCTCTCCGAAGGACTGGAGAGCAGCCAGACAACGGTGGATACAGACCTGAATATGGAGGAAGAAGGAGCAGAAAAACGTTGGGAGGCACTCGCGTCGGCCAACTCTCTCCGCGACGTCGCAAGGTTGCATTGCGGCATCGAGATGGATAAGGAAGTGCGCAACGACTTCCTCACGTCAACGCGCGAAGAAATCTGTGACGGTCTACCATCCTACCTCGACTACTGCGCGAACGACGTCAACGTGACACACGCCGTTTACTGCGTTGTTCTCCCGGCGTTCCTGTCGGCGTGCCCGAGCCCTGTCTCGTTCGCCGGCGCGTTGGCCATGGGCTCCAGCCTGCTCACTGTCAACGAGGAGTGGGAACGCTACCTGGAGAACGCAGAACGTACCTACAGGCAACTCGACGAAAAGATCAAGGCGCGTCTAATCGACCTGGCCGTCGAAGCAAGGGGCATGATGGAGAGCGGGTCATGGAAGGACGACGTGTGGTTGAGGCAACTGGACTGGACACGAAGGTCGCGGGCAAGTCGCGTGGTGTGGGCCCAACGAGGTGCGTGCATTCCATCTATGATCGCATGCATATATCCTTACTTTCACGCCTAGGTCACGTCCGCTTCTCCCTGGACACCCGTCAACCGGTGGATGACTCTCCTGAGGTACGCATCTCGCATGAATATATACGCATGTGTCCATATCGTCATCCGCAGATGACGTCCCTCCTTCTCTGGAGACGATCCCTGCCCCGGAGGAACTGTACAGGAGACGCCGTCCATCCACTTTGGTACGACGCAGTCATCGCAGACCCCTTCACCCGTACTGTGGTCAACAACATCCTCCCGCTCCTCCTTCAAGTATCTTACAATGATCACCCGATGCGCCGAGCCCCTTCTCACGGCTGGCACTATGTGGACAACGGAGAAATCATCAAGCCATCCACTTGCACAAGCAACAAGATCCTCTCCATACTTTCGGAGCCCACGGCACCACGCCCTCGCCAACGGTCATCTCACATCCGTCGACGACGAGGTGGTCCGTCAATTTGTAGCGGCAAGATTGACGACAAGACCAGAGACAAGATTGTACAGCTCGCCGACACGGCTCTGCAGCGGTCACCGGAGGATATTGCGGCGGATCCCTGGCTCAGCCAGCTCGATTGGAGTATCCAACCACCAAGAGCCAGAGTAGGGCTACGGCAAAGCGTGAGCCGAAGATGGACAAGGTGTATTGGCCGAAGTGGTACTGGGACCTCGCGAGTCCAAAGAAAGGTTGCGTCCCGGGACACTCGACCTGACCGTGCGGAACCGATTCGCGCCCATCCTCCTTCGGCTGTCCTGGCAGGGCTGGCCACTCGTTCATTCGCGCCAGCACGGTTGGACATTCCGTGTCCCCAAGATGGCGGATTTCCAGACACGCGCGACGGCGCTGACCTTCGACAAGGAACCAGATGCTACGCTTTACAACAGCACTGCACACTTCACCTTCTACAAGCTGCCACACAAGGACGGCGATTCGGCGAATGTCGGATCCCCACTCGCGAAGACGTTCATGAGGTACGCGCAGGACGGGACGCTCGCTAGTCCATTCAAGGAGGCCGCGACGCCCTCGACATGAACGCGCAGTGTTCGTACTGGATCTCGTCTCGTGACCGGTCATGAAGCAGATGGTTGTCTGGCAAGACTCGACAAGACTTCACTCGGGCTTCCTTCTCCCGCTGCAGACAAGAAGTGGGGCGTCATCCTCCCTCAGGTACTCACGATGGGCACCATCACCCGCCGTGCGATCGAGAAGACTTGGTGACGGCCAGCAACGCCAAGAAGAACCGCGTGGGTCCGAGCTCAAGGCGATGGTCCGCGCGCCCCCAGGATACGCCATCGTCGGCGCTGACGTCGACTCGGAGGAGCTCTGGATTTCCAGCGTTATGGGCGAGCGCAGTTCGGCTCCACGGCGCGACGGCCATCGGTGGATGACGCTCGAGGGCACGAAAGCGGCCGGCACGGACTTGCATTCGAAGACGGCGAGCATCCTCGGAATCACACGCGACTCGGCGAAGGTGTTTAACTACTCGCGGATCTACGGCGCGGGTATGCGTCACGCCGTTCTCTTGCTCCTCCAGGACAGCCCGGGGATGTTTCCAGAGAAGGCGGAGGAACTGGCGAAGAACCTATACGCGTCGACGAAGGGCAAGACTTGGCACCGCAAGGGTCTCTTCGGACGGAAGTTTTGGTTCGGCGGCAGCGAATCCTTCGTCTTCAATAAGCTAGAAGAGATCGCCCTTTCCAGTCGTCCCCAGACCCCAGCCCTCGGCTGCGGGATCACGGACGCGCTGTCAAAGGAGAACCTGCCCAACAAGTTTGGTTCGGACTACATGACCTCGCGCATCAACTGGGTCGTGCAGTCCTCCGGCGTCGACTACCTCCACCTGCTCATCGTCGCGATGCAGCACCTGCTCGCCAAGTACTCCATCGACGCCCGCTACCTCATCTCCGTCCACGACGAGCTCCGCTACCTCGTCAAGGAAGAGGACCGCTTCCGCGCCGCGCTCGCGCTCCAGATCGCGAACCTCTGGACGCGCTCGCTCTTCGCGTACCGCCTCGGGATGGCCGACCTCCCGCAGGGCGTCGCGTTCTTCTCCGCCGTCGACGTCGACCACGTCCTCCGCAAGGAGGTCGACATGCCCTGCGTCACGCCCTCGCAGCCGCACCCGATCCCCCCCGGCGAGAGCCTCGACATCGCGGCGACGCTCGCGCGCACGAACGGCGGCTCGCTCTGGCCGGACGGCCGGCCGATGCGCGAGGACGACGGGATCCCGCTCGAAGGCACCCTCGCGGCTATGTCCCGCCGCAGCGGCTCGTGCACCGTGCGTCGAGCGTGGCCTGGCTCAAGGCGCAGGCGTTGACGGACCCGGAGGAGGTCCGCAGTCTCTCGCAGGCGACCAAAGCTGCTGCGAAGACCTCGAAGACCACCGAGGTCTCGAAGACCGCCAATACCAGGAAGCCGCTGGCACCGCGCAAGGCATCCGCCAAGAGACCGAGCTCGGAGAGCATGTCTCATGAAGAGTGGAAGGCGCAGACTGAGGCGTTCGCAGAGATGCTTTCGAGGCCGCTGAAGAAGCGGACCGTGTAAGTTATGTCGCTATCGTATGCTCGCTTTGGATACTCTAGTACACACTATTGTACAATATCATTCGTTGTAATCTCACACTCTGGTAATCTGGATATCATGCTGGAACAATGCGCGTGCAATGCAGCTGGCGAACTACCACCCAGAGGAGCTACGCGACCTCCATGTCCTTCATCGCGGCCTCGTATCCTTGAGACAGCCCGTGTTCTGGATCGCAGAGGGTATGAGGGGACGCAAGAGACGGAGCAAAGCGCGTAGTGCTTACCGAACTCCCACAAGCTCTTCTCGCTGTTCCCGCGCCTCGCAACATGCTCCGCCGCCCTCCGCTTGAACCACGGGCCCTTGAAGCCAAGCTCCTGCCCATGCTGGTTTGCGAGGCCGGGAAGGCAGGTAGAGACGAACATGACAGCGTCGTCCCATCCGATCGAGAAGCCTTCATAGAGCTGCTGATGATCGTAGTTCCCCGGGTACTGCGACCAGTACGCTTTGTGTCGCTCTGCACGAGACGGGGTTGAGGTCAACCAGTGCAGCACCTACACGAGAGACGACGTACCCAGCGCCTCGTCCCGCACCCCCGCCTTTCTCTCCTCCCTGCCCGCCGCCCGCCGCCCGACGTCGTACGCCGTCCGGCCCAAGCCCGGCGGGAACACCCCCGCGTCCAGCGCGTCGCGGAACGACCACCCCGTGTCGCCCCCGCGCTCCTTCTTGTACGTCCAGAAGAACCACCCGGCGCACGTCGCCTCGAACAGCGCGAGCTGCGCTTCCACGTACTCGCGCTTCGCCGCCCTCTCCTCCGCCTGCCCGCCCGCACCGCGCAGCGAGCCCGGGTTCAGCGCCGCAGACCACTCGCCGACGACGAGCGCCGCGCCGGCGCCCTGGAGCACGCCCGCGGCGCGCGCGAACGTCTGCGGTGTGCCGGTGCCCCAGTCGCGCAGGCGGCGGGCGTGCTCGGCCGCGGGGGTACCGATGTCCTCGTGGGTGAAGCAGCGGTAGAGGTGGTGGTCGAGCGCGAGGGCGGGCGTGCCCGCGTGCTGCACGAACGCGGCGTAGTTGTCCGGCTGCCAGCAGTCGCCGATGTACAGCGGCAGGTCGGGATCGACGGCGCGGAGGGCGCGGAAGGTGGCGAGGTACCAGTCTTTGAGGGCGTCGGCGTGGCCATTCGGGTGCGGTTCGTTGAGGAGCTCGATCCCGACGAGGTTGGGGAGGGGTGGGTTGTGTGAACGGGCGAAGGAGAGGAGTGGGAGAGGAAGGTCGCAAGGACGTGGGTGGTGTGGGCTCTGTGCTTGTGGTTGTCGAAGAAGGCGGGAGGATTCGAAGTGCCCGAGTGGGAGTCGTTGTTCTGCTTCCAGGCGCAGCATGCAAGTCTGCGAGAAAGGGTTCGATGAGGGGAGATTAGAGAGCGAGTATATGCTGACTTACCGAAGAGGACACCTATCCCGTATCGGTAGGCCGTCTCTAACGCACTAATAACTCTGCTCCAAGCGTTTTGAAACACTGCACCGTGGTCGGAGAAGTCGGTGCCGGAGATCAAGCTCGCATCGGCGCCGCATATGTGATAGTAACCTATCTGAGGATGAGGGTAAGCCGCATGTATGCGCAACGCCACGAAGAGAAGAAATCGGAGTCCAAGCAAGAGGCAAAGCAGAAAGGAGACGATGCAGAGCAGGTTTGGAGAGAAGAAACAGGTTTGTGGTCGGAAAACGGATATTCAAGGGAAAAGTGGGTTGAACAAAGAGGTACGGTGGACATACCGGTATGCGGACGGTGTTGATACCCTTCTCCGCAAGCCACTGCCAATCCGCTTCCGTGATCCAGCTGTCCCAATGCCGCTCCAAGATCCCCTGTGCATCGGCCCCCATAGCGACGTCCAGATCACTTTGCCCGGGCCATGAGCTCGCTGGAACGGCGATTCGCAAATCCATCGTTCGAGCACGAACCACGATCCTAGAAAGAAAGGGCAACTCTGATGAGCGCATCGCTCACCCGAGATACGAGTGAGGAATGGAACAATGCGGCTCACCAAGGTTGACGCCTCGCTGTTTCCGATGCCTGTAGATGCTCACCTCGATCTTGTACTGCTCGGGGAGGTGGTCGGTGCAACGGGGCGGCACTTTAGGAGCTTCATGGGAGGAGTTGGTCGCTTCCTCGAGCTTAGCCTTGACTTTGCTAAAGGCCTTGCGCATGATGCAGTGACTACCGCAGTCCAAGGAGTGGGAGATAGCTAAGAGCTTGGGCGGCCGAGGGTGCTGCGGAGCTAGCGTGGACTGTGAAGGTTATCGGTGTTGCACCTTGTTGACGCAAGTCGAAATAGAAACCGTCGACGCTACATAGGTTGAGCCTGGGCAACGGCCGCCAGACGAGACCGCCCGACCGATGTCGTCATGCGAGCGTGGAGGGGGAAGGGAGAGCGATGACACGGGCAGTGACGAAAGCCGCAGCGCCTGGAACAACAGTCCCCTCAGTTCCTCCCGCGAAGCTCCAAAAGGCGATCGAGACTCACCGGACCCACTCTCGCGCCTCTACCCCACCCGCTCCTCCCCGGCCGCTTGTCCACGCGTCTGCCCCATCTCCGTAGGACGCGGAGCGATCTGGCTTCGGAGCTTGAAGATTGAAGCTTCAAGTCCGGCCGGCCGCGCCCCGAGTTCGTGTAGGGGCGGGGGCAATGCATGATCGCCAGGAGGTGGGCGGGTGGCCGTAGGTGGCCGTGCACCTCGATCCTGGCGATCTACAATGTCTCGGCACAGGCGGCCCGTTTAGGCTGGCCGCTGGGGGTTGGGTGAGGTGCAAGGGACAGCGGCGGACGGATGTTCGTGTGGGTCCATGTTGGGCACGGGGCGCGCGGGTGACGACGCGGAAGGGGCCAGGGGAAGAGGGGGCCACGGGGTGCGCTACGTGCCAGCGGTGAGGTGACGATTTGCGTGAGGGTGCTTCTGGCTGTCGCGGAGTTCCGTTGCACGTGGGGTCGGCGTGCGTGTGGTGCGCATATAGCTATGTAGCTCAAAGTTAGCCGAGAGTGCGGACCGGGATGGGATGTGCATAAACTTACCTGATGAGATGCACTCCGAGGCGCTTGCAGTTTCACCGAGATGAAGTACGTTCGATCATGGTGGTTATTGGAAACAATCACGCTGGCGTGTGTATCCGCTGTGTCTTTATGACGGGGTTTGGTGGATGAGGGGAGGTGGTGGTGGTAAGAAAGGAAGACAAAATCTAGCGCCCATCAACGCAGCGGCGAAACCTGATGGCGCCTGGCCTCCCCGAATTTCCCACCAGATTTTATCTCCGATTTTGTGAAGGCCGAGGCCGTGCCCCGATACACGAGCAAGTTGAACAACAGGCTGAGACATCATCCGCAGATAACCACATCGTCACCCAAAAGATTATCTGAATGAATGAAACCTCAGGGCAAGAAAGGCGAGCTCGTGCCAGGAGCCGCGCTCTCTTCCCTCGACGATCCACGTCTGCTAGTATTCCGAATCCCGCCGGACTTTGCTACTGTTACATACAACGCAGCCAGTATCTGCGTGCGGGCCGAGACTCAAAGCCTAATCTCGGTAGGTAAGGAAGGGGTGTACTGGAGGGAGAGAAACGAGACAATCAGCGAGAACATGCGTTATGCCGTGCGCCGTGCCTGGAGCTCGAGTCTGTTCACCGGGACTACTGTATGTGTGTGTACTATCATGTCGTACGTGGTGGAGTTTCCTTGCAAAGTAGTAGTATAGTGAGCGTTGTACGAGCGTCATCCGCATTATAAAGCACGAGCAGGTAGAGGGGGGGATTAGGATATGTACAGTGGAGAGGGAGTGCAGGGAGTGTCCGTGTGTTGTCGTATGGGGTCGTAATAGAAAGGAGAGTCCCGGGCCATGAGGGCAGTCGCGTCGCGTCGAGTTAATCAACGGACAGTGCTCTATACGAGATCAGTCAGTCACTCGCGTACGCACACCAAGACCCCAGACCCACATACCTCAGTTCTGCGACGGGTCCCCCAAGATAACCAACACCTCATCCACATCGTCCGTCGGGTGCAGCTCAAGGAGCACGCTCTCGCGCCTGGGGTACCAGTCGACGTTGACCATCGTGTCCCCGTCGCCGCCCAGCCGATACCGTCGCTCCTTGACCGCACGCTCGTAGCGCCAGCTCCCGTTCGGATCGTCCACCGTGAGCCACTGCGTGCTCTTGTACATCTTCCGCCCGATCGCGCCGAGGACGTCGCGCACCATGAGCGGTGCTCTGTCCTCGCGCCGCACGGTGCAGGAGAACGTCGGCCCGCCTTGCTCGTCCGCGCCCCGCGTCGCCAACGTCCACAGCGGGTTGAACATCAGCTTGAGCTCCGAGCGACCGTGGCTGGTGAACGCGGACGCGTCGAGCGGAATTGTGGTGGGAGGCTCCTTGGACGTGCGGAGGTCCCAGGTGTGGTAGTCGGCGAAGTAGCGCAGGAGGTCGACGAGCACGGGCCCGACATCGTCCGCAGCCTTGAATTCGGGATCCTCGGGTGACGTCGGAGGCGTCCCGTCGGACACCCTCCCCTGCCCCACGCCGAAGAGGGAGTTGGTGGAGTCCGCAGACCCGGACGACCGGTGCCCGCTGCGGACGCTCGTCGGCGTGTCCGCGCGCTCGGCGTTCGTGGGCGAGCTCCGACGCGCGGATGTGTCGGGGCGGGGGACGGGGGGCGGGACGCGGGATTGGTCATGGGCGGTGGCAGGGGCGTGGGATGCGCGAGGGGTGATGGTGAGAGCTGCGAGCCCCGCTGCGAGCCCGGCGCCGGCGCGGGAACGAGCGCCGGCGTCCTCGGTGCCCTGGGGAGCGGGGGCGGCGACTTGAGCGGAGAGGGCAGAGGGAATGGCGGGGAGAGGGCGGGACCGCACGGCGGAGCCAGGGCGTTCTTGATCGCGCGCGGGTGCAAAGGCATAGCCCGGAGCACGGGGAGTGGTATTGCCTGGGACGGGTCCTTGGAAGTCATGGCTGTGCGCGCGGGGTGCAGCGCGCAGGTCCGGGAGTGCAGAAGGCACGAGGGTGGGAGTGACATCCGGAAGGTCGACCGCGCGGAGGAGTGGTGGTTGGAAAGGCGGAGTGTAAGGGGGAAGGGGGAGGGTGTTTGGGTCGATCGCGGGGGGAGCCGGTGGGTACTCCTCGGTCTGGTTGAGAAGCGAACATATGCGTTGCTGCCCGCGCGCTGGCGACCACCGTGCGACGCGACGTCCGAGGCATTGGCCGACGGACGCGCGTTGGAGAAGTGGTGCGGGTTGTAGGACATAGCGCAATGTCCTGGCGCGCAGGCGCAGAGTGGAAAGACGAAGAGAAAGTGGGGTGTGGAGAAAGTGAAAGTAAAACGGGTGGTGACTCCTCCTCAGCCACTCCGCTTTATACTAGGGTGCGGCCCCGCAACCTTCCTTTCTCGACATGTGCGCAGACCTCGTACACATACCGACCCCTCGGGAACAGAACGACTGTGCGGGACAGGGCACAAGCACCTGAAACGCGACCGGAGCAGGTGGATTTAGACGCGCTGCTCACGACGACCCGACCAGGATACGGGTATTGTTTTGTGAACCGAGAAGGTTCGCTGCGGGCGCGGGCGCGGGCGCGGGCGGGAAAAGCGGCAGAGCAACCCTCTGGCTCTCGGAGCTCTCGGAGGGCGGGAATCCCCGTCGTGCCGCGCTCGCTCCGAGGGCCAGGGATGGTACATGGTCCTAACGACCACCAAGGCCACCCGTGGGTAGGGAGAACCTCCAAGCTGATAAACGCGAGTCCCATCTGACAGCGCGACCCACCCACTTGGATCCCCTGCGCGCGCAAAGGGCCCACGTGCAAAGGGACGGAAAGCACTGGCTGTTGGCAGTGGGAGGGCAATGCGCAGGCAGACGGAACTCTAATAATCTGGTTGCCTATCGAGCTGACAAACAAACACAGAGACCCAGGCAGAGCGCACGCACCACCGCCTCCCATGGGCTGTGTGATAATCGAAATCAACCCCGCCTCGCTATCGCAACTGTGGCCGACGAGTGCCAGCCTCACGCCGTTATCCAATCCCAATAACATGTGATGATTCGAACCTCGCGCATCTTGATTTCCCGGGGAGGGCCAGCTTCCGGGGTCGCCCATGCTATTCCAGGCAGAGGACAGGACGAGCGTTTCCCTTCGCACGGCGGGCACGCTTGTTCTGGCCCCTCCATGGCTGCCGGCGCCCTCACAATCACGAGGACGAAGCCCTGACAAGCGACGAAACTGATAGATACACTCACATCGACATTTCGAAGGGCATGTGCTCCCGTCGTCCCCTGGGAAAGACGTCAATATGCCGCACCGGTGTAACAAGTTGCTGATATCGCAGTCCGGTGGGCATTGGATTCGCACACCGCGAATTGGATGCCTCTGCAAAAGAGCCCATGAGCGATCAGTTACGAAAGGCTTCACTGCGAAGCGTCCACGCCCATCCGCGCGTACCCCGGGACTTCCTCGCGTAAACCCAGGCGTTGCAGGAGACAGAGCCTATAGGTTCGCCCGAGAAGCACGACGGCGCCGTTGACTCGATCCTCGGACGACGTCGATGTCGCGGCGCCTGACGTACCCGCCTCCACATCGCAGTACATGCAGCCTCTCGCACTCAATCCCCGCGCAGAAGAAGCAACACACAACGGACCTTGCGCCCGCCGACGAGCCACGGCAGACGGACGCGGCGCCCAACAGCGCCTCGACCCCGCCGCCGAAGCCGACGTGCGAGATCGTGCCGTGCCCTCGAGATCTGGTTCCCAGGTGCACACAGTCGTCATCCGGAGTCCGCGTGCCGCCGGCCAACTGAGGCGTCGGCGCAGCGGAGAGTTCGGGCGGGGGAGAGGGGCCTCGGCGCGAGGGCGGGTCGGATGGGCGCACGCACCTGCGAAGACCATCATAGGAGTCATCCTCTGGCGTGACCAAACCCGGACGTCATGAGGCCTGGGTCCGGGGACCGTCGTACAAGGTTGAGTTCTGTCGCGCGGGCTGGGGAATGATAACGATGCGCGATCTCCCGTCACGACTCACCGGGGGCCCGCTCCAGGTCGAGTCGTCATGAACAAGGTGTAGGTGTCGACGCGTGTTCGTGCTTGAGCTGGCCGGGAGCGCTAGAAGTCGGCGTATGCGCGCTGGCGCACTGCAGTCTGCACAGGCATATCTCGGAAAGATCTTCTCCAGAGCCCAGGCCCGACGTCCCTCCCGATACAACGGCTGCCGCAGCAAGACTGAACGGGAAAGACTGAGCCATCCGATGGATGAGTGTCGGCGGCTGTGATGGTAGGGTCCTCGAACACGAGGATGTCGCGCGGACGTTGTTTGGCCATAGAATGGACCGGAGCCCCGGGGCGAGTTGGATGGAGGAGGCGAGGTCGGACGTCGAGGGGTTGCGTGCCAGCGCGGCATCGAACTCCAGGAGGAGCCAAAGTAGCGCCGATTGCCGACTCCGGCGTCTCCGAGCGGCGGGCACAGAACAAATCAGCAGACCAGAACCACAGACCGAAAACTCGGTCGAGGGTGCACATATTTCGAGAGAAACATATTCAGGAACAACTCCACTGAAGACTTCAGATCTCCCAGCGGCGTGCTCTCATTGGTATTGATGTTTGATCAAACAACGAGCATTCGAGGTCTCGGGAGGCCACGCGAACATCCCACGTCGTGCCAGTTTAAAAACACGTATTGTCTGCGGCAAAACTGGCGGGGTGCGGACGCTGGAAATCCTCCCGAGGTTCATCTCGTGCTCGCGACCACTCAGACGAGCGTACAGCATGTACTGCCAGGAGATTTGGGCCACCACTGACAGCGCACGATGGTGACCCGGGGCTATAGTGAGCCTTGAAGGCACGCATGGAGGTCGCGGGGGTATCGAGAGCCAGGGAGTATCGATCCCCCGCGCGATTCCGCGCGACGCGGAGCCCACGGCCGACGCGAGCGGACCAGGCACATCAATTCGACCCCGCGGCGGCCCGGCGCGGTGCACGCAGTCAAAAGCCTCACGGAAGGCGGAGCGCCGGGAACAATGCATGATCTCCGCGGAGGGGCGGGCGTACCGCCGCATCCGGAATCTGAACGCCGAGTCAATCCCGTGGGTGGGTCCCCTGTGGTGCGCCGTGCCGCCGGGACTGAGCGTGGCGGAGAATGGAGGGCGGCCGCTGCGTCCCCGCGGCCCGCGCGCGGGAGCGCGGCGAGGTGGGCGATTCCGGGGCTCCAGGCTGCAGCGCGGGCCCGATCTGTGCTTCTAGCAGCCCGCGAGCTCGAGGAGAAGTTCGCGATCATTGTGGTGGGCGTGAATGGGTGAGGTCTGACATTGAGAGTGCGGATCAACTGAGAGCATCGACGTCGACGGGGTTCGTGCCAGACGAACTGTGTGCGCGACTCCGTCCAAGCCTATCGGGCTTCTCGGCCCTGAGATCTGTGGTATGCGAGCGCTGGCTGGCGCCGCGTGGCTACGGTCCCCCGACGAGGATCGATGCAAATGAGGGATTGATGTGGCTCCGGGCAAGACCAAGAGGTGCGCCGGTCCCGGCGCTTGGTTCTTGTATTCTGCGCGCGCCGCCGCCGCCGCCACCCTCAGTGGACGATTCTGAGACCTTATGGGTCCCGCGCCCATAGCGTGATTTGAAGAGAACAAGATGAAAGCGGTGCGCACAAACGTGCAATGCATGAGGAGATCGCATACGAACATAGTTTCATTGAAGCGAGGCCGCCCTCCCGCTCACGAAGAACAGGTCTCACTTCTCCTCCGTGTAGGTATGTGTAGGGGTAAAGTCCAGAGGACGGTTCGGCGTCGACCGATGGGGTAAAAAAGGTAAAGATCAAAGGTTTCGCAGTGAAGGGGTGTGAAGAGGGACAAAGGGAGGGGTACTCAATAGTGGGTATGTGATGTATCCTGTGATGCATGGGGATGAAAACGTGGGCGATGTCGTGTGGGGCATACATAGCATGTAGGATACCGGTCCGAAGTGAGAAGTGTGATACAAAGTTAGAAGAGAGGAGAGAAATTCCGACAACAGAGGGGAGATGCTAGATGATACAGCAGGGTGAACTTAGTGATGGAAGGAATCAGAGCAGAAAGCGAAGGAAATGAAAGAGGAAACAAGGGAATAATAGAGAAGAAGAAACGTAGAAGAGGATGACAAGAGGGTCCGGGGATGAAGATGAAGCGATAGTGACAGTAAGGTGAGCGGAAGATGTGGGTATAAGATGGAGAACATAGAGCGCGCGCACGTATCGTGAATGAAAGGCGTCGTCCAGCACAGCAACGAACTCGCCCGGAATGGCGGTCCCCTTCAGTCTGCGGTCCTTCCTCAAGGGGTGCGCCGCGGCAGCGGAGGATAGACAGGCCCCGACGGAGGCGGGTGGAAGGCAGGGCGGTGGGACCCGGGGGGCCAGGAACCAGATGGCGGTGGAGGCCCGCCGGTGCCGGTATGCGATGGCGGAGCGTGGTAAGGCGACGGCGGAAGTCCATAGGACGGCGGGTGAAGAGGGTGCGCCGGTCGCGCGACAGCGTGCGGCGCCTGGGGAGCGGACGGGTGGAACGGCGGGGCAGCGGCCGGGAACCGTGGTGGCAGCGGGAGGGAAGCTGGTGGGACAGGCAGCTCTGGTATCCTCAGCCGCGACTCCCGACGCCGGTCAGGCGGCGTCGGAGCGTCTGCGGCCCACTGCCCACCCGCGCGCCGGTCATACGCGCGCGCGGCTTCGTTCGCGTTCACGGGGGCGCGAGGGCGGGTCAGAGGCGAGGGCTGAGCTGGCCCGAGTGCCCAGGGAGCAGGATGAGCACCCTGGGTGGCTCTGGGAGAGCTCGCGGTGCTTCCGTTGGAGTGGTCCTTGTGGCCGGACCGTGCGTGTGCGCTCGCGCCAGGAGCATCCCTGCGTTCGACGTCACCACGTCGCGTAGCCTCGGTTTCGTGAGGCACAGACCGGCGGGCGTGGTCGACCCAGGTAACGCGATTGCGCACCGGAGCGTTGGTTTGCTCTGGAAGAGGAGGAGGGATATTGGAATGAGAGTTCATGGATGGGTATGCCGCTGGCTTTGAGGGTAGAACAGTAGGCAGGAGGGATGAATGGGAGGGCGGTTGTGATATGGGGGTTGAGTCCTGACTTTTTATATGGGAAATCCTGTGTGTGTGTCCTCCTTGAGAGAAAAACAGGCCTTCGGGACAGAGTCATACTTGCACACCAAGAGATTTGATGTGCGGTTCTGTGCGATGGACGCGAGTAGGACACGACTCGCTCACGCGCTATGAGCGCTGTTGGGGCCACGAGCTTCGCGTGTTCAGCGCGAGTACAAAGACCTTATTTTCGTCGAAAAACATGGTCTAATTGCCGAGCGGGAGCATGAAAGGCGAGCGGGTCTGAAGTTGTGGCCGATGGCAGCGCGCGCTAAGGGATGTCGCTCGGAACGGATAATTGGCTGGAGTCCGCACGCCAGAAGAAGTCCACATCGCTTCGAGAAGCTCTGGTAACAGCGCGGCTGGTGTGGCCATGGGAGACGGACTGATTCAGAAACATGGGCAACCATGCTAGACCCGCGCCGACGCGTCGCGTCGCGTCGCGCTCGTTTGGGATCCTTGGATCACGTGCCGCGCGGTGCGGTGACGTCACGGCCCGGCAGGATCGGAACGTCTGCGGCTGGGAACGTCTGCGCTTGCCGGGCTGGAAGTGAAGGTGGACAAGTCAGTCGACTGCGATCTAGCCCGGAGGAGTCCAGCCGCTCAAGGAACTTCTACATATGTAAAATCCCCACGTCTCCTTCCTCCTGGACGATCAACCTCAACCGCAGTCGCGGACGCGCCGCGGGCCTCAAGGCCTCAAGGCCTCACCGCGGCACTCCGACGGGTACCGCCATCAGGCTGTCGCGCCGCATGATCTCGTTTCGTCCAGACCCCTCCGCCTTCCCTGGTTGCGCATTTCTCCGAATCCGTCCGTCCGCCCTCGGTCGGAATTGGGCCTACCACCCACAGCCTATCTTCGCGTGTCCGGTGACCTCCCAGCTTCGATGCGCTCGGCGCGCGTTCCCGCCGCGACGCGCTGACGCGTGACGCGTAGAATCGAGATTATTACTTACACTCTACGATCTCACCTTGCTATAGCTAGCCCCGGCCCTCATCGAACTCGCGCCGAATCCCCCGCTTCTCCGCCTGGAGCCTGTCGAGACACAACATGAACGCATCCAGCGCTCGCTGCTCCGGCCTCCCCACCCACCAGCTCCTCCTCCCTGCGACCACCCGCCGCTCCCCGTCCTCCAGAATCCCGCTCCCTTCGAGGTTGGGGAACATCCGCACCAGCGCCCCGCACACCCGCTCCGTCTCCCAGATCCGCATCCGCTCGCGCCGCGGGCCGCTCGCCGCCGGCACGAGCTGCACGAGCGCGTCCTGGCCGCCGCGCCGCGCCGCGCGAGCAGTCTCCGCCCAGGCGCGCGCCTCCAGCGCGCGCACGTCCGCCTCCGTGATGTCCGCGAGCGCGAGCACGAGCACCTCCAGGCGCGCGCACGCCGTCGCGAGGTCGGCGGCGGCGAGGAGCGAAGGGAATCCGAGGTCCGTCGACGCGCGCCGCGCCTCGTGCTCGTGCTCTTCGTCGTCATCGTCCTTGTCGTCATACGGGATGACGAGGCGGCGGAGGCGCGGCCACGCGCGCGCCCAGCGCACGAGGTCCGCGTCGGCGAGGGCGAAGCGCCGCGCGCTGGCCTCCACTTCGAGGACTTCGAGCGCGCCGAGAGAGAGCAGGGGCTCGAGCACGGCGCGGGCCGGGAACGGCGCGAGTTTGGGGGCCTTTGCCCACCCCCAGTTCGTGTTGTGGTACGAGAAGACTAGGCAGAGGTGCGGAGAGAGCGGCGAAGGACGGCGATGCGAGGTGCTGCGCGACGCTGACCGCCTCGAGATCTGAGCGGTGCGACGCGTCGAGGCGGAGGGACGCGAGCGGGCAGAGGGCGAGGTGTTGAGCAGAGCTATGCTCGTCCGATCGCTACGGCCCCACAATGCCGGTATGACGAGCTCGCGGAGGGCGGGAAAACGTCTTGGTCGACGTCAAGGGAGAGTCTGGCTGGCTGTCTTCTTCCTCGCCGGCGTCCAGGAGGCTTAGTTGGAGGAACTCGAGTCTGGGAAGTGAGCTAAGTTGCATCAATAGAACGACTCCCACTTTCCCCTTGTTATGCAAATGGACTGCAGTGTGCGGCACCGAGCAAGGGGAGAGAGATCCTTCGTCTTGTACTGGAGATCCGTTACGAACCGATGTATGGAGGCAATCGCGACGCAACGGTAGTGATATCGGAAGGGGCTCCGGAATGATCGATAAGCACAGGGTCTCCCCAGTACTGTTCATGGTGAGGTGCCTGAACGTGACATTGGCAAGGACTGGGAGACCACGATGCGGAGGAGGAAGTCGTAGGGGTCATCAGGAGATGGTCGCGAGCTTCCAAGCTGGCAACACAGAACTTGCAGGTTGGGAAAGAGGGTGCGGCCTTCTGCTCGCCTGTAAAGTACCTCGAAAGAAGCTGGGGTGATCCCATACGTCAACCAGACGCCAGGTCCAGAAGATGTGAAGAACCCGAATCTGCGGATGCGAGATGCATACGATAGCATGCGCTCCCATCCTTGTAGATCGTCATGATCGTCAAGCTCCTGGGGAGAAAGAGCACGTCAAATCTTCTTGGAGAAATAAAGACACGCAGAGTTCTTACATAGGTTCTAAACTCGTACTTGCTTCGGGAATCCCCTCTTCTGGAGGACGCGTACTGTTCCGTTGATGTGACCCGTAATGCTGAGAGAAGGTGAAGGAGTGTATACAATCCACCACAAGGCGCGGCCCATAATTCATTCAGAGCCGGATCAGAGAACGCTTTGCATACTCGTGCGGCCCTGGCCAACGTCGTCGAGCCTTCGCCCTTGACTCCACAGTAAGCGTCGGCGCCCCAGTAATAAGGCCACCCGTCTTGGCCTGAAATCTCGATCTTGCTGAAGACCTCGACGAGGATTCGTATTTGAGCAGCGGGTGGTCGGAGGGGTTCAGCATGGTAGGTTACAGAGATCGCAGTGGTTGCGATGAGGGATATCGATCACCACGCGAGCACGGCCATATTTTGTCACTCTCCCACGCCAGGACCGGGTACGCATGCCGAGCTCGGCCAGTCTCGGACTCCCCTTGCAAGCAACCTTGAAGCAACCCCAGCCTCGCGCGACTGCGTGGGACGCGGAGCAGCGTCCGGCACGAGCGGAAAGTACACCCGCGCCCAGCGCTGCGGTCGCGTGGACCAGAGACACTCCATAATCCCCGCGGTAGGGCGGTACGGGCGTACCGTCTATCATGCATCAGGTCCGTGTCCCGAGGGCCGAGCCACGCGAGCGCTCTTCGCGACGGAAGATCCAGCGCATCGGCCGCGCGGCGCGTGGGTCCTTGTGGTATCTACGTACGCAGCGGGGAACGGAGGACGGCCAGAGCGCGGCTAGCCGAGTGTGCATGTACGCGCGGGGTCCCCGATCGTGGTGGACGCGAGTGAGGGAGGAGATTGAGACTAGCGAACGCTGGTAGACCAACTGTGTGCACACCACCGCGTGCACGACGCCACCCATCTCGCCGTCCCGCGAGGCTACGGTTCACCAACAAGGGAGGAGCCCGGGGGCAGAATTGAACCATACCGCGAGTCGAACGAACAGTCGGCGCTTAGATCTTGTATTGGCAGCCGACAGATCTGAACCTTGTGTGACCCACACGGGCCACAGCACGATCTGAGGGGCGAACAATAGCCACACACGATGCAGTTCACATGCAAAAATAGTGTCATTAATGCGAGGCTGCGCTCCCGGGGGGTGAGCAATGTCGTGGGGGGAATATAAAGTATGTAGGGTACAAGTCCAACTTGAGAAGAGAGGCGTGAAACAACTGGTGAACACAGAGGGGGAGATGCTAGACGATACAGTAGGAGTGTTCGGAGCAAACAGTGAGAAAAGAGTACAGAAAGGGTAGGGGGGAGTGAACAGGAGTAAGGAGAACGTCCAGGAGGCGATAAGGACAGTGGGGTGGGCGGAAGATGGGGGTACAAGATGGAGAATATGAGTGAAAAACGGTATACAAGACATAGCGATAAGATATGCATGGGCTTCTACAGCGGATCGTCGAGGTTTCGTGCAGTGCATTAGGACATGAAGGGGAATGAACGGGAGTAGCGTGGTCCAGCGTAAACGCACCTAGAACTACTCTCCTAGCACAACGGCAAACTCCCCGGCACGTTGGTCTCCCTCAGTCCCAGGAAGAAGAACTCGTTCGCCATCACAAAGTCGACATAGGTAATTGGCCCATCGGCGCCCCTGGCGCGATGGCGGTACGCCGCGCGCGCGCCAGCCGGTTCCTCCGTGCTGACATTGGGCGTGCTCGCCAACTTCTCGTCGATCCCGCGCAGGACGTCCCCAATAGTAAGGGGATTTCCATTCCGAGAGGCCCTGCAAGTCGCGACGAATCGCTCGTGCGGGATGTCGGCGTTGAACACCGCTCGACATTCGGTGAGCCCAGCCGCGAAGGCGGGTTGTCGGAGGCGACCGTCGTGTAGGAAGGCCGGGGTAAGGCACTCGCGAACGTCCCATCGGAGAGGGAAAGAGGCGAGGAGGCCGGCGATGGGAGCGGGCGGAGCGGCGGCGACAGCAGCGGGAGCGGCAGCAGCGGGGGCGTGCGTGACAGAGACGGTGGGCGGCGGAGGGACCAGAGGCCGGTGGAACGAAGGCCTGGGTTTCACGACCGCCGCGATCGAGAGCGTGAAATTCGCGGGAGCAGGTTGGGACGCGGGGCCGAGAGACGTAGGCACGGAGACGAACCTCACGGCGGCGGGCTTAGGCGGGCGCGCGGGCTTGACGGCGCGAGTAGCGACCTCGGGGACGTGAGCGGAGTGCCATCCAGGGACACGCCGGGCCCCCCGTCGGAGCTGCTGTCGGTGGCTCCAGTACAGCTGGACGCATACGACGCTTTGGATCCGGGGCGAGTGTTCGGGGGAGTGTCGGGGACGCGCCCGACGGGAACACCGTGGGAGGCGGGGACGGACGCCGACGGAGCTGGAGGGATGGGCAGCGGCCGCGAGGCGGATGGCAACGGAAGGAATGGCGTATGCACACGCTCATCCAGTGGCAAGGAGGGCCGCGTGTGCGGCGGGGGATTGGCGGGGGCGCAAGAGAGGTAGTGCATGGTGGTGGTGGTGGTGGTGGTGGTGGTGGGAGACCAGAAGGCGGCGGCGGGAGGGCAGACGGCGGGGAAGGAAAGATTAACGGCGGCGGAGGGCAGATGAGCGGCGGTGGGAGAAGGGCATACGGCGGTGGGGAGGGGCGGCGGAGGCGGAAGGCAGGGCGGAGGCGGGGCAGGCTGGGGCAGCGGAGGGATTATCAGTCGCGAGGAGCGGACGATCGATGGCTTCTGCCCCGTCGTCGGGCCGGAGGATGTGGACAACGCCGGAGCGCTTCCGCGCCGCCCGTGCGCTTCTTCGCCACAAGCGAGGGGATCACCGCCAAGCGTGGTGGTCTGTCCTCTCCCAAACGAGTCCGGAAGCCGACCAGCACTGGGCCAGGACGCCTCGCGTGCGCGCGCGCTGGGAGGACTCCCGTGCGCGACGTTGGTCGTGGGTTGGCCACGCGTAGACGAACGATCCTGTGGCTGAGCCATTTCCGATGCTCTTGGAGGGGGAGGTGGGGGTGTTTTCACCGGGGTGGGTGCGAGCTCTGATGCAGAGTACGAGGAGGAGTGAGAGCGAGGGGAGAACGAGAGGGCGATTGGGGTATGAGCAGGAGTGTGGCTGAGCAGGGCGCACCTTTTATATACTGCTAGTGGGCAGGGCTTCTCTGGAGTGGTCAGTAGAATTCGCCGATTTGGAAGGAGGGCTGTTCGATGGTCTTTGCGTGCCGGACGCGACTCCCGTGCGCGCTGGGGCGCCGCTGGGCTTGCTGGTTTGCCATTAAGAGGACGTGTCGGTATAGAGGGTTAGGTGGTGTTTGGATGTTTGCACGAGAAGTGGGGGCGGGACAGTCTGCTGTAGCACGCGTTGAATGTTGAGGTTCAGGACAACAGGTAGTTCCGGGCCGGGGGAGCGTCTATGCTCCTTCAACGTTTCAACTCCCGACGGTCTCAGATTCTCCAACGCTCTCGCTTTGCTCTCCGCCTCGCTCCTCTCCCTCTTTGTCTGGCCGAACGCCACATCCCCTCATCTCTGGATCAAATCTAGGGGTCTCAACATCAAATACCTTGCCTACGCTTCCACATCGGCACTTGCTACCCAACTGCTCCTCAGGCGCAACTGTCGCCTGCGACACAACTACTGGAAATTTAGATCGCAAAGGGACGCCGCGGGAGAATGGTCCGGGTATTCAATTGTTCAACCGTGTCGTCGTCCGTGTCGTCACCTCTCCCCATTCAAGATCAGCGAGACCTTGTCACGCACCAGAGGCCATATTGTCTTGCGCCTTTTGCGACGATCGTACGCTCGACCCATCTCATTTTAAATCATTTATGTGGATTCGACGTGCTGTCAAACTAGACACCATCCGAACTGTGCACGCATTCCAACATTGTCGATGCGAAGAGAGCTCGAGAGCAGCGGAGCCGCAACATGGGTGAGTGTCCAATGTAGGATTCCTGCATTATGTTGTGTCTCGCCGCGAACGGCACGCTCTCTGGCCCGTCGAGCTGTCACGCCGTGCGAGAGAGCATGACTCGGCATCCTGAGATCGCTCGCGCACCAGCGGTGCCCAGAACCTGGGAAAGCGGGTGGGTGTTGTGCCCCAGCGAGGGCCCCGCCCGGGACGAACGACTCGCGCACGCAGAGGGCTGCAGAGGGCGACGCGTTATCGGTCTCCCCTTGCCATCGGCGGCCTGCCCGACGCGTTGTGGCTTGCCTTCTAGAAAGCTCAGCGCTCAGGCCTTCAGGGGGCAGAGTGCTCCAGCACCGCTCCCACCGAGCGCGCGGCCAGACGGATGCGGACGGCGGGCGCGCGGACGCGGGCTTTGTCCTTCTTTGTCCCGCACAGACGAACGAGCCTCGTGTCCAGTCGCGCTCGATCGTCGTGTGGCCCGCCGCGATGCCGGACGTTCGCGCCTCGCGTTGGGACTCTCCTCCGTCTCCGCTCGCCCGCGTCCGTGCCCCCTCGTCGGCGAGGTTCCGTGGGTACGTCGTGTATCGCTCTGCACGGTCGCGGTCGAGTCCCGGCTTTCGCGCGTTTGCGTCGCCGAGCGCGGGGGAGCCCGGCCGTCCTTGAGACCCGCTTTGTCCAGAAGGGCGCCTGCAGAGCCCCGCGCTCGACCGGTCTGTCGTTCCCGTCCTTCCAAACCCGTTCCTGCTGCGGCAACTCCCAGCGTCACGCTCCCTTGTGGTGCCAAGCGCGAGTGTATTCTGGGACGACGGGCCAAGACCTGTGTCAGACAAAGTGGTCCACTGCCTGCCTGGACATGATGCGCATGGCGTGGGTGGCCGCGCAGCAGTACGACATACGTCCGGAGTGGTCAGACGGAGCGATGGGCAAGTGAACCTGCAGGCGTCGCGAGCGACAATGGCACGACGTTGTTACGCTGCTGTGGCCAGACTCCGGTCCTGACAGTACTTCCTTCTGGGGTCGGAAGCGCCTTGCCAACATGCCACTCAACCTGATGTACGTCTGCGGCGCGACCGAAATGACACCCAGGCACGTCCTCTGTCTCGTGCACATACCACATTCCTCGCTTCAAGACGAGGCCTCGACGTCGCAGATACCTTTGTGGCTTCGCACCCGTGCGGTTGTAGAACAGCAATCCCTCCCCAAGGCCTCGAACAGCCCAGTCGGCGAGTCTCTCGTTTGTTTGTCGACGAAGTCGCTCAACGCCCCGCTGCAGTTGGTACACAATTCCCGAAACAACTCGCTCGCTTCCATCGTGCTCTGTGACTGCCCGATCGACCCACCCGGTCCGCAGAGCGTACGTTCCTCCTATGGCATCCATCTACCTGCACCAGGCGCAATCATCGCTCACCTCGCTTGCGGGCTTCACGCAGGACGGCGCACACGGAGCCGCGTCCGACACGGGCGGATCCGGAGCAACCGTTCGCCGTGGCCCGAGCGAAGCGAGCCGAAGCACAAAAGGCTCGCGGGAAGGCCGCGGTGGGGCGGGCGGAGTGCGCGCGCGCACCCCCGCGTCGCCGCCGGGGCGATCTACCCCGTCCACGCGTACGCTCCACGGAGGTGTGCGCACTGGCCGCCTGTGGGTCCCTGTGGTACGCGCGCGGCCGGGGCGCGGCGGCGCGCAGAGAATGGATGGAGATCGGAGCGGCTTGTTCGCGCATGGACCCTCCCGCGATCGGATGCGGCACACGCCCGATCTGCGCGTGTGGTGGCTTGCACCCATCCAGATGGATCCAGATTCTGTTTTGTGAGATTGGCGAAGGAGCGGATCAAGTTGGCGATGTGGAGGGGGACGAAGCGTGTGCGCAGCCCGGCGTACTACGAGACGTTATTGGTATCCTCGAGTTTCTGTTCCGCACACAGACGAGTGCTTTAAGACGCTCTTCGTGTACATATGTGTCTGTAGCGACGCAATGAGTGGAGGAGAAATGCGCATCGGGGAGTTGTGCATGCAGACCCGGGCGCCTATACACTGGACATGGACTTATGAGACCTGATGAGTCTTGTGGTCACGGAACAAGACGTTAAAGTTCACAACCGCGCCGGAGCTTGAAATAGACGTCATCATTGACATGTAAACACTGCCAAAGTCCAGACACGGAGTGGCTCTGCCGACCAGATACAATGTCCAAGGGAAGGGTATATGTAGATAAATAAGTGAGGATGACCATCCGTCGTATCTAACGCGTGATAGTGGAGTCGTGTTGAATGTCGTGAGGGGTATGGATAGTGTCTTTATGAATCTGAATGAGGAGTCCGGTACTGAGGGAAGAGCCCTGGATGGGAAACAACTCGAGCATGCGGAGAGTAAAAGATGGTCCGACGGTGGCAGACACGCGATAAGCGTGTGGAGAGACGATGATTAAAGTCCTCGTTGAAACATATACGGGGTATATGACGTCGTGAGGAAGATCTAGGGAGAGGGCATCGGTCAACGGGGAGCTCGACGGCGACGGCTGCGGTGCGGACACACCTAGACGGGCCGGCGCCTGTCTCCCAGCACCACCGCAAACTCCTGCGACGTTCCGGTCTCATTCAGACCCCAGAAGAAGCACCGGTCGCCGTCCAGGAGGTCCGCGTACGTCGCGTTGCCCCCACGCGCACGGCCGATCTGCCCCGCGCGCGCCCCAACCGGTTCGTCCTCAAACAACCAATTGCACCTCTCCGCGAGCTTCTTCGCGATGCATTTGAAGACATCCGCGACGGTGAGGGGTCCGCGTCCAGACGGTGTGCAATGCGCGAAGAACTCCGCGTTCGAGCCTGCGTTGAAGACGATCTTGCACCGCGAGAAGCCGGCGGCGAATGCCTGTTCTTCACAGCGCGAGTCGAGGAGGAGGTCGTGCGGGAGGGCTTCGCGCAGGTCCCACCTGTGGGGACGCGGGAGAGAGGCGAGGAACGGGGTGATGGGGTCGTATGGAGCGGCGGGGGTGGCCGTCGACGTCGACGTGTGTGTCACCATCGTTGAAGTCGAGGTCGAGAGGGTGGTGGATGAGGCCCGATAGAATCGGACGCGCGGGCGGGGAGGTGCAGGCGCGGGCAGCTCGTCATGCACGTTGGACCCGGGGGACGTCGCAGGGGTAATGCACAGGGACGCTCCTTCGCTGCTCGGGCTGAAGGAGAAGGAGGGGCCAGACGACCGAGTGCTGCTCGCGGGGCTACCGCGGCGTACGCCATCGTTGCCGGGGGTATCCGCTGGATGAGCCGATGGAGAAGAGAGTGGAGGTGATGAAAGGTTCGACGGCGGAGTCGACGGCCATGGAGGGAGCGATAAGCGCGACGACGGCGATGGGTGGGCAGAGGAGGCATCGCCCGTGGTCGATGCCTCCCAAACGCCGAGAGCGCGGGCCGAGTTGACGTCCTCCCCGCGCGAGCTGAGAGCACGGCGCGGAGCCGCGTTCCCGTTTCCACTCGCCGCGGGACGGTCTTGCGCCAGCCTTGCGCGGGTTTCTTGCCCATTGAAGGAGCGAGAGGGGTGTTCTCCGTGCTCCAGGCCGTCCGTGCCATCAGCAGACCCTACGCGGAGGGCCTGCAGACCAGGAACTAGGCGCGCGACGACAGCGTCGTGTGCGGGCGCAAGCTGCAACTGGTAGTGGCCGCCGACACGCGAGACCTCTGGATGGCCATGCGCGCGCGGGAAATTGGGTGCGGAAGGCAGGGACTGGAGTGCCGAGGAGCGGAGGGGGCGAGAGAGTGGAGAGGGATGAGTGAGGGTGGGCATGGCCTGAAGGACGGCGGAGGGTGGGGCGGAGGGTGGAACGGAGGGCACCGACTGTACGAGGGGGCGGGGTTGGGTTGGATGAGGACATCGCGGAGCGGTGCGCACGTATTATAGACATCCTGCTGTCTGTGTGTACCGGTGGGCACTCCTTCCCATCCCGACTGAGGAGGAGCAGGATATGCGAATCCGCGGCGTTGAAGAGACTCCCGCGCGCGCTGTGGGCGGTGTCTCGACCGTGGCCTCTGCATGGCCGTTGGAGGTCGCCGTCAAAATTTTGGAATATTCAAGCGTGAGGATGGACG